AGTCTTGAATTTCGTAAAGCCGGAATCGCAGACATGGAAAAGACAGAGGATAAGAAGCGTAGCGAGTACGGAGTCGTCCTGCGAGCCATCGTAGTCGACAAGCTTCTTGTTGAGGAGGGCAATGGAGTTGGCCTTGTAGTGCTTCTCTTCGTCGGTTGCTTCGCCATGCATCTCGCGCAGCTCTTGTGTCGTCATCTGTGAGTAAGCATGATCCGGTATCAGGCGCGTGTCATGCAGCACGCTCAGTCGTCGACCTTCTATACCTCCGCGCATACGCATGTTATTGGTAGCTAGAGCTCCAATAGCGTTCTGGAGCTCCTCGTTGCGCATGGCTAGATGTATGATGTGCATCCGATAAGGGTTGGTATGGCTATCAAAAGCCACCAGCACCGGGCATATAAATTTGTCGTAGTAGTCCAGAAGGGATAGCATCCGCGGGGAAAGGGGCGAAGCGATGGTAAGGCTCTGAGGAATCGAAGTGGTGAGCGACAGTACATCTTGAGACAGGGGGCCAGAGCCATAGGAAGACATACCCTCCGACGGGAGAAAGGAGAAGCCAGGCTGGAATCCATTGAAACTCGAGCTCATTTCCCCCTCAACAAAAACATCCTGAAATACGACAGGACCCATACTTTGCGAGGCTGCACTGACTTCGGGATAGTCGTGTATGCTCTGATCTGAGCTTACGCTAGAGCTCATGTCGTCCCCCGTTGGTAATGAGCGAGGAGCCTCGTGAATGAAGTAGTGGTCCAGAGAGCCCATGGGCGCCTGGTCGAATGGCTGATATCGTGGTATTGAAGGGTCTGCGAAGGGAAATTCGTCAACGGGTGTATTTGGGAACTCGCTCGGTGAGGGGAAGTCGCTATCGCTGTAGGTACCAAGAGAAGCAGAAGAGGCCGACATGCCGTTGTCCTCGAAAGGTACGTGCAGGGTGGTTTGTAGTCTTTGGAGGGGACCCCTATGTGGCTGGTGATGTCTGAACTTGGAAGCTTGAGGATGCACAAATTCGAATTGCTCTCCATGATGTTGCATGGGATATCCGACTGGAGTGGACGAAGTGGGGATAGGTATTGGACTTGTTGGGCTGAAGTACTGGTATTCTTGCGGTGCAGAGAACATAGGGCTTGTAGGACTCCTTGGTGAATGAGCACCAAAGTCAATGCTCGCCCGACTGTTGAAGTTGTGCTGGTAATCTTGGTGGGCACCGGTGCTTGACGTGGTGCTGGTGGAAGCTATGGAGTTCATCCGCTGTGATTTTGGCTCCTGTGTTGCAGTTGCAGAAGGCGACTTTGCAATAGGCAAAGACATGCCTCGGAGCTTTCCACGGCTAGCTACTCCCACACCCCACGTTAGGGTAGTACGGTATCCTGAGCATTCTTTTCCAATGTCAACGCACGGCCCACAGTATGGACGGCGTCGATCACACTTGACTTGACGTTTCTTGCAAGCAAAGCAGTCGTCGGTGGCTCCAGTGGCGGGTGCTCTTCTTCTTCGTTTCCTGGGAGCAGCGGCAGCGTTGTTGGTGTTGGTGGCGGTGGTGTCTGCCTTCTGAACGACCTCAGCAGGCTGAGCAGTGGTTGATGAGACGGCCATGGTGGGTGTGATAAAAGAGGAAGTGTTATTGCAGTACTCTACAACGTTGCATCTGCAGGATGTGGATCGTGTATAGTAGGTGTAGAAACAGAATAGACAAGAAGACGAGGGGTAATACTCAATGGAGCATAGAAGAAGCGCGTCACGGTGGGTAAGTATTATTTTGGCCTCGATGGGTCTGGGTAAAGGAAGCTTGGTCCCCCCGTCTGATAAGGTCAGGGCCCTAGTGGACAGGGCTCTGGGATGCCAAGGGGTAGGATGCAAAATGCCGCGGCATACTGGACGCTAGGATATTAAGAGAAGAGGTGGTCATCTTGAGAGATGTGCATGAAGGATGTGGCCCGCAGCGAGTAGGCCAGGTGCCCGCATGTTCTCGCAGCGGCTGCAAGGCTTTGGCTGTGGCAATCCCTACCACACCCCACACCGTGACGGCGAATTGCAGGACGGCGCGAGGTAAGGTCGGGTTAGGGTCGGGTTACATCGTGGAAAAATGGTAGCACCCCGGCAGGAGCTTGAAGATGGATGGCGACAGTGGCCTGCTGCAGGACGGAGAGGGCTGGACGCCACGAAAGCTCCACCAATGACATGCTGCAGCGCGCACGATCTACTACCGGCCGCTAAGTTCGGAGCAGCTAAGAGGCCACAGCCACTGAGAGAGCTTGTGTCGAGGGCTCCGGGGTGAAGGCGTTGCAGGGCTTGTTCGGCTCGCGAGCTGCTGCACTGCTGCAGAAGTAGTGCTGGTTGCTGCTGATAGCGTCAGGGCCACCATGGGCAACGTGAGCGCTCGGACGAATGACCAGGCGCAAATGGTCACGGAGCCGACCGAGGCGATCAATGTGCCGCCGCGAAGACGCATCGAAGCTGTGTAGAATGATGTCGCTGGGATGGCAGCGCTTGTAGTCTGTCAGGGCTTGCCAGTGGGAGAAGACAGCGAAAAGCCGCCCGCTGGTGAAGCCTTCCGCCAAGCCAAGTCCTGGACGAGTACGTAAGGTTAAAGAAACGGCCTCCCATTGCACGCCAACCCCGCAACGGGAGTCTCTGATCTGCCGCAAGGCATGAAGAAGGGAAGGATGCGTGGGTGATGCAATTTGCGCACCTCTGCACGCGACGGGGCAGCAGACACGACGAGCACACGTCTGACGGCGGGCGCGGATATTGCGATGACATCGAGGATTAAGGACACGGCGGGCCCAGGCGTAAATGATGCAAAGCTGCACGCAATGGCCGGGGTGCCTGGGATACTGGACGACTGCCAGCAGCTGTCTGTCGCCCTGCTGTCGCCTGCTCCGCAGCCCTCTTGGCAGAACCGTTCTTGTGGGACCCGCTGTGATAACAAGCCATGCGGGCCTGATGAGAGAGCGATATGACCATTGCCATCTCAAGTGCACCCCCACGGTTCGTGAGAAACTGACCGTGGCAGTGCCCCAAACACCTCATGAGGCCGTCTTCTCTCGACCTTTTAGATTCCCTCAGGGTCTGCTCCAACAGCCCTGAAGCCTCCAAAAGCCTCTGTCGTGCATGATGCCGTGGCTTCGGCCGCCGCAAGAGTGCCGAACCTGTCCAGCTAACGGCGCCTAGGTCACTCAGAGCCCAATCCGTTCCCCATCCCATCCACATCCCATCCCCATCCTATCCACCACCTTATTCGTGTAGATACAAGCCACTCTCAAATGGCGCCTTCACCGATTCCCATACGCTAGCCTGATCGTGGTATTAGGCACGTGAGTGCCAAGTCAGACATGCATCGGAGACGTGCGCTACTTTGGTATGCTGGCTGTGCTCCACCACTCAACGATTTGTCTCAGGTAACAAGCAGTTTCAACCTCCCGTCAGCAGATGGCTTTTGTGTTGCTAGACAAGGTTTCATTATCCAAGACCTGTCACTAGCCATCCGTACCTGGGGAAGCAGTTCACCGTCAATGCGCCTGCGCAAATGTGCACACGCGGGGTAGTACGGGGATGGATACGAAGCAGCCACAGACCTCGTTCGCCCACTTGGTGAGCCCTCTCCAAAAGCGAGTCCTTTTACAAGCTTTGTAAGACTTGTAGCATGTCTTCCTTCGCTCCGCAGAAGACCCGCTGGCAGTGGCTCTCCTAATTCCAGACCTAGCCATCACGCCGAAACGGATTACGAAGAGAGCCTCACGGATGCCGGCTGGATGCCTAGCTTCTGCGAGGCTAGACAAAATGATAGGAGAGCTGCGGCTCCTCACATTCATTGTTAAGCTCCGGGCAATATCCGACAATCATACCATTATGATGCATCAGATGTAAAAACGCCTGAGGGTCGGAGTTTGTCCGATAGCTGCGACTAGATCATCTACGCCATTCTGTGGGACATGTCTTGTAGCCGAGCGGGCCATGGCAGCTCTACAAAATCCTAATCTCCGCCCTGGCAATTCTTCCGGCGCCAGGTAGAGTATAAGATCTCGCTTCCCGGACCCTCAATTCTACGATGCCCGGCCCGACAGCAGACGTTTCAAGAGACCTGGAGCCAGACCGAGGCATACTGAATGGAGAAATGCTTCCGTGTTTTCATCTTGAAGATCGTCATTTCGCCGGCACTTGGTAGGGAACGACAAGACAAAGGCGTCCGCAAGCGCTGGATCTCTTGAACAACCGGCGGCTGCGGTTAGAACAGCGAACAGGGCTCCTCGGAGGCTCTCTATTTATGGTCTCCACAAGAACCCTGCGCTAGCGAACAGCACCGTCGATGGGGCCCGCTGGGTCTTGTACTCTAGCGTCGATATCGCTCCAAGGGTGAGTGTATCCGGCTCTTGCCCACGCGGACACATTGTGAGCGCTTCGAAGCGACGCAGAAGAGCGGTCTGATGGCTGCGGTTTGATACCTTTGAGCGTGCAGATCCGCTAGATACATGTCTAGCACGTGAAGCAAGTATTGGCTACGGCCAACAGCGCCTGACAAAGTTTCGGCGGCTAGCTGGAAGCACTCTAGCTTGCACAGGTAATTTCAACTTCCCACGATGGAATGGAGCTCCCGTGGAGACGAACATATAGCATTGAATGGCGCAATTCGTATGAGCAAACAAAAGTGGAGTGGGAAGTAGGAATACCTCCCGAGTATTCCGCCTTGTTGAATGCCATAATCGTGAGGACATGGTGGTACCTCGAAGGTTCGCGGTGCACGTGAGAAGGTTGGAAAGCGCCAAGATTTCAGTGAAGGTACCTAGGTAGATATTCCGTACCTGTGCAGCAACTTGATTGCAGCACTTGGCATCTCGGAATATAGCCATGTGTTAGCCATGTAGTAGCCAAGTGCTGCAACTCGCTTCACGGTCCATGCGATGCAATGTTTCCACGTTTCTTGTAGCCTGTGCACTGTCCTCGGATACAGTGCACAGGATCCGAGGTCATGTCGAAGCTTCTTACGTTGGAGCTCAAAGCTCGGATGAGTGGTCCATGCATAGCATGATCCCCGCAAACATCAACCCCACAAACCGTCTGACAGCTATGCACGTCATGCCATAGCATTTTGTCTGACCCTGAGTCGCCTATTACATAGAACCAGATCATCGCCATGACCTCGAAATTCCGCTGTCTCCGTTCGGCGCGTCTCGCAGCGCGTCACCCGTGTCCACGAAGAACATTTGCTTCAGCCGCCAATAGCCGCGCAGACCACGTTCGCATCGTCGAAGTAGGACCACGAGATGGGCTGCAGAATGAGAAGCAAACGGTGCCTCTGGCGACCAAGATCGAGCTGGTCGAGAGGCTGGCAAGGACTGGATTAACTACCATTGAGGCAGGCTCCTTCGTCTCGCCCAAATGGGTGCCACAGGTTAGACATAGGCGTCGAAGCCGGCGACATTCGCTGACCATGAAGGGCAGATGGCCAACTCGGCTGACATCCTCGAGCACGTACTCTCCCGAACACCACAGTCGCCGCATCCCATCACCTACCAATGGCTCCTGCCCAACGCCAAGGGCTTCGACAACTTCCTTTCCATGTGGCAGTCCAGGTCGACACCACCACCACCATCTCCAGGCACCGATAATGGCCCCGCCCTCAACACGTCCTCCTCGGATCCCAATGCCATGCCCTCAGCATCCTCCGGCGCCGAAGCCATGGGCAAAAGCCGCAATGCAACAACACCTATACACGAGCTCTCCATCTTCACAGCGGCGACCGAATCCTTCACGCAAAAGAACACCAATTGCTCCATAGCCGAGTCGCTGAAGCGTTTCGAACCTATCATGTCCAAAGCAAAGGAGATGGACCTCAAGGTCCGGGCATACATCTCAGTCGCACTTGGCTGCCCTTACGAGGGGCCAAACGTAGACCCCCACAAGGTGGCGGAGCTGGCAGTCAGCTTGCTCGAAATGGGCGCCGACGAGATATCGGTGGCGGATACCACAGGCATGGGCACTGCGCCCAAGACGCTGGAGCTCTTGAAGACTCTGAATGCTGCTGGTGTGACCAAGGACGACCTGGCGCTGCACTTCCACGATACCTACGGTCAGGCGCTGGTCAATTCCGTCGTTGCTCTGGAACACGGCATTCGCACCTTTGATGCAGCCGTCGGTGGGCTTGGAGGCTGCCCGTTTAGTCCGGGCGCGACTGGAAATGTTGCGACCGAGGATCTGGTACACTGTTTCCATAGCTTGGGCGCCAAGACTGGTATCGATATGGAGAAGCTTGCTGAGGCAGGTGAGTGGATCTCGCAAGAGCTGGGCAGGGCGAACGATAGTAGAGCTGGCAAGGCTGCGTTGGCTCAGCTGAGGAAGTCGGCGTAGGGGGTGGGAAACAATCAAACTTGTGTATGCCCTCGAGTATGATACAGATTGGTATAGAATATGATGCTGGAAGCCTCGGTGTTCTTGGTCGCTTGCCCCAAACTGTCATGATTCTTGTTAAGAGACCGAACCTAGACGAGGTAACTGCGCGAACACTTAATGGCTGCTTCGATGGCTTATCATTCGAGTCTGTCTATGAGCTTCATCCCAAGGTCAGGCAATACGATGTTCACTCAGAGACCAACAATGAAGGGTAACTTGGATTCAAGAGGGAAGAAGTTGTGACACTGAAATCACTTTTAATTGTGAAAAAGGCGATGACATCAAATACTGACTTGAGGTAGTTAACTTTGAGTTCGAGTGGGTCAATCCATGGAAACGGAAGGAATGAAGTGAAAGGATGCACGTATCGCATGTGTTTACGCATACTTGTGTACAGAAGGTGGTACCTAACAAAGTACGCACTGAAGCTATGCTATGGATTTGTACATGATAATTCGAAGGTAAGACACAGTGTCTACTTTCGGGTAAGCTAAGTTCCATCTTTTGTTCAGAATCTAACTCGTTACTAGTCACCGATATCCGGTAGCGACGTTTCGCCCGCTTCTTCCCATAGGGAACCCCACATGCTTCGTTCTACTACGACTTCTATCTCTTCTCATCTCACACCATAGCTTACACAGCCAGGCCGAATTCCTCCAGATTGAATTTCAAGCACTTCGACCATCCTCGATTGACGCATAACTCGCTAGCGACCAGCCTTGGTGTTACGTGAGTCGAGACTTTTCAAAAGTGAGGCGATTGGAAAGGTCTTGTCTAAGAGCTCCTGGGCAATGGAGGCATATGACACCACCGGTGCTGACAACCCTCTAGAATACCGCTTCTTGAGATTGAAGAGTCATGCATGCACGGAACACCATCCAGCGGCCTCTGCCGACCACGGTAGAGAAATGGCGCAGGTGAATCATAGGAAGAAACGGAACAATTATTAGTAGTAGGTACAGTTATATTGAAGATAGCTACCTCCGTCTAGAAGTTATTGACGAGATTAATATGTAGGTTAACATAGAATTGTAGAGCCTGCCTACTCACCACGAAAGGACTTTCATAACTCCCTCTGGATAAGGCCCAGGATTCCCCTTCAAACCCACGTCAGGTTGCACCCAATGTGAAAACACTCAAGGAGACTACCTCCAAGCTCTATCGTAGTGTCAAACAACAACGAGAAAACAAGGTCAGAATCCCATTCATTCGTCATTATCGCAGTACACTTTACAGGCTAGTAAGTAATATGCGAGTGCACTGCGATAAACACTCGCGCTTACAGTCTTGCATATGTTTGGCAGCCAAATTATATACAGACCAGATAACATATTCTTCAACAATCACTTCATTCACCTAGGATGTTCACTGTTTCGACTTGGCGCGAGTTCTCTCCCTTAACGCTTCGTGCTTTCTATCCTCTCACCTCACCACACCTTGCTTCTTCCGCTTTCCCCGTTACGTCGCCATAGATGGGACTGCGAGAGCCGCGACTCTTCACACTTGATCGCGATCGTATGTCAGCATCACGCCACACTGTGCAAGCTGACATGTAAAATGTGAGCGTTCCATTATACCCGTGTTTGCAACTGCGGTCGTTCTTGGGCCTAACAACTGAATCACCAACAGCTCAGGTCCATGGCTTTGACGCTACTTGGCCTGCCAGTCGAGCTCTTGGATCGCACTGCCGATCAATTCCCTGAAGCAGAACAAGATGGTCGTATGCGCCAACACGACGCCAAAAGCCTCTGGCTTGTCCGCAGGAAAACCGAAATGGAGACCAGAATCTGGTCCGAAAGGAACGTCCTCTAGTCTCGCATTGTTTATCGTTTGTCCAAGAGCGTTCGAGAATTTTACACTAGATTGCCAACCATGAAGATCTTTACGATACGCTTGGGACAGCTGGAGCTGCATTTTCTTACTACCCCGCTCAATATAGATATCAGCTTGGAACAGGCAATGTGTTACTGCCTCGAAGACTCTTTCAAGCACAGCTTCGCACAATGCTGCAGGGGTCTGCCTTGTCTGCACACAAACTTGTTCCGACGGGTCTACCAATCTTTACGGCCAGTAGCAATGTGCAGAACAGGGTTACGGTACATGGTGGCAGACCACGATTGTTGTACTGGAAGTTGTCTCGAAATCACGTTTAGAGCGACTCGACATCGGTTGTAAGCAAGATCTTGCGCCGCTAATGCTTGACTATCTATTTACTTCTCTCAAAGCAAAGCTTTACTTTTTTGATACATTGAAAGAAGTCGTTGGACTGATTGATGTGCGAAGTCTCGATGAGACGGTGACGGATGCCTCCATATTGCCAGTACCATTGCTGAAGCTCACATCGTTCTGTTACTACGGCAAGAAATCTGGCGTTCGGCCTCATGTGCACGATAGCCCTGGGTTCTTTCTCCCTTCCTAGTAGTCATCACTGTAACATTTCGACCTTTGCAGCCTGAGGATGACCGTTAAAGGGCTCATCGACGTCATCAGAGTACTTACTGAGACCCTGGAATGACTGGGTTTGGAGGGCGTTGTACTAGCACAATGTACGTGGGAACATGTCCTCACTAAACTGTTGCCTCACGCTCCAACATTGGCGTACTTGTATCTCTCTGACTTGTGAGTGGGCGATGGCCTTTACCATCGATAACGAGGGCTATATGGCCGACTGGCAACTCGGAATCGTGATTATAGAATCCCCTACCCCGATACTTGACCAAATTCGATGTGTAGAGAGGTGGAAAACGGGTATGCTTGGGCGATTTGTAATTCCAAGGGTAAGTGTGTTCTCAAGCTCAACAAAGAAGACGACGAGTCTTGTACAAGCTGCAGACTCATTTCCCACTACTGCGCACCTAGCTACTCACTGCTCTCCGTGCAGCTCATCCCAACAACACCATGGAGAGCGTTCGATCATCGTCCCATTAAACTACGTCGCCGACAACTGTCGGTAGCATAACGACGTCACACAGTGTCACCAATGAATGATGGCCGCTACGGTAATTTCGTGGGGTAGTGTGCGGTAGCGGAAGCCCTCCGATCCTAGGGGAAAACCAACCAACTGCCGCAACTATCACGATCAGGTTTCCTTAGCCTGAATACACAGCGTCGCGAGCATTAGACACATAACGGCGCTGCGCTGCGCGCATTACGACCGGATCCGTCTTATCCGAGATCAACGAACTACTGTACATCGAACGATGAGGAAAAAGAAAGGAAAGAGAAGCGTGGTGCAGGAACGCTGAGCGTGTGAGCATGTGAAGGATGCAACACCGACGCATTTTTCTCTATTATTATGAATTTTTTTTTTCATAGAGAGAATTTGAAACAACGAAACTTGTAATGGACCTCACGTTGAGAGTCTCGACTGTATGCAAGGAGTACCCGCCCAGCTGCATTGTGCCTGTCAGCTTGTGGCTTGACGCTCGCGTCCACGTCAGGAAATTGTCCAAAGAACCCTGGAAGGCATCACGAGCTGTCAAGAAAGCAAGATGATCGTCAGCGCGAACTTGGCAGCATCATTCCACGACCTTGCACATGTGTTGGATTTGAGTTTTACCATCGGCGAAACTATCGGTCGGGGCGCAGCCTTCTGTTTGGCTGAGTGGTCCAGGTGTTTGATGAGATTGGGAAAAAGATATGACGTGTGGCGGTAAAAGCAGGGTTCAATTTGTGGGCTAGCTTAGCGTGGCTGACGCACGGGGTGCGGGATCGACAAGGAACTTTGACGGAACAAGGCAGGGACAAGGACGCCAATGATGTGAAGTCACTTCACATCATTGTGCAAGGCTGCGTCATCGCCTGTGGCAGTATCTATGAGAGACGACATAAATCCTTTTCTTTCCCCTGTGCCTACCTCGTATTCCAGCTACAAACATCCTACCAGACACATACTTGGAGCATCGCCTTCTCTTGCCTCTTAAATCAACTCTCCTCCTACTTCCTTGTTTCCACCATCGCGACAATGGGTATCGGTGGTGCTGTTTTGAAGTTTGGCTCTACAGCGCTGTATGCGCTTGAGTTCTGTTGTGCTGCGGTTATCCTCGGTATTTACAGTTACTTCCTCGCTGTACAGGCGGATCGCGATGTCAACATTCCGGTTTGGCAACAGGCTGTCACTGGTCTTGCTGGCGCGACTGTTTTGTACACAATCTTTGCTGTCTTGTTGACTTGCTGCCTTGGCGGAAAGGTAAGAACATGCTCCAGCGATATATATAAAAATAGTCACTGATGATGTCTCCAGAAAATCTTTGCTTTCCTCGGCATACTACTCGACATCCTTTGCTGCGGTGCCATGATCGCCGTCGCCGTCCTGACCCGTGACGGCGCATCCAGCTGCTCTGGCAATGTCAACACACCTCTCGGCGACGGACCCGCCAGCTCCAAGGAGGGCTTCGGCTCCAACGGCCAAGGCAACCAGATCACCTACGCCGCCTCTCTCGGCACGACCTGCAAGCTCAACACCGCCTGCTTCGCCGTCGCCATCATCGGCGCTTTCCTCTTCCTGCTCAGCGCTCTCGTCCAGGTCTTCCTTATGCGCCACCACAAGAAGGAGAAGGCCTTTGGTCCTGGTCCTAACAACGGCTACACCAAGGGTTCCGGCATGAAGTTCTGGCAGCGCCGCAAGGCCAACCGCACCATGGGACACCGTGATCCCGAAGTCGGTACCATCCCTGCTACCACTGCTGGCGGTCTTGCTGCCCCTACCGCGGCCCACGACTACCGTCCCAGCCACGACACTGCATACACTGGCTCCACCGTCGCTGCTCCTCACTCTGGTTTCGCTACCGACAAGCCTGTTACTGGTGGATACCACACCGCCCCCCACGTCGCTCCTACTGCCAACTACGCCAACACTGGCAACACTGCTACTTACGGCCAAGCCACCAACTACTAGACGCAATCATCCCATATCACCTAGGAGACTGAGATTGGCGATGCTCTAGATTGTGCCTAGTCCTTCATGCTTTCAGGCATGGGAACTTTTCCTTTTTTGTACTCTATCACGACGTTTACGCATTATACCACACGAGGGAAGAGAGGAAGTCGAACATTGAAGAAGAAAGACACTGTATGATAAAGCTGATACGAAACTTAATACCTAATGTCAATACCGAAGAAATATAAACGATCTCAAACATTTGTCCCAGCCAATCGTGTGTTGAAGTGACTTCAAACATAACATGCAAAAACTGAACGTGATTTTGGACCAGTATCGTGATACATTCGTAATCCTTTTTCCATGATTGCGCACATGTGAGAATCGACATCAAAGTCGCATTCGATATATATTGTACTAGGCGTGCAAAGTGTAAGATAGACAAGGGATGAAGGCTGTGGATGGCTGTGGATCAGCGGGAGCCAGTGAGCGTGGTGGCTGAATAATCCAACAAACGTCATACTTCGTTTGGCCCGAGTTCCCGAAACTTTCATTCACGAACCTATACACATCGCCATTGCGACAACACAACCCTATCTACAATATACCCATCCTTGAACTACACGAAAGATGGCCTCAAGCACACTTCCACGTTCTGCTATGCGCAGTCTAACCCGAGCGACGCCCTCTCTACGATCAGCACCTCGGCGCATTGCCACGAGATGTCTCCACCAACAATCATCGCCTATCACAGCCTCAAGATTGCAACATAGACCGACAGCACAGCCCTGGAGCCAAAGGGTAGCGGCACCTTCAGCGACAGTCGCGCGACGAACCATGTTCATCCAAACCGAGCCCACACCAAACGCCGATGTAGGCATTTCCCAGTTCCAGCGACATAGCCATACTAACAATCCCAGGCCCTAAAGTTCAACCCCAACCAGCGCGTCCTCCCAGAAAACATCTCCTCCCCGTTCCTCGAATACCTCAACCCCCGCTCTACCCTCGCCCCGCCACATCCATCCCCTCTCGCCGCCCAACTCCTCAACATTGACGGCGTAACCAGCGTCTTCTTCGGCGCCGACTACATCACCGTTACAAAGGACTCGGCCACCCCCTGGTCGCACGTTAAGCCCGAGGTCTTCGCCCTCATCAACGAATACATGACCTCGGGCCAACCCATCGTCAACACCGTCGCCGCAAAAGCTGGTGAGCAAGGCCAAGGCGGTCAAGAAGCCGACAGTCTTGCCTACGACGAAAACGACGATGAAGTCATTGGCATGATCAAAGAACTCCTCGACACGCGCGTCCGCCCCGCTATCCAAGAAGACGGTGGTGACATTGAATTCCGCGGCTTCAACGACGGCCAGGTTCTGCTCAAGCTGAGGGGTGCGTGCCGTACCTGCGATTCTAGCACCGTGACACTCAAGAATGGCATCGAGAGCATGTTGATGCATTATATTGAGGAGGTCAAGGGCGTGCAACAGGTGCTGGATCAGGAGGAGGAGATTGCTATGAAGGAGTTTGCCAAGTTTGAGGAGAAGCTGAGGCAGCAGAAGGGGCCTGATGCGACGGCGGGGACGGTTGGCAAGGGCAGTTTGGATTATGTGGAGTAGATGGGGCCATTGATTATGTGATACCAATGCATTCATTCTGCAACTGAAAAAGCTGTGTGTGTAGTAAGAAACTATATCATGTCGTGAGTTCCAACCGTGTGTACATGACATGCAGCATGATCAAGCTCAAGAACAGAATGTCGGGGTATTCAGTGGTAGTATTTTAGCATACGAGAGTAGCGCTGAGCCGTTGAGCAAGTCAAATATACTACAAGAACAAACGATTGAGGAAAAGAGTCGTACTAATGCCGATATTCAACAATAACGAGGTAGGGTATCCTGAACGTGCCAATGCTGCTGCGTGGAGGAAACAATAAAGCAATGAGAGAAAAACAAAAAACAACAACAACGCCCCTTGCATGCTTTCATATGCTCCCACACATGGCTTTCCATAATCGTCATATATCCAAATGCAAGTCATCCAACCTCCTTCTTTTCATCTCTTTCATATGTAAATCGTGAACCTCCATGATAAAAAAAGATTCCCATGCCTGGAAACCGGTCATAAATCGTCAGACACACACGTCTTCTCCAGTCAGGGCGGCCGTAAAAACACACACAATCGTCATATCGTTTCCAGAGTCATTATGAGCCGTCTTCCAGCAGCAGGTGCGAAACCGCATCTAATGCTTCGCCCATGGAAGCCCAAAAGCTGCGTCTCGGAGGAGGCGAGCGGATGATGTGAATGACCTTCCTCTTGGACAGTGATGATGATGATGATGCTGATGGCAACGACAACGACGACGGCACATCATCCGCAACTAGCGTGTCAACAGTACTGCGCAGTAACTTTGAGTACTCCTCGTGAATCTCGCGGGACAAATCTTGTACTTCCTCCTCGACTAGCGTCATACAACTGTCTAGCATGGATTCTTTCTTCGAGTCCTGCTCCTTGTTCTCCTTGTTCTTCTTCTCCTCCTCCTCCTCTTTCTCACCATCTTCGTCTTGTGAAACTTGATTCCCAGCCTCAAAATCCGAAAAGACGGACTTTACAAGATCATCTTGGTGGTAGTAGTGCTGGCTCTTGTCCAAGTCGTCGCGCAGACTCTGGCGAACTAATTTCATCTGCTTGCGCAAATCGTTGATGACGTCGAGTTGAATGCGATTGAGCGTCTTGACCTCGTCCATGCGCGTTTTGAGGTCGTAAATGTACTTTTGCACACCCGCGATGTAGTTGCCTACTTGCGAAACATAAGCCTCGTGCTGCAGCGTTTGGGCTTCATGGACCGTGACTTTCTCACCCTCTGCTTGTGTGATGCCGAGCCCCTGACCAACGTCTCGAGAGGAGGAGGAAGAAGAAGAAGAAGAAGAAGAAGACTCCTTGTCGTGTGTCTCGCTCGTGTGTGCGCTGGGCGTGGAGAGATGGGCTGTCATGGCTTCGAATTGTCCGACTATGTATTCCAATTGGTCTTCGTCGGGTTGGTGTATTTGGATGAGGTTCTCAAAGTGCGCGATACACGACGAGAGGGCGTTCTGCACGGGCGACGACGTTCCTTCTGATACGTCGGCCCAGGGCGTTGGAGAGCCGGGGCGCTCGGTGTGGTTGCGACGCAGTACGCGCGAGCTGTCGGGCGTATAGGGATAGCGCAGTTCGCCTTTGGACGGTGGAGGCGATGCATCGTCGTAGTATAGCCGCGTAGGTGTGTATGGCGCTGGTTCTGTGAGTCGGGAGTTGGGTTTCGGTCGTGGGCCTATCGTGGGTGTGTTCAGTCCGAAACTATCTGTGACCCAGGAAGGCTGGTCGGGTATGCGTTTGACCTCTTTCAGCCAGCGCTGCTCTGTTGCGGTAGGATATTGTGGAGGAGAGGTACCGTAGATGTTGAAGTAATCTGGTCGCGGGCTGGATCCGTCCTCGATCTCAGGCGGCGTCCATGGCCGTTCCAGGGTCCGGGGAATGTCCCTTACGCCCTCGTAGCCCGACCGAAACATGCTCTTCTGTTCTTCCAGAAGAATGCGCGTACAACCCGGGAGCTCTCGGGTTATATTCGCGGCTTGGAGAGCGATGCGCTGGTGTTCAAGAAGCCGGAAACCTGCGTGGATGCGGGAGACGGGAGGAGGCTGGGTTCACCGCTTGTGACGTGCGTTCATGGCCTCGGTCTGCAGCGTGGGTAGTGCGCCAAGGACTTGCTATCGATAACATTTTGTGGCCCCTCCCATTGGCTCGTGAATCATTAATTCTGGCTTCAATACATTGCGACGACTCTGTGACTCTCATTCTGCCTCCTCTCTGTCCATAAAGCAGTGCTGTAGAGATACGCTCCATACTCCGCAAACATGGCGCCACAGGTATGTCCAGAATCACACCATCAGCCGACCACAGAACTGAGCGCATGACCATTTAGCTGGGCGTTCAGCCATCGCTTGACACCATTCGAGAGGTATTGGCTGCAGCAGTCAAGTCGCCCAACCCACCAAACCTCGTACCCGTATTCTCCTCGATTCCCGCCGAGTTCTTGACTGCCTCCAGCATATACCTGAAGATATCCGCAAAGTGAGTGTGACTCATTCCAGCGCAAGTGGCGTGGGAGGGGTTGTGTCGAGATGATGAGCTGGTTGCGCGCATGCTGACCCTGGGCTCAGATCAGAGTCAAAACTCTCGTTCCTTTTCGAGAGCGCTGCAACAACCGAGACCATAGGCCGGTACAGCTTCATTGGCGCAGGTCGGTACTTGGAAACAAACTTCCGGCAAACACAGTTAACAAGCTTTTAGACCCTCGCAAAGTCATCAAGACCGGTACCGGCCATGGCGAAGAGACCGACCCACTACCCCTCCTCGAGAAGGAGCTTGCGAAGAGCCGCGTCGCGACCGTACCCTCAATACAACTACCGCCCATGACCGGCGGTGCTGTCGGATATGTTGGCTATGATTGCGTCAAATACTTCGAGCCCAAGACAAGGAGAGATGATATGAAGGACGTGTTGGGCGTACCGGAGAGCTTCTTCATGCTCTACGATACACTGGTGGCTCTGGACCATTTCGCACAGGTTGTAAAGGTCATAACATACGTCAAGGTACCAGACAGCATGGACGACTTGGAACAAGCGTACGAGGAAGCGAAGAGTACGCTAAACAAATACGTGACAATACTCAAAGGCAAGGACATTCCGCTACCAGAACAAGGGCCTATTCAGCTTGGTAACCAATACACGTCCAACATTGGACAGGACGGGTATGAGAACCATGTCAAGGAACTGAAGAAGCATATCAGCGTTGGCGACATCATCCAGGCGGTACCATCTCAACGGTTTGCAAGACCGACATCATTGCATCCTTTCAACGTATACCGGAACCTGCGAAACGTCAACCCGTCGCCGTACCTATTCTATGTCGATTGTGACGATTTCCAAATAGTGGGGGCAAGTCCCGAGCTGCTGGTAAAAGAGGAGCAGGGTCGCATCATCACTCATCCCATTGCTGGCACCGTCAAGCGGGGCAAGACACTGCAAGAAGACGCAGCGCTCGCGGAAGAATTGTCCAACTCTCTCAAGGATCGGGCCGAACATGTAGGTTCCCTGACGACAAGATGCATGCAGCGACATTGAAAAGCTTACAATGCCTTCGTAGGTCATGTTGGTCGACTTGGCTCGCAATGACGTCAATCGCGTATGCGACCCACTTTCGACACGAGTTGACAAGCTAATGGTAGTCCAAAAGGTGAGCAGACTGCCGTCCGAACCGTGATTACCGTGGATCGTGCGATGAGCTACCGTGCGATGATATCAAACCCAAGAGCTATGCTAATTGTTGTCGACGAAACCAGTTTTCACACGTGCAGCACCTGGTCTCGGAGGTCTCAGGGGTGTTGCGACCTGGCAAGACGCGATTCGACGCGTTCCGCTCAATCTTCCCCGCCGGTAGGTAGCGCGGTGGAAAAAAAGTTGGAAGTATGGCTAACCATGTGTAGGAACGGTGAGCGGTGCGCCCAAGGTGCGCGCCATGGAGCTCATTGCCGAGCTTGAGCGGGAAAAGCGCGGTGTGTATGCTGGCGCGGTGGGATACTTTGGCTACGGCTCTATTGATGGCGACAAGGAGATTGAAGGTGCCATGGACGTGAGTAGTCTTGCCTTGTTCGAGGTTGACAGGAGGCTGATGCCCAGCAGACATGCATTGCACTAAGAACCATGCTTGTCAAAGACGGCATCGCGTATCTCCAAGCAGGGGTGGGTTTGACGAATTCCCTGCTTTAGTGTGCGGTGCACGAGCTAATGATTGGCTGCAGGGCGGCATAGTTTTTGATTCGGACCCTTACGACGAGTGGATGGAGACGATCAATAAGTTAGGTGAGTTTATTTTTCCTTTTGGTCGTCTGCTCCGAGTCGACGCACAGAGCTGACCGCTGTTTGGTAGGCGCGAACACGCACTGCATCACTTCAGCTGAAGAGAAGCATCTGGCCGAGCAGCAGGACAGCGCCGACGATGGCGAAAAGAACGCGTCGACGCTCGAGGGCGATGCAAAGACGCGCATTTCTCTTGCGGCTTGATTGTCAGACTGCTGCGCCATGCGCCACGATTGATATCTGCCGTAGGGTGGTTGGTGATTGGCAGCGATTGGTACGTCTTGACCCGGTGAAAGCGATCTATGGGCCTGGATCTCACAAGCTCCCCTGCCACTCGTGGGGAAGCGAGATTCATGGGTTCGCGGTAGAGTTATGAAACTGAAATGAGAGGGCGGGTATGCATTACTGGCGGCAGACGCTACCACGACGTCACGAGCGAGTGGTGGTGCTTGAATACAAACAAGATTTGATTAATTTTGCAGCCCGTCACACCAGCGCAAGGGGACATGTAGACGGCTTGATGCTGTGTGAAAAGCGTGCCTGTGTGCGCCGGTGAGGAGCCATGACGAGTGTGACGGAGCAGATACCACCGTCTGTGCGATTTGCAACGACAAACTGGTTCGACATGTGAGTTGTACATGCAGGTTCGGATATCGGCCGCTTGGGCGTGGTTGGCATGGCTACATCATACGGTAGGAGCGCCCGGGGCATTGGCCAATGGGCGCGCAGGGTGCAGGTCGTGCTTTCCGCGTTTCCTTGCTCTGGCGTCGATCGTGGAGTTGCTGTGCCTGGGCTTGGCGGCCCACCCCTGCACACGACTAGACCCGCTACTGACGCTCCAACCCGTCACCAGCCCGTTGCAGCCTCCTGTTTGCGCGCGACTTCACTCTTTACCAGCCACGGACCAGCCCCAACTGTTTGTGTCCCCTACGATATAAACCCACTCCTCTTCCCCTCTCTTCCCACCTCATCACTCAGCATCCTCAACCTCAGCAATCAACTCACTCACCTTGACTACACTCCCACTTCGATACCTAGTATCCTACTCCAATATCCATCTCTTCCACACAAACACTCCTCCCACCTACAGTCAAGATGAAGTCCTACGCTGTCCTCGCTGCCACCTTTGCTGGTGTTGCTCTGTCCCAGGACATCCCCATGCCCAGCGGTGACTGCGCCGTAAGTAGTCTTCTTTATCATCTATTACTTTGTACTAGTATTAACCTTCGCTTAGAACCTCTGCATTAACAACATGGCCCGCATTGCCCAGACTGAGTTCTCCTGCGCCTCCGACGACATTGGCTGCTTCTGCACTCAGTCCAACTGGGCTTACGGCATCCGCGACTGCTCTCGCCAGGCTTGCGATGCTGACCAGTCCGCCCAAGCCGTCTCGTGGGCTTACGCTCGCTGCGCTGGTGTCGCTGCCACTGCCACTGGCTCTGGTGCTCCTGCTGCTCTTCCCATCTTGACCTCCGCTGTTGCTAGCGCCACTGCTGTCGCCCCAGGATCCATGGTCACCTCGGTTATCACATCTGTCGTCTCCAGCGCCGCATCTGGTGCCGAGAGCGTTACCTCCTCCATCGGATCTGCCGCTTCCTCCGCTCTTGCCTCTGGCGAGTCTGCCATCAGCTCTGCCCTTGAGTCTGCCAGCTCTGCCCTCGCTTCTGCCAGCGCCAGCATCTCCTCTGAGCTTGCCTCTGCCACCGACTCTGCTGGCAACGCCATCTCTTCTGCCACTGACTCTGCTGGCTCTGCCATCGCTTCCGCTACCGACTCTGCTGGCAGCGCCATCTCCTCTGCTACCGACGCCGCTGGCAGCGCTGCTTCCTCTGCTGGTAGCGCCGCTTCCTCGGTCGCTGAGGGTTCCGCTCCCATGGTCACTGGCATTCCCTTCGCTGCTGGTGCCGGTATTGCCGCCTGGCTCCTGCTCTAAGCGTCTTGCCTCGATCCAACTCAAGGTCCTTGCCTGACGGAGTAATGTGTATAATGATGGGCGGTAATGCAAGGTGGGCTTTGGATATCATGATGGATGGGCAGCGCTTCTCTTCTTTCCTTAACGAACACTCACGCGAAAGGCATGATGATAACGACGGATTCGTTATGCCTGGGACTGTTTTCTTCACGACTGCGACTTGATACCCCGAATATGGGAACTGGGACGGGCCCCTTAGCATTGGCCTCTGTATATAGTAAATGAATGATAATACACTCACGATATCATCTCTTGTTTCATCAGTGACTATACATCTCTTACTCTTTGTCTGCTCCTGCCCTTGCTGCTATGATGCCGTTTGCGCGAACGCGGACATTCGAGCAGTAGCCTCGATCAAGCTTCCCTGAACCGACCTTGTGCAACGCTACAGTGCGCCACGAACGTGAGGGGTCATGCAAGTCACACAATGGAGGAAGCTAGCAATGATGAATCATCATGGCTGTAGGTAATCGTAATGGAGGTTAACTAAGTGGTGGAATATAAAGCAGAAGACATGAAGTCAACTTAACCTCTCCTCCTCCACTTTTATTATCCTTTTTTTCTTGGATTACGTTAATCAGTCAGCACTGCACAGCCCCAGCCTCGTTTTGAGGACCGCGGCCCCATACCTATGATGGTGGTTTGTGCGTAAACTTGCGTCTTTTGTTCAAGTGCTGCTGATGCCAGTCGGACTGACTGCATTGCATTGCAGATCGTGTATATATATATATGTGTGTGTGTGTCTGACATAAGAAGGGGATCGGGGTTGGTTTGGTGTGGTGCGGTGCGGTGTAGATCATCAAGGGTCCGAGGTAGGTAAGAGAGAGAGAGAGTGTGTGTGTGTGTGGAGAAGGAAGCACTTGGACCATGTGTTCGCGCATGCATGCCGTGCGATTACGACATGTTTGTGCAGAAGTTTGTTGAGGAACGATGTCAGTGCGTTGGCGCAGACGGACGGGAAGAGTAGTGAGATGGGCTGGTAACGGTAGTGGTAAGGATGATGGGGGAGGGTGCTGTGAGGTGGCTGAGGTGGAAGGGGGGTTCCGGTGGCTTCCGGGGAATGACACCATTGTCATCATTCACACATCGACACGTTGTCTCTGATACAGGCTCAATGGACACATTCTGTAGTATTGTTTTAGATTGTAGATAGGCTGACTAAATCGATTGATCTTCATTGCTCATAGCGTACGGCCTAGAAAGTTGCTCTTCACTTTCAGCCTTGTCCGGATATTACCTGTAAGATTAGTAATTTACTCTCATTGGTCGAGGCACGTGAACGTACTTCTTATTCTCTTGCTTTGTCCCTCCCGCTTGTTTCGAGTGCCAGTTTACAGGACAACCACAAGAGTTGCAAGTCCCATTGGTACCACCAAACTCAAACTCCGTGCAATCGCAACTCGAAGTGTCGGCACCACTACACGGCATTTTGGAAAGAGCGGTGCGAGGCTGAACGTAAGAACTAGGACTATGCGGAAGACTGTGATAGTTCAAGGGATGAAAGGTGAATGAATGATGGTCTAGAGAATAGATGATGGTACCTAACAACCACGTTTTATATCCAAGTAGCGAGTATGAGGATCTGCCTTCCTCCTCATCTTCACCGGTAACTGCTGCGAAAAGACTGAATCATAGCCTGACACACTTGACGTGTGATTTTCTGTACGACCATAATCTATCATCTATATGCATCCAAGTCCAGGCAGTCATATGCTCGCCGCAAACGGCGATTTGTAATCTTTGGTATCAGCTAGGGTAGACGCGAAGTTCCAAAAGGAGGCTGATGCATGATTCTACATGCAAAGCTGGGAAGAGCTGCAAGAACACAGCCGAACACGAGTGAGTTTTTTTCGAGTGGATTGCAGTGAAGCAGAAGACACCTAGGTAGATTTATGGCAGGTGCGCACGGATAGAACCTTGAGGGATTCACACCCTTGATCCTACTCCGCGGCTCCATGTCTGATGATTTGTGCGAATTTGCGTATTCAGGTGCTTACGCGTGGTGGATCGCGGGTATCAGGGAGTCGTAGATCTCATGGGGTTGGGTAGTGGGGACGGGAGCGCGGATCAGGCGTTCAGTTATGCTATGATTATGCATTGCGAGCAAGGGTAAACCGTGTCATTGCATTTATGGAAACAGCCGGTGAAAGCAATAGGAAGGGGCAGGCTGTTAAGTAGTGGTTGGGATGATGAAGTTGTAGTGGCAGTTGGTGACTGGGCTGAGCAAGGTTCCAGTGGCTTCCGGACAACAACTTATCCACACCTGCATGTTCTTATGTGTTGCGCCCAATGAGCCAGAAAAAGAGAGAGTGTGTGCATCTCTTCTTTTCTGAGGAGGCTTCAAAAGGTGGAGCCGGTCTTGCTTCTGCTTCATGTTTCGGACACACATGATAAATCTGTGGATACGCAAGTATCACAGCTGCTGCGGAGCAGTACATTTCCCCTTCAATACTGAATGCCCGCTTGAATCCTCACTACGAGATCTGTACCATCGAACGTGCAGTCGCTCGCTGTTTGTACAGTCATTGTATGATGTTGTTCATTTTCGCTATCTCGGCCTCGGCCTCGACGCCGCTTGTTGAAGCCTGGCGACTGCCTTGTTGTACGTTTTGGCCGACTTCAAAAATCTTGGTATTACACACTGATCGCGGTATATCCGATCTTGAAGAACTATGCGCTCGTGATCATGCTATCAAATGTCTTAAGCCTTTGTCTTCAAAGACCGAAGTTTAGTCTCGGTTGCATCGCGAACTTTCGCCTTCTCACCACAAAAATCCTTCCAGTGACCAGCAGGAAGGCAGCGAGTCTTCGATCGCGAATCCCGTAGCATCCACCACAGAGGCGAAGAAGAAGTGTTCCTCCGTCCGCATCGCTAGCACCTACTCCTGTCATCGACGACCCAGTGTCAAAGCCAGTCACGATAAGAAAAGAGCCTGGAGCGCCATCTTGGAGTAACCCAGAACTGGTTCTACAGACTCCTGAAAACTCTTTCTGTCAATCACTGCACGTCAGTTCTTTGTCGATGACAAAGGCGCAACATAGCGAGATCACGGTCCTGATCTTCTACCCACATCATCCTCTATATCCAGCTCTTTTATGTTTGGACAGCCAGATCCTTCTGCATTTGCTGAACCAAAGCCATCAGTGCTTGATAAGACGAAACGAGACGATACAAACAAGGAAAAACTCACTCTCACAACGATCTCGACGACAAGGGAGAATTTGTGAGGCAAAGCGAGTTGAAGCGGCGGTTTTGGACAATAATATGAAGATGTCGCGAGGCTTATTGTAACTCCTTGGGAATGCGCAGTTGCCTTGCTAGATTCCTGGGTTATGCCAGGAGATGAAGGCACAGGATTAAACCTTAAAGATAAACACCCTTGCGCTATCCATGCGAAGGTGCCGATGGACGGGCGTGATGACATTCGGCGCTTTGATGACCGGGGCTGTAATTACAATGTTGGCCGAGTTATCTTACATCCGGAGCATGTTGCTAGAGTGACAAAGATACCGAGAAGGAGAAGCTCGAAAGCCAAGGTTCCGTGTTGCCGTAGCTGTTTCAACATGCAAGCCGACATCATCGCTAGGCGACTAATGTAAAGCTGTTATGTTCTGGTTACAAACGTCCTCGGGCATGATTTCATCGCATGATTGCTCCACAAAATGGGCAGTTGTTCCGATATCTAGGATGGTCCTGGCAGATGCGCATGAATTCTCCGTATTGAGATGCCAAATTTAGCATTTGCGGGTGCAGATACCCACCGACGGGTAGCTACTACGGATGAAGTCAGAACAGCCGGCGGGTAATCACGTGGGCTCCTCGAAACACCTACCTTCTGAACGACGTGTTTGATGGCTTTCCAAGCTTCAAGGTAATTTCCTTTGCATAGAAACTCTCAATCGACATGTACTGAGCTACTAGACCCTAATACTGACACCATTACTCTACACGGCTGGAGGTGCAGCGAAGGGTCGACGTAGGCTACCTATGCATCGCTGCTCCACGATACGAGATAATGTGGCTCGCTCGATATATTTACGAGATGATTATCGGGGTCTATGGCCTATGATGGTCTGTGAGGGACGTGTGCGATGTGGAATGACCGCAATGCTTAGAGAAAGGAGGCGACCAGAAAACTCACTCACGCCGGTTGGTTCGAAAGCTCTTTCCCCACAAAAATCTGCAAGGATCGACTACACGAAAACTGTCTTCAGCGTCACTGCTCGTAACTGTTCCCAGTCTGACGTCCGTTCAGCGATTCACTGTCCGTGGAGCTAATCTCCAATGTAACATCGTATAGATATGTCGAAAGCACAAGCATTCGCCGCACTGGCGCCCGAAATAGACGAAAGCTTGTCCCTGTGCTTGTCAACGACAGACGTAGACCGACATGCATATATAAACGTTGAGAGTCTTCCATCAAGTCTTCACTACCCAGCATCCATCGGTCTCTTCCCACCAAAACTTGCTCATTCCACCCACCTTCGCTACCAATCTACAAACCAATCATGAAGTTCGCCATCGCTACTCTTTTCGCCGGCGTTGCGGCCGCCGCACCTACCGCTTCACCTGACGTCCACGGTGACCCCTACGAGACCGTCACCATCTCCAACTTCTCCTACGCCTTTCCTTACAAGGGCAACCCACAGATGAACTTCTACATCCACTCTCAGCGCGTTGATAACGTCCACTGCGCTGCTGTCAACTTCGAGGTTGGTGGTGTCTACAGCTGTGACGACCCTTCATACACATTCCGAGTCCTGGAGGAGACGGGCCATAAACTCAGATTGGCTCACGTTCTCAACGGGTGAGTTTCCTGGACGAGTATCGAATTGGGAGGACGTGTGCTGACATTGATATAGACCATCCATGGTGGGCGACTTCTTTATCAGGATGTATGGACCTATCCCTACTGCCCTCTCACAGACCGGCACTTCCACAGCCGACTTGGACAAGGAGGGTACCGCTTAGAAGAGCATTTATTTATATCTCGAAGGATTTTGTAGCCAGACAGACCCGTAGCTGAAATGATAATGTGTTTTTGATCATCGAAAAGATGCAGACCACGATCCATGCGATATTTGCGTTCTGAGCAGCAGAGACATCGCCAGGACGAGTGTGCGTGTTATCGATCCTGGCAAGATGTTATTCGCCTGAGCCAACGAGGCATGCAATCGCTGTATTGAAACCTATGGGACGGATGTCTTCCTTCTGCTGGTACGCTACCGTCAAAGCCTTAGCTGATCCCGATCGTTATACAAAAAATCTCTGGCGACCTCGCCAATATAGTAGAGGTTCTGAACTCTGGCCAGGTGACCTAACTGCATGCCGTCACCCGTGTTATTGGTCTGAAAGCATCCTCTAAATCGCCATCTTGTACCACTGGTACTTTTGTCCGGACTGTCCGGAGGTTGGTCTTGAGCACATTCTTCTGGTAATGCTGTGCCACGGCATCTCTTCCTCCAAAACCAATAGCACAATACGCATAGAACCGAGATGAAGATTGGGACTATAACAGCGACAACAGTGGTGGCTATTGTGAGTTTCTTCTTGGGCGGCGTTGCGCGATTCGTCAGCTGAGAGACGACTTGACCAAAGTCGAGATTCTCTCTCGGGAGGAGTTTAGCCTTGAGGACCAAAGGTACCTGCCCTTGTTTGATTTCTTGACGATCGAGAATCAGCTTACAAGACGGCATTAGACACAGATCGGGTAAATCGGCTTCCCAGGCTTCGTGATATGTAGCTGACATATGCATCAAGATTTGCACTCCCGAACGACATGATCCTGGGCAAGCAGCATGCTGCTTTGGACTTGTTCAGTGCGCTCTTTGCCCACGTCATTGGACTCAAAAATAATGCTTATAGACCCTTGAATTACCGACAGAGATAGATGCGGAACGGTTACGGGAGAGCCCTTTCCTCATCTACACCTCGTGGCTCCTGCATGGTAGGTTCGCTGCGCGCAAGCGCAAACGCAAACGCCAGGTCCACTTCAAGCACTCTCTGTCATGAACGGTTGCCCAAAGGATTCTCGCAAGTTTCTTACGTCCAGCACTGCGAAGTGGCTGCAGATGGAGGGACAGGGTACAGCAACGACGGAAAACACTTGCAACGCAAGGAGGAGTGAAAGGCTGATAGTATGGAAGAGCAGCCAACCTGTTCGTTGGTCTTGCAGACGAGATGGATTGAGAATCGATCGCACTACGGAGAGAACTTTCAATCCAAGGAAGTGAAGTGCGAGATGAGACGTGGGTGGCACCTGTGAGGCCTGATGTATGGGACGTTATGCGTACACTGATCCTTGTACGAGACAAGCGATGCTGGACAAGTCGTAATTTTATCCCACGACACTACAGCAGGAATATCGGATGGAAGAAGACCTAAGCATAAAGGAGTGTAGACTGAAACGGCCGTTCAGCGAATAGTCTCATGTGCTGCAGGTATAAATGTTGGGAACAGCCGAGAAGAGCAACCACTTGACTGCATTCGGCATAGCGCGTTCAAATCACCAAGGATTCCAACTGTGCCGCAATGTAAGCGCCCAGCCTTGTCAAAGCTGGACGCCTGCGCGCTTTCAAAATACAGGACCAAATCAAAGTCATATGTACATGGTATCGAATTGCCCACCTACTCAACTTCGCCCATTACACCACTCATTCGCACGCGTATATATTCATCTTGAATCAAGGTACTGGGCGAAAATTTTCTCGACACATTATACCGGCGCTGCTTCCAATGCCAAGATATGTCAACATCGGGGTCATTAACAGTCGAACAATGGTACACGGGCGACATCAATACTGGAGGCCAGAACAACTGGAGAGTAACGGCACTCGCTATCTCAGCGACGCCGGTTGCATACGCTACCTTTCAAAATGAATATTTTTACTTCACCGAACTTGCTAATGGCATGTACTACTACTGCGTCTGTTTTAACCCAAACTGACCTCAGAGTCTTATTATGCAGGCTATCCTAGTGACATGTATACCGCAGGCGATCCAGCAACGACTTCCGGAAGTGTCGTAGTCTCCATGAGATCTGTTCCCATACCCCAATTTGTTTACGGGACTTTGGACATTACAGTCTCTTCGAGTGCGGCAGAAATCTCTTCTGCGACCAGTACCTTACAAAGCGCGTCGCAGCCAGATATCTTTTCCGCAACGTCAAGCGCAGCCGCAGAACCTTCGACGACACCCATAGAAACTTCCACAGTCCCCGCAACCGGCGCCAGCGATCCATCCCTTAGTGGCGGCGCAATCGCCGGCATTGTAATTGGCGGTCTCTTTCTCACCGCACTCATAATAGGCGGCTGGTATTTCTGGCGGAGACGGAAACGCGTGAAGACGGTTTCATCAAGTTCTGGAGGAGAGATAATAGCTGAAAAAGGTGGTGATGGAGACATATTAGAAATGCATGCAGATGAGACGCTGCAGGAGCTGTCGGCGAGGGACCGATCGGATGCGAGAGAGCTAGATCCTACACAATACTCCAGATACGCGCCGAATGGAGCTCACGAGCTCATGAGCCATCATGGAGAAAGTCGCTTCAGGCCAGCTCACGAGCTTGACCCTGAGACGAGGCCTGGGGAGCTACCGAATGGCGAGACTGAGCAGGCGCCGCAAGTGCAAGTGTATCAACATAACCTGGAGCCTGCTGTTGCAACAACGGAAACGACTGCTGCAGCGTCATCGAATGTTGAAGCGCAAAGGAGAAGAGAAATGGAATGGCTGGAGATGGAGGAGGAAAGAATGCGAAAACGAAGGGAGATGCTCGCTATACAAGCAGACCATAAGACACAATAAGACCAAAAGGATATGGTACTCTTTGTGCAGTAGAAAGCAGGGAGTGTGCCCTCGAGATTTTCGTGGGATAGAGGTGCAGAGGGATAATAAGCTTGGCCCATAGCACAGAGTTGCCATAAGATTCGTCTGTGAGACCATAGAACACATAGTTGCACAGGTCACTACATGTCTTTTGACATAGTAGATTCGGAATATGCGAGCGCATTGGAGGCCCACGAATGCACAACACAATTCCGTGGGTACCGGCGCCCAATTCATCGCGAGTAACCAAAACAACAATTCAGGTTCCAGCTTTCAGTTTAATAATACTGTGGGTGCTTTCCACAACAATGGGCAGGATGGAAGTCGAAGTACCTAAAGAAGGACGATTCTAAATGGCGTAGGAAAATTGTTTGGGCCGTTTTGTTGGTGTTTCGAAAGCGGGTATGTATAGCCCTCCAGGACCTCGAAGTGTATATTGAATAACGGGATGCAGTTTTGGTGTATGATAATCGGCGTTTGAGCTCTGCTTTTGGTTTGATATATGTGTATCATGGTGTGTTTGGCCTTGCTAGTATCATCTGAAACTGATTGGTCTTGCGAAACTGCCGGAAAGTTGTGTGCCAGATGCTGTATTGTTGTACTGTGTGCCGCCATAGGTAGTGTATAAATTGTTCTTCTTTGAAGAAGAACTCGTCGAATGGTCTTAAGGATGATCGGATTCATCTTCTTCCCGTTCTCTAATTGCCTTATGCAGTCTCTTAAACGCTTGCTTATGCCCTTCACCATATATTAGTGGCATATGAACATTGCAAATCCCTAAGAGCGAATATGCATAATCTTCTTCGCGTTTGGCTTTACGATTACGAGCCCAGTCCATGCGTTGTTTAGCATCAAATTCTGAGATAACGCGTGGGCGACGAAGGACCCTTGCAGGAATTCCAGTGACATCAATGATCTCCTCATGAAGCTGTTGTTTGTTTCCTAGCCATTGATGGTTCGAGGAGAAGAACTCAACAGATTCCGGCGCTAGGAGCTCCTGAAATCTCCAACAACGTGTAAACCATCTGCTCTTCCCAAAGTCTTGTTTTCATTGATCTCGGCCTTGCAAAGCGTTCTTATTATCGTTCTGGTTCTCTAATTCAACGTCTGATAGATACACGTAGCATCTATTAGCTCTTTGGTACCATCGAAACATCGAATTGATTGCTTCTGAGAGCTCGGCGCTGCTATGCTTGTTGATGCAGCATGTGTCGACCCAAAAGTATTGCAGTCCATCCTTCAAAGCTTGGTTTCCGCAGAATATAAGCTTATTGTAACCTTTTTTGTTTCTGGTCGTGTCGTTTTGTAGGTCCTGGTACGTAACCTCGTCGTCGCTATGCCCCCAGGTATGTGAGAGGATGGCGTATTCTGAACATCATCATCGAAGCGCTCGACTAGCTTGAAAGAGTTCGCATCGCATTTCTGCAGGAGATGCATAGAAGTAGCGTGGCGCAACGCGACCAGTGTAGGTTGACACAGAGAGGAGTTTTGAGGCTGGATGTAGCGAGAGTGTTGTCACCAACATTTGCACGGATGATGAGGAGGGCGGAGGATGAGAAAGAGAGGCGCGCATGTCGACCAGGCTGAATGCTGATGACCGAGAGGCGGCGCTACCTACGTGGCGTCATTCGCGTGGAACGGACAGATGCCTCCGGTGAGCCTTGAGGTGGCACGGAGGAGGGGCAAAAGAAGAGCACAACATCTGGACGAACGGTTGCCAGTTCTTAGTTGGCCCTCGCCCACCTGACCTTTTAGCGAGCTCTTCCAAGCTTGCACCTCTACAGCGACGTACCATGATCTGATTCAATGAAACTCCCGTTACAAGCTTCGCTGCGCAAATCTCGTCACAGATATAACGATCAATTATACGCGTCTACAGCAAGTATTGAGATTCTGTGATTAGCGTGGTCGGGAAATCGAGACGCAAACGCAGCTATCATGCGCAAGATGTCTCTTCGACAAGGCTGTAAGTAGGCTCGATGGTAGTACAGACAACCTACCTTTTCTCAAACCCGAAAGATAACGCATAGGGTGTGGTGATAAAGACATATGTTGCTGGGAAGCAAATGCGCAGTCGCTCTATTTACTGTAAGCTTAATCTGCCTGATAATTAGAGCTGGGGTTCATGCGCGAGATCGTGTGGCATTTGGTGTCCGCAAAGTGTAAGCGGTAGCCAGCGGTAACGGTATGCGATCTAGGCCGCATAGGGACTTACATTCAAATTGGACAGTGTCCAGGGAGGCTGGGACTCTCTTGTGTTATCGGGCCAAGCATGCAGGCTTTATGTAGGATGCAGCCTTATTTCTATTATCGAGGACTGTAGCCGATGGTGGTGTGAAGCTATAGCTCAGACCATTCGCCAGGCTGAGAAGTGGTGGTGGCTCTGGCCCCAATCGCATACGCCTCCCAATATTTCAAAGCACGCGATTCGAGATGCACCGCGAAAGTGGGGTCAAAGATCTGGAGTCTTGCTGACATTGGAAGGTTTCGACAAGGCTGAGCGAAGTTACTGGAGTAAAGTGTTGCAGCTGCGGGATGAAGACAAAGCGTTCGCCCCATCCATAGGTAGTTTGGCTTTCATACTTTTCTTTCGTCTAGTTATCGCGATTCTTGAGCTCTTCTCTCACTTTCGGATACATTACTGGCCATCGCTACCTAGATCAGCATCCAGGCATCGTGAGCCTAGAGACCTTACGTCGATCCCAAAAATGTCAGACAGCGTATTAGTTCCGACAAACAAGCAGTCAGTAGATCCTGATTTGTTTCAACCAGACTTGACCAGCGCTATACCTGCACCATCGACGCTAGAGTCTGCTCCACCTGGTCTACCTCCTACTTCAACCCCTCTACCTACATTGTCTTCAACCCCTCTACCTACATTGTCTTCAACCCCTGTACCGTCATTCGCATCCCCTCCACCACCATGGGCTACCATAACGATCAGTACGCCTCAAAACCCTTTGATCGATGGAAGATACCAGGAGACACTTTTCGTGGAGAGCACACCACTCACCACTGTTACTGTACAAGTGTCACCATCGCTTCTTCTTATCGTTGGGGACGAGACGATACAGACGGGAACTCCAGCATCGACGACAGACAATATTGTCATATTCCTCGCACCTGAGCGGACGACTGGGACGACGATAATTTCTCCAGCAATCTTATTCTACACCGATGGCTCAGTGCCACCATTCTCAGTGCCTAGCACGACGACACGACCTGGCGAGACTTCAACCAATGCGCCCGCTTCCGATCCGGGCATAAGCAGCGGCGCAATAGCTGGCATAGCGATCGCCGGCGTCCTCGTCCTCGCCCTCATAGTAGGCGGCTGGTTCTTCTGGCGGCGCAGGAAGCGGAGAGCGCAACCTTCCACGAACACCCTAACCGACGACGAACTGGCCAGGCGAGAGGGCGATGGCGACAAAGTGGTTCTTGACCCGCACCAGACTGCCCCAACGACCGGCGCATATCAAACACAATACCAAGAGATGTCTGGCAATGGCCTCACTCAAGAGCTCGACCGCTCGCATTCGTACAAGTTTGCGATTGGAGGGGCGCATGAGCTCAAGGCTGACGATCGACCGGGGGAACTACCATTTGCTGGGATAGAGGAACACGGGTCAACGGATGACCTTGATGTGGTCGATGGAGCAGGGCCCGAAATGACCCAAGTGCCGCAAACGAATCGTACTGCCACGCAGGCACCGCAGGTTTCTCTACACGTAGAAGCTCAGAGACGGAGGGAGGTAGAATGGTTAGAAGCAGAAGAGATGAGAATGAGACAGCGACGGGAAGCGCTTCTACAACAGAGTGGTGGAAAGACTGAACAGTAAGCCAGCAAAGCAAATGAAGTTGGAACCATGATATATGTCTGTTAGTATGTCATGACTATTGAGCTCGCGTATCAAGAGATGCGGCTGTAGCTAACATGTCCTGCGATGGTGATGGCAGCTGCTGAAGAAGCATTGGAACCGTTTCAGCGGACCGCTTAAGGCTCTCAGCATCTGCCAAACAAACCACAGAGATCATCTCGCTCCTCGCTCTGTTATGAAGCCTGTCCTGCCTCTGCCGCCTTACGCATACGCTTCTCATATTTCTTGTGTCGTCTCTTTGTCCTCTTCGCGTACTTTTCTAGAGTCGCTACCCGATTCTTTGCCCAGTTAGGTCCAGCACCAGGAGGCGGGGCTACGAGAGAGCATGACAATCAGTATATGGATCATGTAAGAAAGGCGCGTGAGCGCGAAAGATAGCGCATAGCCATAAGTGGATGCCTTACTCAGTCTTCCGCTTAGCAAAGCTTCACGCTCATTTTCCCGGCATTCGTGTTTGTGCTCAAACCGCACATGACGGTGCTCAGACGACTCGGGACGACAGCTCTTGGTACGTTTTGGGTTCCGTGGCCTATCGTTGTGCGGGTTCTGAGAAGGCATCTTGGTGGGGTGGGAGAAGTCGCCCTTGTCGGGGTACCAGTGTAGGTCGTTGTCTTTGTTGTATCTTGAGCCTGGGACTCGTTTGAAGTCTCTCGCACGGTCCTTCCAATCACGGCTGTCGTCTCTTGGGCTGTCCCTTCGATCGCGGTCTTCATCTCTTAAACGGTACCATCGATCACCGTCACCGTTTCTGGAGCTATTCCTTCCACCACGGCTGTCAGCACTTGAACTACTTCTTCGATAACATCGCCTGTCCCTTGCTAGTGGACTGTCCCTCCGATGGTCCCTCGTGCGGTACCTTAGATTGCACCTGCGGTCTCTTGACCTATCCCTTGAACGGTCACACTCGTCATCACATCCGGAGAAGTTCCGTCTACGGTCATTGAGGTAGCCGTTCCGGACTCCTCGATCGTTACCCCAACGATTTCGACGAGGGGCCTCTGGCGAACGGCTTCGTTCACGTTTGATGTCCTCGCCCCAGCGATTGCGGCGAGGTTCCGCTGGCATGTCGTTCAAGTTGCTCATGGCATGATCGTCGGTGATATCCTGAAAACCCGACATTGCGGGGTGGGAGGAGAGAGTGAAAATGAAAAGAGCGTGGTACAAAACCGGTGAAGTTAGATGAAGAAAGCGCAATGGAAAGACGAGGAAAACGAGGAAAAACGAACAACGAAAAAGCAAGATTGAACTGGAGGTGAAGGAAGATCAAATTATTATTTAGTACGCGATAGGAAGTGACTCGTAGCTGCGAAGTTCAAATCTCCGCCGTGAGAAGGCACGATGAGCAACGGCAGTGCGCGGAAGGTTGCAAGGGCGATGGTTTATCTGACATGAGCGCTGCCCAAACAACGCGGAGCCGCATTGGGCATATACCGGGCGTTGCAATAACACCAACGCGCAATTGACTTTATGTGTAATTAAAATTACAATTCATTCACAATCACGAGAAAGCTGTATGCAGGACCGCCGAGCCATCTCGACCCTGAGCAAGGGTACGGATACAGCGCGTGACGTCATCACACTAGCGTGCATCTCGAGTGCTACGGCTCGGGGTGACAAAGCAGCAAAACACAGTTGCCTTCGGTCGCCATTTGCTTCCACAACCAACCGCGAGGCGGCTTTGCAGATTCTGCATATCCATTTCGAATACAATGCATTTAATAACACCAGGTTGCACTATTGCAGCAAATATAACTACACTATCGAAATCTCCGCCTCGAATCACAGATTGAAGGATATAGAGGCGCTCTGGACATCCAGAGAACCAATATAAGACACCTGGTAAAACACCAAAACCGCGATGAGTACAGTTTACATGGTGCAACCTTCCCCAGGCGAAGGCTTGGGCTGCTTCGCGACCACCGACATCCAACCCGGCACTCTTATCCTCAGCGAAACACCCTTATTCAGCGTCGCAGAGCCGCGAACAAACTCGGCAGTCACAACAGCATTCGCAAGTCTCGACAGCGCCCAACAACTCCAATATCTTACCCTCTACGCCCAGAATAGCCACGCCAAGCATGATGACGCCGCCAGGGTAATCGACATATTCAATTCCAACGCCTGGCAAACCGGCTCCCGCACATCCATCTGCCCTCTCGCCGCGCGCTTCAACCACTCCTGCGTCCCCAATGCAAGTTTTGCGTGGAATGCACGGCTGGGCCAAATCACCATCTACGCCATCGTCTCCATACCAGCCGATACGCAGATCAAGCTAAGTTACGAGCGCCCCTACCAAACCACCAGTTCGCGACGTGCCAAACTATCCGCCTACAGCTTCACTTGTGCCTGTCTCGCATGCAGTGACGCTTCGTGTTGCAGCGACGTCCGTCGTTCACGCATGCTGTTGCTGGACGCGCGTATCCGGACAGGACGGCGCCAGCTGTGGAGATCACCCGTGCCGAAGGCCGCGTTGGAACTGATCCGGCTGCTCAAAGAGGAAGGGTTGGTGGGGGAGGCGCTGGGCCTGGCGTATCATGATGCTGCTTTGGGTTGGAAGAGACATGGGCGGCTGGACTTGGCTGTCGGTTGCGCGAGGAAGGAGTTGGAGGTTGCGGTCATGTGTTTTGGGGTTGAGAGTTTGGCGGTGGAAGGGAGTATGGCGTTTTTGGTGGGGTTGAAGGGCGAGGCTGGGAAGATTGAGAAAGCGCGCTGTACGGCTAATACGTTGGAAGTGCTCGAGGAAGATACCGGGTAAGTGATTCTGGTTTTTTTTAGTATTGAAGCTTGCTTTGAGTATGCCGAGTCTTCCATACTGCATTCTACCTCCTAGGGTTTGCGGGCCGATCGTGGTGTACAAGGTGCAGCATTTACAAACAAGGTCACCAATGTCTCAACGCTTCACACGTGCGTTTTTAAACAAATACAAGAACCCCCTCCATCGCTTCTCACCACTTTCCAAAGAGGGACTTTACATTTCCCTCAAGTACCAGAACACGACAATTACCATCTATCATCCAATCTTTTTCCGCAGGTGCACTTTCTTCTCCTCAACACCTGAATATCGATGCACAATATTTTAAACTTCTCACAAACCATTTCGCTGCCTTGTCTTACAAAGAAACAAGCCTCCAAGACCACATCCTTGTATCGACCTACCTTATCCTCGTTGTTCTGCGACGTTCCATCACGCCCGCTACTACCGAGCCATAAATCTGCGAAAAGAAAAAGAAATGCCACACATGTCCGAATGGCTATGCCCGCACTGTTCGAGTATCAACCGCGGCGAAGGTGCTAACGGGGAGAAGTGCGTTAAATGCGGCAAGTAAAATAAATGCTACTAGGAGAGAAAAAAAGATGAAACATATGTTACCTTTTATAAACATCTTGGTATCATGTTCAATAGAATCTGAATAAGGGGCGGTAGTTACGGGCGGCTCTTTGTTGACGATGCAATAGTCTTTCTCGGTATCCATAATCTGAAGGTTGGTGTACGAAGTCAATTGATGTCTCAAGCGCAGTTCACCGGAACATTTAGTGATGACGAAAGCGGGCTGCAAAGTCAAATGATGGGGAGAAAGGTCTCAGGAGGCCGAGCGCAAAGATAAGATCGCATCGGATCGCTATCGATACTGAGGTAGCAATGGCTGTTGCAACCAGTAATATGTAGGCTCTCCCGCCTGAGACTACCGGATAACTTTCTGCGAGGTGTTGATGTTCATGTTTCCCGATCAGGCCATCTTTATCAGCCGTACTTACATTATCCGTGGGGTTGGTGGAGGGATGGTAGGGTTTACGCGCGGAGCTGTGACGGAATGACGTCAGCTGCCCGGTTCTTCCAAACTCGACGTGAGACAGCCTACTGTCAACCTCGGAAGGCTGAGGGCCGTGTTGATAATCTTGAAACTTTTCTCACCGTACAACAATAGGAGAAAAACGGTACTAAACGGAGGAAAGGTTTTCTCGAAATGCTTGTTGAGTAATGATACTCAACGTAATCGACACAGTGCGTACCTCCGCATTTGAATGGCAAGACCTCGAGAGTAAGCAATATCGGGCTTCTTTGTGTCCGTATAAGAGTATTAAAGTATCTGGAGGGAGTTTTATTGAGTCATTCGCCTCTATATCAAGAAAGAGCCGAGCACATTATTTACAAGAGCTGCTAGCTGACTGCAGTCACAAATTCGGCGCATCGACCGAGTTGCCTATTACCGCTATCGTAGAAATTGGCGGCAGAATCGATGGAGTTAGCGCTCATGTACAGGGCATGTTCCCAGTATCGATGCGGACTTACCTCCGCATGAGTAGGGCCGAGGACAACAGGCGAACCTTTGGAACATGCGAACAGCAAGAACAGCAAGTCCCAAGGCAACGGATCCTCGACTCATCAATACCTCACTTCCCGAACAATGTCCCAACACATTGGATCACGGTCTTGGAAGATCACAATGGCATCGACTCGCTATCTTCGACATCCCTAGGTTCACTGATCGGCACTTTCCAAAAGCTTGATTAGCCGCCCCTTTGCTTGTTCCGACAAGCTCGACCAAGCAATGCGGGGTAAATGCGCGCTAGTCCGTGTATCGCCCACCCTAGCCAGTTCCACGAGTCCCATGGCCATGGAACGGTAGGGTATGATAGGTGTCAAGCAACGTGGCGCAACTGACAGCTAGGAGAGTTGGAAAAGTACCGCGGCCATGGAGCAAAAGGTACCGCGAGTTTCCGCAGTGGTGGAGCAATAGCGAGCAAAAGGACGAATCCACTCGACTGTATCAGTGGCGGGAGACGTGGCCAGACCATGGTTCTTGGAGCTATCAAAGGATTGTAAGGGAGCCATGCAAGCCATCGCGTTGACTAGAACGGATACCCCGCAAACTGAGTCGCGGTATCAGGTCGACGAGGATGTAATTGCTGGGGTATAGTGAAGCGCGACTGGTTTGCATTCCTTGCATAAGAGCTCCACCGAGCCTCGAAATTGAAGAGTAATCAGGTTCTTTCGTTTTCCTCCGAAGACCAAATCGTAGGCAAGCATGAAAAACATGATGCGTGACCACAGCGACGGTTCCGGTAAGTGGCCCTACTCCATCAGACCTGTCCCCTTGGCATCCATACACACGGACGAATACTAAACGAGCACCACAGACGTCTCGGACAACTCACCCACGACCTCGAAACCAGCCTTCAACCACATCGAGCAAATCCACACCAACGAGCAAGTCCCCGGCCATACCAATTACTACGAGAAAGATGGCCTACGAACAGCCGGCGACGGCGTCGATCACGAGGCCGATGTTCCCATGAACTTCACTCGAATCATGGCACTAGTGGCCATGGCATTTCTCTGGACAGGCAGCCAGATCCCCGTCTATCTCTTCGGTGGTGTTCCTCCTTACATCTACGCCGACCTTGGTGGTGCCGATAGATGGATCTGGTTTGTTCTCGCCAATCTTCTCTCTCTCGCTGCAATCTGTCCGTTCGTTGGATCCATCTCAGATATCGTCGGCCGAAGATGGGTCGCCATGATCGGTGCTTCCTTCCTCATCCTAGGCATGATCATTTGTTCGACAGCGCATACCATGAACACCTTCATCGCCGGCATGGTATTCTCTGGTGTCGGTGCAGGCATCAACGAACTAACGGCTCTAGCTGTCACATCAGAGCTTGCGCCTACGAGTCAGCGAGGCAAGTATGTCGCCATACTTGTCTTCACTATCATCCCGTTCTGTCCGTCAGTATTGTGGGCTCAGCTCATCGCTTCGACATCGACGGGTGCATGGCGCTGGATTGGCCTGTGGTGTGGAGTGTGGGCTTTCATCGGTCTCGTCTTGACGGCAGTTTTCTACCACCCACCTCCACGGGTTAACAGCGTAGGTATGAGCCGCAAGGAGACTCTTGCACAAATCGACTACGTCGGCGGTTTTCTCTCTGTCGCTGGCATGATCTTGTTCATGATGGGAATGCAGTGGGGTGGTTACCAGTACAAGTGGTCCAGCGCACACGTCCTCGCACCGCTGATCTTAGGTGCCGCCTTCATCATTGCCTTTATCTTGTGGGAAGCATACGGCGCGAAACATCCCATGTTCCCAAAGAGACTTCGCCAGGAGCCTCGCATTCTAGGCTTGACACTCGTCATCACGTTTATTTCTGGAGCCAACTTCTTCTCAATTCTCATGTTTTGGCCAACCCAGGCCTTCAATGTGTATGGGCATGACCCTGTCGGTGTTGGCCTCCGAGGTCTCCCAGTTGGCTTTTCGATCCTGGCTGGTGCTTGTATTGTATTGTGGTTGCTGTCCATGCTTCGTGGTCACAACAAAGAGCTTCTGATCGCTTCGTCCATTTTGATGACTGCAGGCTGCGGTGCGCTTGCAGTTGGGCGTGTCGACAACTTGGCTACACTATGGGGATTGCTGGTCCTGGCTGGTCTTGGAATTGGTGGCATTGTCGTACCAGCATCCATCATCTGTAAGTCCGACATCGCACCAGTCAATGGCCTGTTCGCTGACTTGATTAGCTACTATCATTTGCCCAGACGACCTCATCGCAACCGTCGCAGCTCTCACTCTCGCCATTCGTGTCATTGGTGGTTCGATTGGATACTGTGTTTATTACAACGTCTTCATCTGTAAGTTTCCGTTAGCTAGTATAAGTCGTAGCACGTCTGACGTCTATAGCCAAATTCGTCCCAGCCGCGACTCACTACATTGGTGGAGTGATGGTGACACAACTCAACATTACATCTCCAGAGATCATCGGAGAGGCAATCACTATCACTGGGGCCTCGCTGCTCCCAGCCCTCCAGGAGCTTCCGGGCATCAAGGGTGTGCCAGGTGCGTACGAGATGGTTGTTTATGCAGGTCAGCTCGCGTACGCAGAGGCGTACAAGTACGTGTACTATGTGAGCATCGCATTTGGAGGAGTCAGTATCATCGCGGCGTGCTTCTTGGGCGATATTTCCAAGTACATGGACGACCATGTCGCCGTGGTGATGCACTGAGTTGCTTCAGGAAGCTGGGACATGTCTGTCTATAGTATAGACAAAGTGTATATATAGCCGAGGTTCATAATGTTAACCGAAGCTTAACTTGACATTTGCGCATTCTCACAACTCGGCATGTTGCATGTCTCCTGGTGTTCGTACCGTTTTTTCTTCTACCTGCACCTAGACTCGGCTGCATTGCGGCGCTGTTCGGCTACAGCCGTAAGCGTGCCCAGCTCAACGTGCGTCATAGCTGTCAACCAACTCTTGCGATACGGCAACGCTCTTTCCTTACTCAATTTCTTGAATCCCTTGCTCGATGTAGATTGGCAAAGGTAGATCAACACCCAAGTCGCCAGTCAGTAGTGAAAACCAAAGGCTACTTACCCTCGATTATGTTGCGGGCACTTTCACACGAGCCAAACGACGTCGAATGGAATGCAGCAAATCATGAACAAACACCCGATGCTCATGCTCAAGCTCAAGCCCCTCTGGAACTGGAGACATCGAACAACAAACGAAAGCGGCAAAGCCACTGTTTCTGCGCGCCGCAAATGTTCGGCGGTGGCATATACCTTCCCGATCCATCGACTTACGACCCCATTGAGATATTGCTCAACACCTATGACCGAAGTGAGAGGGACGAGCTCGTCAAGATATGGCGAGACAACAAACTGAGCGAATTGAACTTTGTTGGCGTCGTGGTATGTACTACGGATATTGTCCGTATTACAGCGTTAACCACAGTCTAGTCCGCTCTCCTTGCCGGCGTTCTCACGTCAACAGGCAGCTGGCCTAATATCCTAACGACTGGCCAGCCTTCTCCTTGGTACGTCCGCACAGCATGGTACTGTGGTATTGTCATCTCTCTGCTTTCTATCATCAGTGCCGCAGACCAAACAGTACGTCTACACCGGCTATCATCTCACCGCGATGGACTGGCCAATATCCATAAGCTCCTTAGCAAGGGGAGTAGGAGGAAAAAGACAGGGCGCCGTGCACCTAGCTACTTCCAAATTATGACCTGGCAGATGCCAGTCATGTTTCTCATCACCGGGACGATTTGCATGGTTATGGGTATGTTCTTGCTGGTGTGGAGTGCAACATCGCACTTGGGAGACCTTACGAAATGGGATGACCAAAACAAGGTATGGTTCCGATGGATGAGGCTCTTCGGAGATTCGACGCTTACTCAACAATAGGTTGCTATTGTGTTCACGGTCATCGCGAGTCTTGCGATCATCATGTTTTTTGCTGGGCAGATTTCTCTATACTCGCCGATCAGGGAGTAGGAAGTGCGAAGATCTTCTGGAGACGTGGTACAGTTGTGTGCGACTTATCGTGGTCGCATTCTTCATCCGGATCTGCAGCCAGGCGGTCTATATCGCGAGGAGTCAGAGGACGTGAGATATGCTGTATAATTCGATACATCTCAGATGATGACTGTGTTGGCGATGATGATGTAGGACGGCGATGCAGAATATATTGAGAAATGGACGGTCGATGGCGCTGACTGTGATGGAAGGTGCCAAGCCATTTTCGCCACTAGTCTTCTTTTGTGCAAGTGCGACTCTGTCAACCTTTGAGATTTGCCCTTCATACTCGTTCGTTCGTCGCGTCATTTCGTCACGCATCACATGAGCCCGCGTCGGGTTCGTGTCCTGTCTGATCTACGCTGCTATCGATGATTGGATGCTGCCTGTATCGTTAGGCTGCAATGGCATCTAGCACGTCTTCCCTGCTGGAAGGAGTTGGCACGGCGCGTCGCTGCCTAGCCTCACCCCTCTTTTAGATCAACGCGCCATCAGCTTCGCAGCCTCCCATTCATCATGGCACAGGCTGCCACTGCGTATCCAGGTAACATGCGAAAGGTGTTCTACTGATGATGCCAATATATAACGTACGGCTGTTTCGTCTTTGCTGTTTCCTTGCTCAATTCATTCAACAAACCAACTTCACCGCAAGAAGTACGCTTTCTACCATTCCACAAGTCTCTCTCTCAGCTATGGCTACGCAAGACCAGCCGTTGACATTGATGGAGCTCCCTTCGGTCCCAGTCAGCCATGACGACTGGATTGCACATGCCGCTGCCCATCCAAAGGCACCGATGTGTGACCTCGTCGAACCATATAAGGCATACGATTCCAAGCTACGTGAGATATTCGCCCAGCAACCCGATTATACTGCTATTGGGACGCCCAATGTTGTTCCAATATTTGCAGGTCGCGAGCATGAGCTCAAGATACGCGCTCGCAACCTTGCCGATGAGCCCGAGGCCGAACGTCAACGCTACCTTATGCCTCTTGACAAGGCAGATCGCAAGCCGTCTGGCTCTCCAGCCGTCGTGCAATCGCTTGATGAGTTCAGAACCAACTTTCAGCTATTTTCAGAATCATCTCTTGTGGACATGGACTGGTCCAATGTGGTGGTCGCGGGTAGCGCCGTCGTAACCTCGTTGCTACCTGTACCCGAGAAATACAATAGCTCGAAGCGCGCTCTGCGCGAGTACTATCATCAACAACTAGCGCCAGCCTCCGACGTCGACCTCTTTCTCTACGGCCTCACCGAAGAGCAGGCTATCGAGAAGATCAAGCAGATTGAACAACGCATCAAGGATTCTATCTTGACTGAGACTACTACCGTCCGAACGAAGAACGCCATCACTATCGCGTCACAGTATCCGACTAGACACGTTCAGATCGTCCTGCGTATTTACAGATCCATCTCCGAGATCCTTACAGGCTTTGATGTGGATTGCTCCTGTGCCGCATATGATGGCAAGCAAGTCTACGCTAGTCCCCGCGCGCTCGCTGCATACATGACCCAGATCAACACCATCGACTTGACGCGTCGCTCACCTTCGTACGAGAACCGCCTATCCAAGTATGCACGCCGGGGATTCGAAGTATACTGGCCGCTCCTTGATCGTTCGCGCATCGACCCTACGCTGTTTGAGCGCTCGTTTGGTCGTACTCTTGGACTGGCGAGGTTACTAGTCCTTGAGAAATTGCCGAAAAGCACCGACCGTGACGCCTATGTTGACCAGCGCCGTGCAGAACGTGGTAGACCAGCCATCAACCGGTGGGCAAGACAGAAGTTGAGGGGCGATATCAAGCAACAGCACGATGAAGATGTTGCTGAATGGGTTGAAACTGACGAGATTAGCGACTACCACACCTTCACCGTTCCATACGGACCAAAGTTCCACGCTCGGAAGATTGAGAGGCTGTTGTACGCGAAGGACTTGCTACTCAATGCTGAGTGGAATCGACCCAAGGAGCGGGAGACTACTCTGCACCGACACCCTGCTTTCTTTGGCAATGCAACCGACGTGATAGAGGATTGCTGTGGCTATTGCCCTGAGCCTACCACACCCGAGGATCAAGAGATCGCAGAAGAAGAAGGCAAGATCTACGTGTCGGGCACTTTGTCTTTCATCAAGGACAACCCTGGACGGCAAGCAATCGGCTCTTTCCACCCACTCACCGATGATGACTGGACCGAGATGGCTTACGTTGGGAACACTGCACGACTATGCCAGGCTATCGTTGAAGGAGACGTTGAACATGTGCAGGACTGGCTAAGCCAAGAGGATGCAGATCCCAATCGACGAGACTATACCGGGCGTACTCCACTCCAACTAGCAGTCGCAACCTCAACTCCACAGGTCGTCCAAGCACTTATCGATGCAGGAGCTCGCATTGTCGCTCGCCTCTTTGACGGCAAGACCGCCCTCCACCTTGCCGCTATGCGCGGTGAAGTCGAGATGGTCAGAGCTCTGCTTTTCAGGAGTGAGGCTAACGAAGCGCTGGAAGCGGAGAAAGAAGCTATCAAGAAGCGCAACCAGGCCCAGCCGGCAATCCCTAGTGATGAAAATGTCGACGACTCCGATCAGCAGATGAGCGAAGACGACGGCCAAGACGAAGACATCGACATGCTTGACGAAGACGATGAGTCTGACAACGCCGATGCCACTACTGAGGGCTCTGTGATCAAGATTGATCGTAAGAAGTCGCAAGATCATGACGACCTCCCAGACGATGCGAACGATGACGAACCTGATGTATACGACGTCGATGTAGTCGCCTGGGACGCACCAGTATCTGCGCTTCATCTAGCTATTGCCAATGGCCACACAGAAGTTGTGAAGACTCTTGTCCAGGAGTTTGGGGCTGATGTATTGCTGCCAATCAAGCTAATGCACGACCACAACAAGTCTCCACGTGCGGCAATCCTGCCGTTGGTTCTCGCATTACAGCTTTCGCCCGGTGAAGCCGAGGAAATGACCGAGTTGCTCATTAGTTTGGGTGCATCACCAGCTCAAGGCGACCTCAACCATGTTACGGCATTGCACTACTTTGCTGCGCATGGCGTTAGTCTGCTCAAAACCATGATATTGGCGAACCGGCCTGCGTCACAACAAGCTACCAACCACCTCGTAATGAACGGCTATCAGTACAGTCCACAGGCGAGTAGTGCTCTGAAAATAGCCATCGAACACGGTGATGCCGCTGGTGTCGAAGCCCTGCTGGAACTCGGGGCGAAGCCTGAGATTGATTTCGCTACCTACATTGCTTCTGCGAAGAGCAAATGGGGCCGCATGGGCGACGATACGGAACGCAACCAAAACCAATTCAGAGAAAACGTCGAGCAGCCCGTACTTGCTGCAGTCCGTTCCGAGGTAACATCGATCGTACTCAAGCTTTTGGATGCTGGAGCAGACATAAACAGCCTCACCCCCAAAGCTTGGAGCGCTTTGAATAAGAACAACAACTACCACGACAACGATACGGGCACTCTTTTGGATATTGTTCGTACTACCATGAGGAAGCTGCGCACCTTCATCGAGCTAGGGAAAGTCGATGGTCAGGACGGATGGCTGTACTCTGATGGCTGGGTTGACCAATTCCGTTACTACTACGGAGGTGGAAATCGATTTGCACCAATACCTCTAAAGGAAGACGCCGAATATCTCCAAGAGTTGGAACCTGGCACTTACGATCACTGGATGGTCAGAAATCAAATCGAAACTGCAAAGCAGACTTATGAAAAAGACCTGAAAGCTCATGAGGAGTGGAAAAAATCTGAACAAGAACCTCCAGGGACGGATGAGAAGAAAGTAGCTGTTCAATTGGTACTGAATGATTTCCAGGCTTTAGAAACCGAACTATTGAAACGAAACGCGAAGACCTTCAAAGAACTCCACCCGGATATCGAGCTTGACGTACCTCGACCAAACCAGTACGACTATGGAAGAAGTCGCAACGAAGATCCACCAAAGCCATGGAGTCCGTTTCTGACCTTCAGGCTTTCGGATTTGACTAACGAGCGACGGGACGCTTACCTCAGGCTTTTCCAGGCTTGCTGGAATGCCGATCTTCTTACAATCAAGGAACTCACTCTAACAGTCTGGAGTGAGAACCAGAGTCCTTTGAAAGTCGCTGTCACGGACTCGCAGAACTTCTCGCCATTCTCAATTGCGATTCTGCGAAAACATTATGGAATTGCTCGAGCCATTCTCGAAATCGCGCATGCGCAATATGCGCCTGAAGAGAAGCCAATGGTCAAGCACAGCCTACAGCCAAGAGACGAAGACGACGATAGCTGTGATGACGACGACAACGATTTCCAGATATATGCTGAGATAGTGGACGATCGCTTCACTATCGAGAATATCGGAGAGGTGCAGAACCAGGTCAAAAGCAACGTGCGGCCAGTACAACTGTTGTCGTGGCATTACCCCGTGTCTGGTTTCCTCAGCCACGATGATACGTCGACATCTACATGGCTTACTCCTTCAGGACTCTCCAACAAAAGACAGCATCTGGGCAGATCTCAGGCAAGTGGTCGTACGTACGACGCGTCGCGAACGGGTCAGCAAGAGATTTCCACAGTCGAGCGGCCTGAAAATCTTTTCCAATTCGCAATCTACCTAGACGATGCCAATTTACTGCAATTCTTGATTGCTAGGGCTGAGGAGTACACGCAACACAGTATCGAAGCTGATGAGGAAAACGATCCTAAATTCTTCCGTTTCAATGAAGCAGATTTCCTGTACGCGATCCGTCTCGGCCGTACCCGCGCACTGGAAATCATTATCAAGAGCACTGGAGCAGGAATTCCCCTGGACGATCTTGTAAAAAAGAGTGGTATCGAGATTCCTGTGAAACCAAAGTACTATCAAGGCTTGTCGGTTCACGGGAAGAAGCGAGCGGATTGGGCGAATGAAGGAAGAGAGGTTCGGTCTGAAGCAGTTGGGGCGCAGCACCCGCCCTTGTTGTATGCTGCTTGGTACGAAAGCATGGAGAGTGTCGAGTGGTTCGTAAGCGATACAGCCTTGCGCTGTTACACAGAATTTGCAGATACGCATCGGGACGATATCCGCATCCAGAACTTGGCGAAGACTGAGCGCGGCTTGCAGTCGTCTATTGCTAAGTGGCTCGACCTACGCTCGCACCTGCTGCTTCACTCAGTGGTTCTTGGTAGGACAAATGCGGACTCTCTGGCTCTCCTCCGATATCTATGTAACACCCATCCTAAGGCCCTTGAGCACCGTTCTGCGAGCGGTATGACGCCTTTGCAGCTTGCTTTCGCCCTGCATCGTGTTGAGATGGTTAAGATTCTTCTGGAAGCTGGCGCTGACCAGACTACACGCGACAATACTAGGGCGAATATTGTCCACTCTATCTTCAACAACATTGACCGGCAGAACAAAGGCTTGGAAAAAGTCAAGGAGTTGCTCGGTCTCATCGATCCTCGCCTCTTCTCTAGCTTGTTCTCCGAGCGCACGACGGACATGCCTGGTGCCGCTACACCCCTTGCGCGCTGGCTGCATTCCGCTTCTTCCGTTGGCAGCGTGACTGTGCCGTATAACGAAGAAGTTCTCAAGATCATACTCGAGTTCAGCAAGGGCGATGACCTGAGTGTCGTCAACGGCGAAGGTGATACGCCCATGCACACTGTAGTGCGACGCGGTGATGACGCACTCCTACGAATCATGCTCGAAAACCGTCCCGACCTTCTTTTCCGCGAGAATGCATCAGGGCGCACGCCCTTCGAGGTGGCCGAGGATGCGTATCTAGCCAACGATGTGTTCAGCAACCCTCCGTCTCTGTCGGGTTCCAGCCACTCTTACTACCGTCGGGGAGGGCGTCGTCGTGGTCACGAACAACCGAAGATCAGCGTTCTCAAGCGCGATTCAAAGACCTTTGTAGAAGAGCCCGAAGACATCCGCTCTGGCGAGGAGAAGGTGTTACAGGTCTGCAGGGAGTTTTCGAAGAAAAATCATGGACAGAAGAGGAAGCTTGTTAGTCTGGTCGAAGCTAATGAAGTCGCGAAGAGACTGGCGTCGCGAGAACGCAGTGTTCCTGTAGAGGATGATGATTTTGTGACGAGCGAAGAAACTACCGGAGGCGACGAGGTCGACGCATGGTTTTCACAGGCGATCTCTGCAGATCATTAACACACAACTAGTACCTGTCAGCCGGTTGCATGTCGTATAGGTCTGTGCGAATAGTTTTACTTGATACAGAAAATCTGGGGTAAAGCGCCGATGTTACTAGTTAGCGAGCCCCTTTTTCCGACACCGCGATAAGAACATTGTCCGGCCACCACAGGATCCGTAGGCCGAATGCGAAAACGGTATACGAACATACGGTGGTTAAAGCATATATATTTGAGCAGGTAGCGAATGTATCTCGCTTTTTCCATCGCCGAAGTTGTTCGTATCTTGGCGTCTTGAACATGAATTTCCTAGACCGATTTAAGAGGCAAACAAGCCCAGCAGATGATGCGCCAGATCCATATGCCGATGACATTATCTATCCAGTTCATATCCTAGATGATACGAAAACTTTTCGTAGCATCCTGATCACATGGACGCTAGTTTTCAACGACGTCCTGAACGCAGACAAGCTCCGATCCTCGCTAGCCAACCTCTTGGAAACAGGAGATTGGCGAAAACTGGGAGGCCGATTACGACTCAAAGTAAGTAATTTCAACTCACTCTGCTTCCATTGTACTCGAGCAAACAGATTGACGATTAGGAATTAGGACGATGGCAGACTAGAAATTCATGTCCCACCCACCTTCACTCCTTTGCGCCCTGCCTTCACTTACACCCACACTACTATCGAATCCTCCATCCAACAACACGAACTAGCCAAGAAACTACCTATTAAGCCCACCGGAACCATTTCAACATGCCCCGGGCCAACAGACTTCAACGACCTCGCGACATCACCCTCTGCACCCATGACCATCGAGGACCTGCTTGCTGGAGACACACCCCAGATATCAGTACATATCACATCCTTCAACGACGCTACGCTCGTAGGTTTATCATGGCCGCACACGCTCATGGATGTCATGGGCCAGGCAGCTTTTCTCTCAGCATGGTCGAGCGTATTAGCCGGCCGAGCGACCGAAGTACCGCCTGTACTTGGTGCGCAGGAAGACGTATTACTAGCGTTGACCGACGACGCTACCAGCGCACCACAGGAAGAATACGTGCTAAAGTCCAAGCAGCTAAAGGGCCTCGCTTTTGTCAAGTTTGGAGCCAGGTTTACGTGGGATATGTTGACGGGGGCGAAACCCTTGACGCAAACAATACATGTACCCAAGCGCGTTGTGACGACGTTGAGAGCAAGAGCAGAGGCTGATCTGACTAACTTCCACATCGGAGCCACCACAGCAGAGCAAGGAGAGAACAAGATGCCTTTTATCAGCGACGGCGATATCCTCACTGCATTCACCTTACACTGTATCGCCTCCTCACTCCCCGCCCCGCGCCCCTTGACCGCCCTCCACGCTATGAACGCCCGATTCCGCCTCCCATCCCTAATCAATGCAAAAGGTGTACATGTCTCCAATATGCTAGTCCCCGGCTTCACTTTTCTAGACCCCGCCATGTCTACCGGCCCACTCGGTCCCATGGCCCTGCATAACAGACACAAGCTCCTAGAACAGGCCACAGAAGCCCAAGTTCTGGCCAGTCTGCGTGAACAGAGGGTGAGTGGGGATCCGAGTACGCTGCTTTATAGCGATGCGGACGCGTTGTTGGTGCCGTTTACGGATTGGACAAAGGCCAAGTTTTTTACTTCTGCTATTGACTTTTCTCCCGCTGTGGTACGGGCGGGTGGTGGTGATGGTGGTGATGGTGGTGGTACGGAGGGAAGGTGCAATCCACCTGGCACACCAGTGTTTCATCATGCGTCGAGCAGGAGACCGAATCCCACGGCGAGGTTGCTGGTGCATATACTGGGGAGGGATTATGGTGGGGGTTATTGGCTCACTTTGACTATGAGTCCGGCGGCTTGGGAGAAGGTTGAGGAGGAGTTGAAGGAGTTGAATTGAGTTATTGTTCATGTCTGATGTTATTGGATATGGAGGGGGATAAAGGGATAAGGGCGCTTTGTATACTCTGCAAGTATCTCGATTGACGGCTTACAAACTTCTTCGAGGTTTGTATCATCGAGCAGCAGAAACCACCATCTTTTTCTTTCGTTGTTGTCGCAAGATCAAGCTTCTATGACATAACACTTCCTTGAACGTCATTTGTCATATTGCCAAGGCTAAAAGGGATTTTGCCCTCCAATCGCGGTTGATACCACATACGAAGGAGTATGCTATTCGAGGTTCCATACCACTAGTATCACGTGTGGTAATGATTAACCTCCGCTGTTCGATATCCATTTATTTCCATGCGCTAGTTTTCCGAAGCATCTTCCGATTCGGAACAGGTACCCCACACGGGATCGGCCAGCATCCGCTGCCAGCCCCTCAATAATGACGCTCTTGTCCCAACTGCTGCAAGTACCGAGAGATGAGGGGTCGTCATACATTGGGTCCAATCCGACCCGGCTCTCGTACAACAAGGCTTTGACGCGCAATCCAATCCCCTTCTCTTTGCAACAGAACACACGTACACCGATTCCTGTCGCAACAGGCTCCCGATTCTTTGGTCTTGAATACGACGCGCATAATATCATCCAGACATGTCCGGCGAGAAGATGAAGGCGGTGCATTACGAAGGACCATTCAAGGTCTCGGTCAAGGACGTCGAGCTGCCCAAGATCCAGCACCCCGACGATGTGATTGTCAAGGTCACAACGGCAGCTATCTGCGGTTCAGATCTACACATGTACCAAGGGCGCACGGCAGCGGAAGCCGGTCTCGTGTTCGGTCATGAGAATATGGGTACCATTATCGAAGTCGGATCGGGTGTGACACTATTGGAGAAGGGTGATAGGATCGTGTTGCCATTTGTGAGTATACGTGCTCCGGGACGCGCATGTGTAAGAGTGCAAATGCTGATATGATGGTGCGAAGAACGTCGCCGATGGTAGGTGTCGCAACTGCGAAGAAGGCAAAACGGCTTTCTGTACTGGGTAAGTCGGGCTTTTCTGCAGCAGGGGGTGAACGAGGAAGTCCTAATATGTGGATAGAGTGAACCCGGGCTTTGCCGGTGGAGCCTACGGCTATGTAGCCATGGGCCCGTATCAAGGCGGCCAAGCGCAATACCTCCGCGTCCCATTTGCCGACTTCAACGCATTGAAGTTACCCAAAGGCACCGAGCACGAAGCCGACTTTATACTACTCGCAGACATATTCCCAACAGGATGGCATGGACTCGTGCTCGCCGGATTCCAGTCCGGTGAAAGCGTGGCGGTGTTCGGCGCAGGTCCTGTCGGCCTGATGGCAGCGTATAGCGGGATCCTGCGAGGCGCGAGCAAGGTCTTTGTAGTCGACACAGTGCCTGAACGGCTGGCAGCTGCAGAAAAGATTGGATGCATTCCCATTGACTTTAAGAAGAGCGATCCCGTTGAACAGATCATCAAGCTCAACGACGGTATGGTAGATCGCGCAGTCGACGCGGTCGGGTACCAGGCTGTGGACGCATCAGGCAGCAAAGAGAAGCCAAACATCGTGCTGGACCAGCTAATCATGGTGACGCGACCAACGGGTGGCTTGGGTATTCCAGGTTTGTATGTGCCAGCCGACCCAGGCGCGCCCGACGAACAGAGCAAGAAAGGCCAGATTCTGATCTCATTCGGCAAGCTGTTCGAAAAGGTATGCCTGTCCGTGTCTTGTGGCTGGACGCCCATTGTTAACAATCTCAGGGACTGCACCTCGGCACTGGGCAGTGCAATGTGAAGGCGTACAACAGGTATTTGCGCGACATGATCGTATCGGGCAAGGCCAAGCCGAGTTTCGTTGTGTCGCACGAGATTAACATCGACGAGGCGCCGACGGCGTACGAGAAGTTTGATAAGAGGATCGAGGGGTATACGAAGGTGTTGATCCATCCGAATGGAGCGTTGAACTAGTAGGATGTATGAGTATTTATTCAATGCGCATGCTGTGTCTGTTCCCACCACATGCTAGTACCGCTGCATCGCAAAGGCTCCGTCGTCAACCAGATATGCCTTGATGATCTTGACCTCCTCGACAGGGCGATCTTCCTTGTCTGTCTTGACCAACCCCAGCTTCTTCACGATCTGCATCCCGCTCTTGACCCTTCCGAATATGGTATGCTTTCCGTCCAACCACGGAGTCGGCGCCAGTGTGATGAAGAACTGCGAGCCATTGGTATTAGGCCCGGAATTGGCCATGCTGAGAATGCCTGCGCCCGTGTGCTTGAGCTGAGGGGTGATTTCGTCTTCGAACTTTTCGCCGTAGATGGATTCACCGCCTCGACCGGTGCCCGTGGGATCGCCTCCTTGTATCATGAAGTTTGGAATTATGCGGTGGAAGATCAAGCCGTTGAAGTAGTTGCGCTGCGCGAGCGTGGAGAAGTTTTTGCATGTCTTGGGCGCATGGTCGTGGTAGAGTTCGACGACGATGGTGCCCTGCTCTGGTTAACAGGATTGTCTGTAGCACAAGCAGGTAGACATACGATAGTGGTATCAAGTGCGACGTCGGTGGCCATGGTGAATGTGGGGGAGAGAGTGTGAGGACTGTGATGGCAGCTCCCTGCCAGCTACGAATTCCATGTGAACTGGAGCACGGCCCGTCCCACCAGCCACACATGCCTGTGCCACCATCACTAGCGCTGAGTGATGAATCACAACCAACCGACTGTTCTGACCTCCGGGAATCATAATCATAACCCCAACAACAAGATATGGATCTTTCAACCTGGGCATTACCGCAGCTATCAAAGCTTCTGCCTCTTGACGACGAGTCGCTGAAGCAGATAATATCGTATACAGAATCGCTATCGCCTAAAGACTCGGCGGAACATCTGCAGAACCTTCTGGGGGACAGCCCACAAGCACTCGAGTTTATCACTTCGTTCAATAACCGGAGAAAACCGAAAGCTTCCGCTAGTTCTGCCCCGGTTCAGTCATCAAATGATATCTCAGAAGTGCCGCGGGCCAAGCCAAAGAAGAAGAAGCCCGCTTTGAACAAACTCCCGCCACCACGCCAGCCAGAGAACTATGGAAACGTGGCGGGTGCATATCTCAAGAAAGATGAAGAAGACTACATGGCCGGTAGCTCAAAGTCAAAAGCTGCCAAATTCAGCTTGGAACAACCTGATGGGTTGCAGTTACCGACCTTCAATACCACTACGTCATCGGGGACGTCAACTCCCAAATCTCGTGCTGTCTCACCTGCTCCGCCAGCGTCGAAGAAACTTCCGGGCCAGCTGATCTCTGACACGAAACCAAAAGCCAAGGCAAAGGTCAATGTTACCGGCGGAACGCCTATGCACGGTGCTTCTACGGCACTCAATGATCTAGAATCTGCAATCAGGGCGCTCGAAATCCAAACGAACCCCACCCTTGCCTCACAAGACAACAGTAAGCGGAAATGCAACTGCATGGCTACCAGACATCCATTGCTCGAGGCCGCACCAAACTGCCTCAATTGCGGGAAAATCATATGCGTAAAAGAAGGCATCGGCCCATGCACATTCTGCAACTCCGCCCTCTTCAGCGCCCAAGACATCCAATCCATGGTACGCGTCCTCCGCGAAGAACGCGGAAAAGAGAAAATGGCCGCCAACAACGCTACTCAAAAGCGCGCAGACGTTTCCCTTGCTCCCCGCCCCTTCTCCACCCCTAGGTCCTCAAATACCCCTGTATCCTCAAACCCTGCCTCGGACGTCGAATCCGAGAACGAGAAACTAGTTCGAGCGAAACAGCACAGAGACAAACTTCTCGCTTTCCAAGCACAGAATGCCAAGCGAACGCAGGTCCACGACGAAGCTGCGGATTTTGAAACGACGACCGCTGGACTGAGCATGTGGGCTAGTCCTCAGGAACGCGCTATGCAGCTCAAGCGGCAACAGAAGGCGCTGCGAGAGCAGGATTGGAATGCGAGACCAGAGTACGAGAAGAGGAAGGTTGTGGCTAGTATTGATTTGAGTGGCAAGAAATTGGTTAGGCGGATGGCGGCGGCGGAACGGCCTGTCACGCCGGAGAGTGAGGAGGAGCCCGTTGAAGAGATGCAGCAGCGCCCGAGAGAAGGGAATGGGTTGAGTAGTGGAGGTGGGGCGTTTAGTAGGAATCCGTTACTTGGGGGGTTAATTAGGCCGACGTTCAAGGTTGAAGAGGGTAAGGAGAGTAAAGGGAAGGAGGCTGGGGGTGAGAGGAAGCAGACGTGGCGGAGGGTGCAGGATGATAACGATGATAACGAGCAGTGGATCTTGGATGGGGGTGTATATGGGTCAAGAGCGGATAATGTTAGCTTGGAGATGGATGGGCTGAGGTGATTGTCTCTATTACCTCTGATAACAAAGACTGCAGTCTTCGTAGTAGGTTATGGTATTGCTGGAGTCTTCCGTGTACAAACTCGCTGAGTAGCCCTGATTCGTCCATTGCTCTCTCACCTACGCTCCGATACGGTGAGGCTGCGTTTGCTAACTCTGAAATCTCGGCTCTTACTTGTCTCACCTCTTTGCTGGTTCTTTCTTACTTCTTTCTCCCTCACCTCTTTGCTGTCTCACCTCCTTACTGTCTCACCTCTTCCGGTACCGCTTAGCATATATAATACTTCTCTTCTACCTCTCTCTTCCATCTCTCTTCTGTCTCTTTCAACAACTCTCTACTGTCTCTATTAATACCTCTCTACTATCTATATTGATATCTCTCATATCAATAGTTCGACAGCACACTGCGAGAAAGTTGTCTAATACCATGGCATCACCAACATCTACACCTAGGCAGCAACTATGGGGCAACGGCGTCCAGGGAGCCCGTGCCATGCTCCAAGTGGCCGACCGCGTAAGTCGCCCATACATGTCGCACGAAGTGACTACGTCGGCTAATCCTAATTAGATCCGCAACGGCATAACGAGCATTACAACACTTATAAGCGCGCTGCAGTTTGAGATAGAAGAACTGGAGGCTTTCCAGGACGATCGAGCTGCAGAGATTAAAGCACGAGAGTCCACTCTTTACAACGAGAAGATAAGGATAAAGAAGCTTGAACAAGATATCAACGCAGACAAGGCAAGGTACTCTGCTAATCCTGATGCGAAGCAAGAGTTAGAAGAACTGAAGCAAAGATTGAGTGAGATGGGCGCCATCGCGAAGGTCAAGAATAGCCAGATTGTAACAGTAGAGTGATTATCTTGGAGGAGATTCTCGAAGATTGTGGAGTTACTTAAGAAAAGTTCTGGTGGAAAATCGACAGGAGGTTTGTTTGTAATCTTTTACTTCCTTTCATCAGCCTTGCGCTTAGACATCCACCAATATAGCCTTGTCATTACCAGCAACAATTCCCTTCCCGCCTTTCCCCCTATATCACAAACTCCCCTACTGTTCCTCCACTTAGCAGTTCCTCCACATACACGTTTATAGAATCTCTTCAAGCTTGCTCTTCTACTCCGCCTTCTTCCTCTCTTGATAGCTTTCAAACCACTCAGGCTTACAGAAAAGCGCAAAAACTCTCCATGCTATAAACGGCACGAACTGCCCGGCTGTAGCTAGCAACGAGCTCTTCGGGATGCCTCCCTCCATCATGAGCGCTTGGCATACCACGACTGGCACGAACAACAATTCCCAGCCTAGTATGTATCGATACACCATCTTGCGCGATTCGACTGCGGCTCTGTTGTTGGACACGTAGAGGCTGACTGCGCCACCGACGAAGATGTTGGCAGCACCATATTGCTGAGTCATTTGTACTGCTGTTGTCGTTATTTGTGTAGCAGCAGTACCCAAAATTCGACCCAGGTAATGACGCGGAAAGAACAGGAAGTAAGAGCCGGCAGCGACTGTGATAGCGGATTCGAAAGCAAAAGCGCCGCGAATGACGTTGCCTGAAGTGGAAGGATCGGCTCCTTGGAGCGAGGGTGTATGAGGTGACATGTTTTGGCGATCAAGTTTTTGAGCTTTTGAGTTTGGGTAGAGACTCTAAAGGTGAACAGAAAGACGTGATGGTATGTCAAATTCAAACTCACCAAGCCGCTCTTATAAATTGGCCTGTTCAATTACTGTTACCTGATGCACGTACTGCTAGTATGCCAAGCCGCCACCATAACGTTATGCTCAAGACGAAAAGGGTAAGGCGTCCCTGATTAGAGCGGGGCCAAAACTTGGACCCAGCCTCTCCTCCACCACCCTGCGTGATCATCCTTCCACACGCACCTGAATCTCGTGTATCCAACTTCAGCATAACGGGAAGCATAATGTCGTCTCAAGATGTCCCCGTTCCGCAGGGTCCGGATCGCAAGCGAGTTCTTAACGTGCTCGCCCAACGAAGATACCGTAAGATGTCCACGCATATTACTCCCTATCTAATCCTCATCTTTTCCAGGTCAACGTAAGCGAGAGCGTTTACGATCCCTGGAAACGATACTTCAGGCTAGCAGTACGAACGTAGCACATGGTCTGAATAGAGAGGGACAACTTCAGCACTCGACAAAGCCTCCAGCACCGGAACCATGCGGCACCGTCAAACTTGGCAACAATCCCCTTTACGATCCGTTCCAGGATTTTGGGAATACAGCAGTCGATCCGTCCTTTATGAGTCTTGCACCGTATGATATGACCTTCAACACATCGGCAATCTCGTCGTCGTATATAGGCGATCAGTTCGGGATCAGCCCTGGTCTAACTTATGGTATGCCCTAGCTAGTTTGCAGTCATGCTTTCTGCTATAATTGTGTCTACTGACTTGGTCTACAGCGAATGGTGCTCGGAGCGATACTTCAACGCTTGATTCACAAGTATCAGCGGAACTCCAAGATCTCGAAACTTCCCAGTTCACCTTCCCATCAGATCATATCATCGACATCCCAGGCCTCAAAACTATGGAGATCTCCTTACGTATTGCACAGATGCTTGGTCTTGGAGATGAGCTTTTGGATCTCACCATAAAACGGGTTCTAGACGTGTCGAAACTTTCAGTCCCTTTAGAAGACCTGCCTGAGAACTTACGCCCAACGGAAGCACAGCTCCTATTGCCACACAATCCGATGATAGATGTTCTTCCTTGGCCATCTGTCAGGACAAAGCTTATCTGTCTTTTCAGTCAGCCTGACCAGCTCAGACCGCCCATCGCGAGAGGCTCCATGGCCATCATGCGGCTGTTGTATAGTATCGATGACGAGTCGGAGGGACTTCGTGTTGTATCTGATGCGAATGAACAGGGCATTGATGTAAAAGGTTGGGAAGTCGGACAAGCCGTCTTCAAAGACTGGTGGTGGATATTGGATCCTGAAATTGTCTCCAACTCAAACCGACTAAGGAATATGAGAGGAGCCCCCAGATTGGAGATCTCAATACCGTAACAAGGTATCTGCGCTGCAGTCGAAGCTATAGCGATCCTACGGCTCGGTCCGCTTCGTTCTGCGCAATAGATCGACAAGAGCATGGTAAGCAAATGAGGAAAGGCTGCCACGACACAGGTTGCCTGCTTACAGCGCTATGCATGGGATTCTCGGAGCCAAGGATCGACCTGATTCGTTCACAGCGAGTGCGAAACCGAGACCGAAAGAGTAACTTCGCATATCACAGTAACATGTTGGACTCCGTATCCATCGTGTCACTCTTTCAAACGAGGCCGGGCCGCCCGGATTGGACGGATGGTGCTGTTCGGATGCTATGCTGTAATCATCGCCAGTCAGACGAGAATCATAGAGAGCGCTCCACCGAAGCACATTCATTCACACGGTTTCTTTTCCGTCACTCTACCTTACTATGGCGAAAGAACGCGGCTTAGTAGCCACTCACCTCGACCGTCTCATCGCGCGACAACTAGGACTACCTCGGGAAACATGCTCGTATACAACGACCCCTACGCGCATTCCGATATCCACATCAACCGAGACATTTGAGCTCGCAGCAGACATCTATCAACCTCTTCTCGCTCAAGATCAAAAGGCCGCAGGTACCATTCTAATCCGCTGTCCATACGGGCGCAGCCTTCTCTTCGCATTGCTCGGTGCGCGGCCCTACGCAGCACGAGGCTACAATTGCCTCTTTGTGAGCTGTCGAGGTACCTTCGGTTCGGGAGGCAAGTTCGCACCCTGGCAGAATGAAGAGGAAGACGGGAAAGCAGTGATAGAGTGGATGCGACAGCAAAGTTGGTATACCGGATCCTTTGCGACACTAGGAGGCTCCTACCTAGGTTATGTGCAGTGGGCTCTTTTGAAGGATCCACCAAGTGACATGGTAGCTGCAGTGATACAATGCGCACCTCATAACTTCGGCCAGCAGTTATGGGGTACGGGATCGCTCTCGCTAGAATGGGTGGCTTGGGCGGATAATGTCTTGCATCAGGAAGAAACAGGGATTGGCAACATGAGAAGGAGATGGAGCACGATGAAAAGAATGCAGCCTATGATGCGTGGGCCGGATCTTGCGAAAAGCATCAAGCACCATTTCGATGGTCAGGCGCCATGGATGGAGTATGTGGTTGACCATCTGGACATTGATACGAGGGAGCCGTTTTACGAGAAGATGAACTTTGAGCAGGCGCTCGAGCGGGCGAGTGTTCCAATCTTACTAGTGGGCGGGTGGTACGACGTCTTTGCGCCGCAGACTACGCAACAGTACACGCGACTGAGTGAGCACAATACGAACGTTTCACTAATGATGGGCCCGTGGAATCATACCCAGGTCGGTATGCAGGCCGAAGTATACAAGCAGTCATACAACTGGATCGAACAGCACCTCGCAAAGCGGAGTGTTCAAGCGCAAAAGAGCCCGATCCAATACTTCGTTACTGGAGCGAAGGAGTGGCGGCACGAAGCAACTTGGCCACCACCAACGGTCGTACTGCAGTGGTATCTTGGATCTGATCAGCGTTTGACAACCGAGAAAGCTACTCAAGAAGGATCTTCAGCCTTCTTCTTTGACCCAAAAGATCCTACGCCGATCGTAGGAGGTAATCTGCTGCTTCTAGGTGGAGGAAGTACCGATGATACTGCGCTAGCAGCCCGCTCCGACGTTCTTACCTTCACAACCGAACCTCTCGAAAACGATGTTGAGGTTGCAGGTGAGATCATCGTGCAGTTGAACCACGCAAGCGATAATCTGGATGTAGATCTGCTTGTTCGTGTCAGCGAAGTTGATGCGAAAGGACGATCGCATAACATAACAGAAACTTACAGACGATTGAGCGCAACGAGTAAAGTTCAAACACTCGTTCTACACCTCAACGATTGTGCGCATAGGTTTAAGAAAGGTTTTCGGATCCGGTTGTTGATTGCTGGGGCATCGTTTCCGCAACATGCGGTCAATGACGGACGTGGAGTTGGCGACAGTTCGGTGCAATGGAAGAACGTCATACATACTGTACGCTACGGGGGAGAAAGCGCTTCCAAGATACTGCTTCTTGTGGCAGCGTAGATCCTTTCTTGCTGATGCCACGGGCCGCAAAGATTACACCATGCTCGGCAGCCTTCCAGAGGCTGTACTTAGAAGCTGCGACCAGGTGGTGTAGCATGCATCAATGTAATACGTTGTGCTGTGAATATTGTCAGTATATGACTAGTTGCGTCGCCACTGTGGGTATAAGCTTCTCAATCCTTCTTTGCTGACTTTTTTCCATAGCTTGGGTCTCTAGATTGAGGATGGTCAATTTTTGGGTTTGGCGTTTGAGCTTTACATCAATGTGACTTAGCGCAGCAGAACGACACTGAGAGTAATGGAGACGATAAAATTTCAACACGAGCCACGATCAACTACACCTAAATCAATATAATTGTACGCGGTGAAACATGATCCGAAGTAATTGGCAAACTCGGGTCCCTTCTCGTCGCCGGAAATCTCCGGCACTCGAGGTTGTAAGCAACACTGTCACTAGTATGTCGCATCGGCCATATCTGAACAACACCAATACGCACATATGTGTTCGTTATATGTTCAACTTTTTCAATACATATGCCCCAATCTGGTGTAATCATCAATACATCGCAGGGCATATGATGAACGAAGTCGAAATAGACTGAACCTTCAGTCCACGTGCCGTTGCTGAGCTGAATCATACAACTTGAATTATAGCCAAGCGGCAATTCGCCTTCAGCTTGGACCTCTGTGACAAGCGTCACTGGTCTTGATAGGCGGGCGAAACCCTCCTTAAGTGCGCCCAAGGGGTCAGTGCCGTGATAAGTGACGCTGCACTCTTCGAGGCAAGCACAGTACTCAAAATGTTTTGAGTCCCATAATGGGTGTGTAATTTTGCCTTTCACAGACGCCCAAGACCACGAAGGCGCGATCCATTCGTGTCGTCTTCTCGGTGCTTGGGGGTGTCCTTCCATTCTTGCTTGCGAACCCAGTTCTATGGCTGGGCGCCATAGGAGGCCATCTAGGAAGCGTTGCTTCCACAATCCAGCGTAATACATATCCCCAGTGAGTTGCTGAATCTTTTGGGTGATACCGGATATTGCTGGAAAAGTATCGGTCTCATAGGTCATTTGGCGTGCGCTGTAGGACTTTATAAGGTGGGGCCAATGATCTAGTCCGAATGTAGTTTGGCTCATAGATTGTGCGATTACTTCAATTCGTCTGGCGAGAATGTTACAGGCAGGTCCTGAGAAACCGTTCTCGTCTTCAAAGATTTCGTCGCATCTCCAGGTCATATGTCCTTCATTGAAACTTAGAACACGATGAGAGAGAAGACTTTCTTGAACAGCCCATTTACGACAATCCAGAGGCTGCTGATACTCAATGATGTCAATGTTTGATAAGTATCAGAGTGCGTGGGATACCACTAACCTCGTCATCTCGATTGGAAGTCAATTGGAATTGGAAGTAAAACTCGAGTGAGCCCTCATCATCTTCGATGTCCATACACAACGGGTGGGATACTGTACGAAGGCTGAGAAATCCCTTCCCACAGTGCTCTGCTCTCGAAGCAGCTACGGTCAGGTATGCGTTAGAGTAGACGTCTGCCATGCGTGCAGCTTCGTGTTCCCAGTCTGTTTTGGAGTCTTGTAGTATACACAGACAATCAATCCAAATGTATTCAATGCCCATCCATCGTGCAATCAAGATAGCATCTTGTAAAGTCTGGGGTAATGTGTCGAAACCAATAGCAGATTGGTGTGCTTGCAAATTGGTTGTAGTTGTTGTGAAGGGCAAGCTAGCGCCCCAGCAGTAGCTCAAGGCAACATAATGGCCGGTCTGACGATGGGAAGTCTGGACAAGCTTGCAACTCCCTCCATGAAATAGCTCTCGCCAGCTGTAACAATTGTCAAGAACTTGTTCTGGTCCAGGTAATGCGCTCACGTCCAAGACTCTTGTCGGTAGTGAAACAAGTCTGGTTGACAAATGAGAGCACTTGGAATGGCCATCGTTGCATTCATCTAGCCAGGACAGCATGAGGTTCATTGTATGGGGATGAATTGTCTCTGGAAAGCTGACACGGGGGAGCCAACTTTTCAACGAACTGTCTTTATGGACTGGTTAGTCTCGGTGTACTCGTTTTCAGGTGTTATGAGACTTACTGAGTCTTTTGCAGAGATCAATCCACAGAACCATAGTCTTTGCATGATGGGGATTGCCTAACCCGACGGTGAGGCTAGGACCAGCGTGTTGATGCACGTGTAGCGTCGTCCAGATCATGAGACTTCGCGGAATAGCCTTCTTGACCCCTTCCCATCCTACATGTTTTTCCGCGTCTATCAGATACCATTCTCTATTCCTGATATATAGCAAGATACTGTCACAAAGTCGGCACATCTTCGCGCGAGACACCAATTCTGAAACAGTGCATCGTCGCTCGTTCCAAGGAAGGCGGTCTAAGAACATTGGTGATGTTCGTCCAACAGAATTGAACCTGAAGCCATCGATAAGGATCACTCCTTCGTCATTGTCAATGAGTTCACGAAATGAGATAGACTTGCAGACGTTACATAGAGACATGACTGCTGATGCAATGGGCGTGTTGTATGGTGTCCTCCTCATAACCCAGCTGTGTGAAGATGTTACTCAGCCTCCTCATAACGTGACTTCCGGGCTAGCCTCATCTGGCGTACAATACTGTCCAATGACAGACGTGACTTGTAAGATAGTATTGAACGTGTGACATGCAAAGTGATAACTAAAGCACTTTTTCTTCGTGCCTTGATAGATACCTGCATTGTATGCGAATGCAGAATGATAGACTAATGAGCACTTTTGATGATGCTTCGACGCAACTATTCCAAAGACATCAACCCCGCATTCAACCTGTTCAGCCTTCTTCTAACCTCCTCTGCCCTGTCCTCTACAACCTCTCGCTTCGGTGCCTCTTTCAACTCTCTCACATCCTTGTCGCCTTCCACACCCTCGTCTTCTTACTATCCTCTTTCTCAAATCTCTTCCTCCACATACCCATGTAGTTGACAGCCGCCTGTCTCACCCAGATACACCACCACATGCTCTCCGCCCACCGCACGAGTTCATCATCCGTTACACCGGCATACTTTACATCCGTCCACTGCATCTGGAACTTCTTCTCGCGCGGCGTGGTAGCGAGCGAAAGGGTACCAGTTTCAGGGTCAAACAATGTCCAGCGGAAGAGACAGAGTAACTTAGCTGAGGGCGACATGTTAGCCGGCGATGGATGCGGCATGAATAGCACTGGTGGTGTTCGTGGGAGGGCATCGATATAGACTGGTACATCTTGGGGATGGGTAGAGGAGAGGGGAGGGAAGAATGACAAGGCAGGTAAGCAGGGTGTCGTAGATATGGTAGTGATGGATAAGCTCGGCGTGAGGGACGGTGTTGAAGGTGGTGTCATCTCGCCAATCATCGCAGGTAAGAGATCAGGAGTGATGGACTGTTGGTGCTTGACAACGATGGTAGGTCGAGAAACATTACTGGTCCATCCATCGATGCCGGTTGGTATGGTATTAGTGATGAGATCTCGTAGTCTCTGCTCCTCGCATTCTTTGGCCCAGGCGGCGCGCTTGATGTAGTATTCGGTTGCAACGTGAGGAAACATGGTGAAGACCTTGTCGCGGACAGCTGCCCTGGTATGCTTATACCATAATTGAAGATCAGCGTCGACGTGCTCGCTAGTTTGGCTACCGTTGTCCTCCAATCCGGTAACGCGTTTGTTGAGAAAATATCCAGGGTAATGCTTGGGAACCCATTCTTTGATGAAAGGCGTCCAATGCGGCGCGCGATCTTCGAGCCGGTCGTTGTACTTCTCCTCAGCCAGTCGTGCGGCGAGGTGACCTGGATGAAAGAGCCAAGAGCTGGCAAAGTGTTTGTAGACTAGCATCATGATTAGTTTGCGCGCGTCACATTATGACTTATAAGACTCACTCTCGTCCTTGCTCTTGAAGCCAGCGTTCAGTATCCTCCGATCCAACCCTACGACCCGCAGCGCATCCTTCGGATCCTTGCTAATCCACACCATGCTTCCAGGAAAGTTTGTCTCTTCAACCTCTTCAACGCGGATGTGCATACCTGCGGGGTCGATTGTAAGACCCAGCGGCTTCACCATACTTCCGATGATCTTGCTATTACTTGCGTAATTGAGCTCAAAGTGGCACCAACGAAACAGCTCGGGCTTGAAGCAGACCTTGACGTCGATCTGAACAAAGTAGTTTTCTTCGCCGTGGGGAGCGTCGATGGCAAAGTACATGCAATCTGGGGTGAGATAGCCCTGGCGTCCGTGGGTAGTATCAAGGACTTCTTTAATGAGACATACGGTGCTCTGCCAGGGAAAGTCGTCGATCGAGGTGCTGTGTCGAGAGTGTAGAGGCTCGCAGACTAGAAAGTCGACGTCACCGAAATCATCCTGTCGTTGTCAGAAAATACAGCCTGTATGTGAGATATAGTTATACCTTGCCGGGCATCTCAGTTGGTACAACAACTTGTGCGAAGACAGTCTGCAACGCAGCGGTCGCCTGTGCTTTGACCTTTTTGTAGACAGTTGGAGAGATGCGCGGACAGTATAGTCCTTTGAAGGCATGGCCACCCATCTTGTGCTGTAGTCAACGAAACAAGCAGTGGTCAATGTTGTTGAAACTTGTAGAAGATGGCAAAATAGTGGAGTGTAAACGAGAGGTGGAGATCTTGTTACGTTAATGTATTGTACTGAGCAATCGCTGGACAAAGTAAAGGTAATGGTAGCTGAGCTATATCGGGTGCAGGTAAAAGATATCCAGATGACACGGCGAGTGCTTGACGGCACAAAGACCGCAATCCTGTACACCGCTCTCTTGAGAGGTACTTGTTATCTTCCAGGCTTACATTCACTTTGGGTATTCTATAGGACGTGTGAGACTTGGTACATCGAGTGTTCTTAGAGCTGTTCCATCTTCATTGCGCATGCAGCAGTCGATAAACCGCGAGGGTACAGAACCACTTCTTGCTCATATTCAGATGAGAAGCAGCCCTGAGTGATTGCGCATCATGAAGAGCACACCTCCAGCTTGTATTGCGGACAGCCTCTGGTGTGGCATGAGTTTCGTGAAATCTCATACCTCAAAATCCTTGTGCGGCCTCTGGGTTACTTCAACGTGTCTTGATGTCTGTAATCTCCAGGACGAATTATGCCTCGTTGGCAGCCTTCCAGTCTGCCATCCATAGCCACAGCTGCAGCGCATCTTTGCGGCGTTCAGAAAACGGTTGGACGAGGCTGTCCCATATCACCTTCACCACCACCGCCCATGCGGCGCAGCAATGGCACGAGCGCTAAATCTGAACATTTATTAGCACGACAACCACGACAACCACGACAACCACAAAGGAAACACAACCATCCCTTACTATGGCAGTGGCACGTCTCCAAGCAATCCTCGCATGCCTTCCTTGCGGTACCGCAGAAGCCAAAGATGAGACCTATCCCAACGAAAAAGCCGCGCTACTCTCCGCCGCTACATCCAACTCACGTCTTACCGCTGAGACTGCCGACAATGTTATCGCAATCCTCCTGACCACGTCCCTCACCGGCCCAGCCCTCCACATGCAGCTCGACTCCGTCGTCGGCGCATCGGGCTGGCGCTCCAACATGGCCAAATACGTCCTAGAAAAGCTCACTGCCGCGCTGCAGGCGTCGCACGAGAGACTCGGCCCAACCATCCGCAGCGCCTACCATCGCGCATGGGAAGCAGCGCAAAGTATCGAAGGCTTCGTCATCGAGCATCCCGTCATGTGCACCGTCATTGCCCTGGGCGTACTTGCAGTCGTCGCGCCGTGGGTACTCGAAGCGCTCGGTTTCACAGAGTTGGGGCCAGTCCAAGGTACGTGTATCAAGATGCGTCTACTTTCATTGCTCATTTCCAATCAAGACTGGGTTGGACGAGAAGGGACGATGGCGACAGAAGCGAGGAAGATGCGTTCCGCGGAAATTTGGAAAAAGCAAATGTGGCGTGAACCGAACAACTATAAATTGTGTACCTTTGCGAATGACTTTCTAATTGCGGAAACTGACGCGACACAATGCAGGTACCTTCGCTTCCTGGTGGCAGTCGGCCTACGCTGGCCTGGTACCGAAGCGCTCACTGTTTTCCTTTTTCCAGCGTTTGGGCATGGTGAAGTGGCACTGGGTTCTGGTCTGAGAGGCAATAAAGCTTGGTTATCTTCTCTCCGCGGTTCTCATTTGCCAGGAGGTTCCTTCCGGGGTGATTTTCAGGGAAGCGGGGAAGAAACCAGATGTAGAACAGATATTGAAGGAGCCGATATAGCTGCAGGCTGAAGGATAGTGTTCATCTCGCGAATCTTGCTTGCATGACTGACATGGGGCGCCTATATCGTTTCTTGCCTAACGTCCTGAGGCCCTGTAATGCTCGTCTCCAGATGTCATCGCAATCTCCTCACGACGTCATAGAAGCTATGTCATATTCACTCCAGAACGACAGACTGCAAAAGACTGTTTCAAAATAACGCAACGGTTCCCGTCCCGCAAAGTTAACAAGTAACAAGGTTGATCGCAATAAAAAACCGCAGACATGACTGAAGCGCACCGTGTGTGGGACCAAAGGGGAAGATTTGCGGGGGACCGTGGAGGCCGCGTAACTCATACGCGCCCGCGCTAATACTGTCAAAACAACAGCCATTTCCCTACCACCACCGTCCACTAGTCCCGCCAAGACCACTTGTTACGACACCATCAACCCCACGCACGACGGCTGCTCGCGGGAGGGGCGTAACGCGTCTCATTGGCTATTTGGGTTGGACGTCTCAACGTCTTTTCCTTGTCGTGCTTATCTGCGCCATCGCGATCGTTATGCGACAGCGACTGTATGTCCTCGGGGGCGGAGAGGTGAAACACAACAACAACAATAATACTGCCCGCCCAGCTTCTAGCTCGCTTGAACCCGTTCTCGAAGCACGGTCTATCAGGGTGCTTTGGGCGGCATGGTGCGACGCTGTTATTGCACATAGCAGCAAGAATAAAGATGAAGATGGAGATGGTGGGGATAGTGGTGGTGGTGTTGAGGAACCATGGCCGTGGGTTCTGGAGTACATGGGCACAGGCCTTACGACTGCTCAGAAGGAATGTTTGATTGGAGATGAGGATCTGAAACGAGCAGCTCCTCTTGCGGAGGCAGTGTTATTTGGTAGTGCGATGCATGATGGTTTGAGGGGGTATGTTGTCAAGAGTGGTAACGGGGATGGGGATGCGGATGCGGATGCGGGTACTGGTACCGAGCGCGCAGAGCAGAAGATCGTCCTATTCGGTACCGACGTCGAGATAGAAGAGGGTGTGCCAGAAATCCAGACTTTTCTGGTAAGCGAGAGCGGGTTCACAGCGACCATTACAGACGTGAAGATCGATACCTCGGGCTGCATATCGCTCTACACGGCGTCTCCGTCTACAACAACCACAACCACAGACTTGGTCCTGCGCTTTGAGAACTTTTCGCATCTCCGGCGGTATCTTTCTTTTGCTCCACAGCCCTTCTCGCTTGCACGGGAAGTAACATGCCTCCCATTCACATCCCCCTCCCCACCCCAACACGTCGTAAACGCTACGACAACATCTGCTCTAGACGCCAATATGCACGTTTGGACTTCGACCAGTGATCCTAGATACCCAAAATGCTTAGGCCGGTCACATGATGGCGGGTTCGACATGTCGCCCTTGCCTTATCTGGAGGAGTCATGCATCCTAAAGGTAGCGGCTGGCGGTTATATGAGTGCGGCGGTGAGCTCGGACGGGGAACTGTTTGTTTGGGGTCAGGCGTGTCCTGGAGCAGGTAAGGAACTAGACGTGCTTAAGGTTAGTGGAGGAGTAGAGGTGCCGGTCACAGGGATTGGTGTTGATGAGGAGCAGGATGAGTTTGTCAAGTGCTTGGATGTGAGGATAGATGGACAGGTGGCGAGGGTGTATGATGTGGCGGTTGGCCACGGGCATCTTTTGGTGGCTGCTGAATTGTGTGAAACGGGAGAAGAGACTAAGAGTGTGTTATTTGCAGCTGGAGATGACAGTGAAAACCAGCTTGGTCTTGAAACTGGTGCAGACTTCAAGGAGAGTTTTGAAGAAGTCACATCTTTACGAGGTAAGCGGATTGTTCAATTAGAAGCGGCTGGATGGTCAACTTATGTCGTATCACTCGAAAAGTAAGTGTACATTATTGTATGCTTTGTGGTTCCCAACTAGGTATCATATTGGTTCCATCAATACAAGTGAAGAACTCAACCTAGCACGCCATGTACGAGAGTGAAATCGACACACAGCTCCGCTTAACAGAGGCAGCCTCCACAACGCGCTGATCCTCCACAACGGTATGTCAGAAACCTCAAACGATTGGCTGGTCCTTGTTCGACATTGAACGTTGGGGCCTCCGCGTCGACCTGTTCATTGTGAATACTCACTGCTGGTGCTGGTACTGGTGGCAGATATCCGTTGAGCTCAATAGCGATGGTCGTCGTGACCGTAATGGAACCGGCTCTACTCTGATCCCTCGAAGGTAAAATCATCGTTTGAGGTCTTTGTGAGTCTCTATAGGCTCTGAATGCTGAATGATTGGATGTGCGCGTGGTGAGGTGGGTGACCCGGCGCGGGAGGATGCGCTCGAACAGAGGACGCAGATGAGGGCAGCATGCTACAATAATCCCAGTGCTTATCTGGGCGATTGCCCACATCAAAGTGGTGCCTATACCATATGTTACGTCGCCTTGATATACAACATCGGCGAGTGAGTTGACGCGAAAGCCACCAATGAGTATGTTGCTAAGTTGGTTAGTCTCTGCGGATTGAGAAGTGTAGATACTTCTCGCACAGTAACCCCAAAGCGAACATCAGGGAGACAGCCGACTTGTGTGATCGCCGCAGCCTCAAATGCCAGACGACATAGTGTGGTGAACACCAGATCGATGCATCCAGAGCCACCCCCAGTACTGCTGTGGATACTACATACGATTTCAACTTGAAACAGTGTTCCGGGTCCTCCAGAGGCATCAGGTAGTTGTGTTTCCACGGACGGCAGTGGAGTGCAATGACGACGACAGACGCAAGTCCCAAGGCAATTGTCGTAGCGATACAAAAGTGTGCTGTAAGTCAGATTAATAAACACGTGTGTATCGGAAGTGCCTGCTTGTCCAAGGGTCAACAATACCACCGTGTCTCAGCCGGCTGTATGTTTTAGTATATAAGGTTCGGACGAAGAATACGAGGATTGCGCATCGGGTGAGGGCGATGCTGATAGCCATGGGAAGCCGGAAGAACCATAGTATCTGCATGCGTAAGCTCTGCCCAGGATGGAAGAAGCATAACCCTACTATCAGCGTTCGCTTGAGGTCTGCCATGGTAGCTGTCACTATGTGCTGATGGGCAAGACTAGCAGCCATCGCTTCGTTGCATTAGCCATGGCATCTGATTGCAGACGGAAGGACTCGCAAACTATGAACATTGCCATGACCACGTATTGAAGGAGCTGATGCATGTGGTCAGACATCGCACTCGCTTTCGCTACAAGGCTGGGCAGTACCAGAGCAAGCAGCAGGAAAGTATCGTCGATGGTCCATGGCAGTAGCCGTGACCGCTTTGCGCAGAAGCGTGCCAGGAGGAAAAGCAGAGGTAGCACCGACAGAATAACAAGGCCCGCAATATATTTGCCGAACAGCATGGGTCGTCTCGGATCGTGCCGAGTGAGGAAAAAAAGAACCGGCGGAGTACCTGGAAATCGCTTCAGGATACAGCCGTGCGCATTACGAGATGGCATAAGGGATAGGGCGATGCAAAGCTAAACGGGCGAATAGGTCTCGAAATAGAATATAGGGTTGTAGCGGTGATGAGGAAGATAGTGGTGGATGGGAATCGAAGATGCAGATGCATATGGTTATGCGGAGCTACTGCCGTCGAGGGTGGTGAAACACATGAGAGACAGCAATAAACGCAAGAGCGGTGCCGATGAGAAAGTGAAGCAATCCGGGAAGCCGCCGTTGGGATGCCAGCATTGAGCATGGATGAAGTGAGTTGCTGGCACCCCTTTGCGGTAGCGACGGCGGCGACAAGGTTCCATTACTGGCCCGGGTGTCGCAGGTGTCAAGAGGAGTTGTTCGGGCAAATCCTGGACTACCGTGCACATCAGATTGCCATATCCGCGACCCATTAATTACCTGATGATGTCAATCGCGGAAGAAAAAATGTTGCCGTGCTGATGCCCGGGTGACCAAAGCTGTAAACAAACCTGACATATCGTGACTGCCCAAGTAGTAAGCGAAGCCTGGACGGGGTTAGCACGGAGATCAGGGCAGCCAAAGCCTGATCAGGCGGCGAGAAAAGCAAATGAGGGGCGCTAGGATTGAGGGCGAGGGCGAACAAAGAGGGTTCGGTGAGGGTTCGTAGAGGTTACCAGCAAGTCGCAGAATGGTGCACAAGGTGAATTGTCGGGTTTCAGAGTGCCCGCCGCAATGTAGGCCACCAACTACGGTGCGCGCCTCAGCCTCCATTGTACGGCTTTCTTGCGCCACTGTCGGACCTATCGACACCCACGCGGCACCGGATATCCGACAACAGGCACCAGTTCGGAGGTATGACTCTTAAGTTGCTGGAAGCCATACAACTCTATCGCGAGTTTCGAGATGCGAATGCTTTGCTCAGCCTCGGACCAGTGTCGCGTCTGCTCGAGTCTCGAGTCGGTCCGACCGTGTTCTTTTTTCGGCGTACCTGCTTTAGTACGGAGGTATTGACACACCTCGGACAATTATTACACGCCCGAATATGCATCCATTTTGTATGTGCAATTCATACATCACGACGAGCAGATGTTTGTCAGGCAACGGTACCCGCAGATGCAGTAGGATTCTCCGCTTGCGTGGCCAGCGCTGATCGATCGCACTTGAATCTCAGCTATGCTGGCTGCCGTCCAGTCAGAACAGATCGTCGGGCTCAAAACGCATCACCGGCAGGGCTGATCAGGCATTAGAGAAACACCTGAGAGAGGCAAAAAGCAAGGGTAGCGTCGATCATGATCACCACCTCACGCAAACAGGCCTCGTTTGAAGTGGGTACGATAGTTCACGCAGGCTGTCGCGGCACTGCTGCACATGGCTTCCCACGACGCTGAGAGGCTGTGGATTTTCTCACCATCAAGCGCTACAACGCGAACACCCCATGGCAAAACGGAGAATCCGGTGCTGTTGCCACGACGGTAGCAGACGGCGCATGACAGGCCGTACGCCCTCTATTCGCTGATTGGGCCGTTGTGCGAAACGCGAGCGGGATCCGGCAGATGGGGGCGCGCCATCCAGGGGTGCAGCATAGTTCATCCTTCCTTCTGCGCTTTTCCAAGGCCGTGTAAGACCCACCCATGTCGGTGGTCCAAGGCTGTAAACGTCATGTGCCCGTCCAGCTGCCTGCCAACTCGTACTTTTCCGCTTGGGACCCATAGCATTTCTTGTCGAGCTAGGGCTGCCTGGGGAGTGGGAAGCGAGATGGGCCACTAATGCCATCCTGACCTGATCCGTCGACCGTTTTTCTGGCTTCAAAGTAGCCTTGCCATCCGTTTTACACGCGGCAGCTTCTCTTTTCCTTTTGCTTCGACGAGCCATCATCGTTACAACTTCCGGAACCCCTGGAGACTGCACTGTGTATTTAGGGTTCTGCACTCCCTCTCGACTTGCTCCGCGGCTCCTGCGGCCATGAACTAGCACAGCAATCCGCTCTATCCGGACTAATACATACCATGGAAAATCGACAGTCTTCGCCATCCCCTCGCCGGGCGAGTCCTCGACACAGCATGCAGAGACAAAGAAGTAACTCGTTCCCCATTGTCGAGGCTCTGGGATGCTCAACGCCAGAAGCACTCCTCATTCTGGCAGAGGGCAGAGCCGCAGTTCGGAAACGCCGAGCTCGACGCAACCAGTCGGTCGACGATGAAGTCAACCGCCTCTTCAACCCCCAAGACCACATCAAGTTCCTAGAAGGACTTGCCGCCCTGCCCACGCCTCAGGATCAACCATCCCCCTTTGACCCAAAATACTCGTTGCACTCTCGGGTCCCATCCGATGCCACAGACCACAGCACTTCAACCGTAGTGCCGCATGTGAACGATGGGGAGCCTCGGAATCTCTCACCAACGCTAGGCGACTATTCCGCCAACCTTGCCGCTTTCATCAAGAACCAGCTCAAGTCGATACCAACGTACCAATCCAATCATCGCCCCACATCATCCCTTTCCCCCCGATCATGCCCGGATCTATCGTTTCCCATGCAGACCCCTCCGTCACCGAACCCTTCCGGTCGGCGACAAGTCGAGGGCCCAAGGACAATTGAGATACCCCCGGTGCGACCACCGATGAAAAGCCAATTCTCCGCTTGGAGCTCCACCGACGACGAGACAGACGACGAAGCGCTCCCCCTACCGGAATATGCATTACCGACTTCGGCATCCAACTCCAAGGGAAGCAAGTACACGCCATCCATCTTAGGCTACTATGAAACCTCGCATAACAACTCGTCGTTTCTATTTTCATCAACGCCGCTAGAAGAAGAGTCAGAGCCCACTACGGCTAAAGCCTTCAAGTTTCCTGATCCGTCAGCACTACCTTGTTCGTCACCCGATGAGCAAGACCATGATGATGACGACGACAACGCTGCACACGAACACGACTACCCCTCTTCGTCTTGCCCCTCTCAGCCTCAGCTCACTTCCACGTCAGCGCCTTCGTACACGTCGTCTTCGGTGTCGAGTTCCAGTTACTTTGACTGCAAGCGACCTGTGGCTATCACGCCGCAAATGAAGCAAAGGGTGATTGCGGCTGTCACGCCCCCACATCCACACAATAAGAGGCTTACCGCCGTGTCGCCTTGGGAGGGGAATGCGTTTTCCAACGTACACGATGTGTATGTTGAATCGCAGCACCGCGTCAACGTCGATGGCATGTCTTTTGATATGCTCCGCGACTTGAACATGTCCAGCAGACTTACACCTTGCTGATAGCTTCACTACGCCTTGTTTCTGATCTCCTTATCTTACTAGCGCGCCCGTTCGGAGGTGTTGTCGTCGTTCATGTTGCCAAAAACGCCTGTGGTCCAGCTGGCCTGCGCCACATGCCAACGGCCCTCTCCTTCGGTTTTGCACATTTCTTCTTCCTTGTCTTTTGGTCCTATAAATATCCCTCTTGTAATCCGGTATTTCTGGGCGTTTCATACAAAACTGCTTAGCTTTTTCTTATGTCTGCGGTTGTGGCTTGGTTCGGCAAAGTTTGCTTTTGTCCACTTTTCTATTCTACGAACAAGCGATTTTTACTTTTGAGTTGTCAGGCGTCTACTTGGAACACAGGACGAGTGTACGCGACACGAATTCCATTCTTTTAATCTAGCGAGAGAGAGGAGTTTAGGGGAGGCTAGCATATTTTTTCGGTTGTGAGAAGTAGAGGGACACAAGTAGCGAAGACAGAATGCCAGCACGGAAGAGGGTAGTAAATTTCGGCATAGGTCAGTCTGGGAAGAAACACACAGCATACATTTGCACACAACGTACAAAACACATCTGGTAGCAATACACAAAAAAATCATTTGCGCGCGTCTTGCTTTTCTCTGCGCCTTGTTGAGGTACATGTGATGCTGAGATAGGGCTGGGAAGCTGCCATACCGAGTACCTGGGTTGAGCAGGAAGGGATCTGAATCATGAGACAACGGCAGTGCGAGCACGGGTATTTTGATTAGTAGATTGTGAGCGGTGAAGAAGGGGGACTATATGCAAGGTCCCGCTCGTGCAGACGGCGTGTGTCGATCTGGAGACGGGCTGGAGCTGCATGGGTGGCGATCGGGGGACTTGGAGGAATGCGGCGACGTCATGTTTGATTGGTTTGCGCGACGCGGCTTTTGCATGGCGAGGAACGCGACTGTGCCGCGAGAGCAAACATGACACGCGCAGCTGTCTGAAGACGCAACGCACTTGGCTTCATGGATTTTCCTGCGGTTTTGCCTGATTGCCTTGACCTGCACTGACGCTCTTTGCCATTGTAGGCGGGTCAAGGTATAGGACACGTTGAAGGTTGAAAGTTCCCGCCCTGGACTCACCAAAGCCTTCCCCACCACTCCCACTCCCACTCCCACTCCAACCGCGCACTCTGCCCACCATGGCAGACTCGGAGCCCAGCCTTGTGGCCCTGGCCCTCGGAAACGCCGCCTATGCCTTCTCCAAGGTGCAGCCGCTCTTGCCAGTCTACCTCCACATGATCCTCGCGTCTCTGTTCCCCATCTACGCCGCATCCCACGCATCCCTCACCCGACCTTCGACCGCTGCGAAACCCACCAAGAAAGGAAAGAAAAAGACACGGCGCGAGGGCGATGACGAGGACACGGACAGCGAAGATGAGGCGGAAGAACCCACGCACGAAATGGAAGGCCTGACCAACAAGGACATCATCCTCTTCCCCCTCTTCGCCGGAATAGCCCTGGCATCACTGTACTTCCTCATCAAATGGCTCGAAGACCCCACCGTCCTGAACCAAGCCCTCAACGCCTACTTCGCCATCTTCGGCGTTGCAGCAGTAACAACGCTAGTATCAGACGTCCTCGACATCGGCCACTCCATCATCTTCCCACGTCGACACGCCCTCGCCGGCACTCTCTACCACGTCCACGCCAGCGACGCCCTCGCCGTACCAGTCGCCGGCACCATCAGCGCCAGCCAAACTCTTTCAACCCCCTTACCCGGCTTCCTCGCACGCATACCACTGTCGCAAGCCGCAAAAGAATGGCTCTGGGCCGACCGCGCAATGCCGACTCGCAAGTGGACGCTCAAACTGCACACACACGGCGCCCTCTTCGGGAAGCTCAGAATCAGCGCGCACACCATGGTCGGTGCTACCGTTGCACTCTCTACCATCCTCTACTTCAACCTCGTGGATAAACCATGGTATCTGACCAATCTACTCGGCTTCAGCTTCTGCTACGGCTCCCTGCAGATGATCTCTCCCACGACCTTCTTCACGGGCAGCGCGATTTTGGTCGGGCTCTTCTTTTACGACATCTACATGGTTTTCTTCACGCCGCTCATGGTTACTGTCGCGACCAAGCTCGATGTACCTATCAAACTCATGTTTCCTAAACCCGGGGGCAGGAACACGGCTGCTATGCTTGGGCTAGGCGATATCGTCATACCAGGCTTGATGGTGGGGCTGGCGCTAAGGTTCGATTTGTACCTGTTTTATCTGAGGAGACAGAAGCGCGTGTCAGCAAAGACTGGTGAGAGTGGGGGAGACGAAGAAACTGTTGTCAAGGCGGAATACTACCCTCTTGCGGGTCGGTGGAGTGATCATTTCTGGACACATTCCTTCATGGGGAGGCCGCTGTGGAGTCCTACTTCTCCTGCCGGTGCTGCTTCGAGGACGCATCAAGGCGGAGAGGGGAACCAAGAGGCGCCATTTACCTTTCCCAAAGTCTACTTCAACGCTGCGCTGATAGGTTACGTGGGCGGTTTGGTTGCTACGTTATGCGCACTCCATCTTATGAATCATGCGCAGCCGGCGCTACTTTGGCTAGTGCCTGGTGTGTTGGTTAGTCTTTGGAGTACGGCGCTTGTGAGGGGCGAGCTGGGGTTGATGTGGAATTACAGTGAGGAAATCGTTGAAGAAGAGGGAGATGCAGATGGGAAGGGGGAGAAGAAGAGAAGGCAGCAAGGCAGTACGGGCGGCGACAAGCATGACAGGAGGGATGAGAAAGCCGAGAGAGCGAAGACCAAGTCGCGCAGGTCGGATCGAGAGCTGCTCTCGTTTTCAATCGAGGCGCCGCGGAAACCTCGTCGGACTGTATCGATTGAGAGTGATGATGTCGAGGTGGAGCGGAGCGGCACTGTTACGACTGCGCAGTCTGTTGGTAATGGAACGTTTTGGGCGGGGTCAACTTCGAACACGACGGCTCGTCAAGAGGTAGAACATACGGAGCCTGCTGGAAAACGTCTGAGGGTGAGATAAGCAGAGCAGGAGAGGTACTTACGGTTATATTGTAACGATTGCGCATAATGGACTTGCATATAGCGATGGAGTTGTAGGGTTTACACTGGTCTGCATGGAGTCTTTTTTATGCTACACATTCGAATGTCATGCGACCCTTTTTCTTTATTTGGTAGTGTGTATGCTATATTACACATATACATATATCCTTTTTTTTCACACAACAAACTGATCTTCATTTCTGTGCAGTCCCAGACGCCGACTCAGAATCTCTTACGAGCTAGAGACTCCTTGGGATTGACATTGCTGTTGCGTCTCAGATGATGTTGTAGTTGAGCTAGTCTATGGTTGTAATTAGGATTACAATGACATCAAGGGTGACGAGGACGGCGAAGAACAAAACGGACGAGTACGGATGATACCTTTCTCATTAGGTAGTGCGTACCACATCTAACTCTTATGGTGTCATGTAGCCCGACTGTTATCGCAATGAAAACCTGAGGTCTATCGTCCTCGACTTTTCTCAATCACCTGGATGGGGTATTCACGAAGCCGAAGGGCATGGTGTCGAATCTTGAGCATTTTCCGAGTTAGTAAGCGCATGTTCGCAGAGCATCAAGTCGGGATCTACTTGACCCTCCGACTCCGCTTCCGTCTCCGCCTTGGCCTTGCCTCCGCCACAAGAAGGTACACATTCCAGAATGCATCCGCTGCTAGAAAGGACCGCGGATACGAAGTGCTCCGAGAGACAACATACCAGCCAAGAACATCGGAAGACCAAAAAAACCTTTTCCGTTGATCAGATCAGCCTAAGTGTGTTTCACACAGCAAAAAGTGGCTTAGTGCTTTTCGAATGTTTTACCTTGCCCCATTAGAAGAGACGTTCCCGGTAGAATTCGTTGACGACTAATAATCGTGAATCAACTTCGGATCGGCCCTTCTTATAACCCCACCCTATACGCAAAGCTATACGGTCCTTGCGGAGCAACTTTCTACATTCATCATACTTCGACTGTAAGGAACCCAGTCAGCGGCCATTGACAGTAAGAAGGGAGACCGTGAGTGTGCCCGTAGCATGGCCTGCCTTGGCCCGGGTTCTTAGATCCACATTACGTGCGTATGGCTGCAGAGGTTATGTGGAGGTTGTCTACAAGAAGTGAACGGAAGACATAGTGTCCGTTTCCGTTATCAAGGGAGGAAACGTTGATTATAACTCAGGTAGGCGCGCTGCTGCTTAGCTCTTCAATTTCAACATCTTCTCGATAACTGTTACACAAGTTTACAGTCTAGACCAACTCTTTACCATAGTATTGCCTCGAATTATACTTACAATTACGATTTGCTCTATTGTCACGATGGGATCAATTCGGCCTCTACAAGATGTCAGCGGAGCACTGCTCGATAGGTATGCAGAGGAACGGGACAAACGCCTGAAACACTCTGGTCAGAAGCAATATGTCAATTTCCGATCGCAAGGTCTCCAAGATCTTGACAAGGACCCTTGGGTGGATTATAGTGATCCACGAGTCAACGACCCTCCTCTGAAAGACGGTACCAACATCAAATACCTCATCACTGGTGCTGGTATCAATGGTATTGTCTTTGGGGGACGCCTCATCGAGGCTGGTATCAGTAGCAAGGATGTCGTATGTGTTGACGTTGCTGGAGGATTTGGCGGCACGTGGTATGGAGATCCTGTTCACTTCTGGCCGAGAGCAATCACTTACAAGTGTGATAGGTACTACAATCGATACCCTGGAGTCATGTGCGATGTCGAAGGCTATTGCTACATTCCTTTCCTTGAAGAAACAGGTTACCAACCTCGCCACAAATACTCGTACGGCCATGAGATCAGACGCCAGATTGAGCGAAGCGCCGACCACTTTGGGATTCGGGGTCAGTTCTGCACCAGCATCAATTCGCAGATCTGGGACGAGGGAAAGAAACTCTGGGTCGTCACCATGACACGTACCGTGGGGGACCCATCGACGTCAACGACATTCACTGTATACGCCGAGTTTATCATGATGTCCAGTGCTCCTTTCATACTACCAAAGATGCCTGACCTTCCGGGATTCGAAGACCTTCACCGAAAGAAACACGTGTTTCATTCCGCTCGCTGGGACTACGAGTATACCGGCGGGACTCAAGAGAAACCTGATCTGGAAAAGCTCCGAGGAAAGCGTGTCGCGATTATTGGCACTGGGGCAACTGCTATCCAGATTGTACCTGAGCTGGCAAAGTGGGCTGACCAGGTATATGTTGTGCAAAGGACAGCGACGCATGTAGGGCCCCGCAACCAAGCGGAGACTGATCCAGAGTATTGGGCCAAGATGACGAGCGAGAAAGGATGGCAGAAGAAACGGAGGTTGGCATTCGACGCGTACGTCAGTAACAGCAAGGGATATGGCCCTGATCTGGTAAACGATGGCTGGACGGCGACTCCGGCCGGATCTGGCTTTCTGGGTTCCAAGTCAAAGCTTGTCGCTCCCAATGAGGTCGAAGAGCATATCAAGGACCTTTATACGCTAGATCTTCCGCGCACTGAGTCCCTGCGAAAACACGTCGACAAGATTGTCAAAGACAAACATACTGCCGAAAAGCTGAAAGCATGGTATGGAAGCTGGTGCAAGCGGCCTTCCTTCCATGATGAATATCTCCAGACTTTCAACAAGCCCAACGTTACGTTGATCGACACGGACGGCAAAGGTCTCGATCGATACACCGAAAACGGTATTCAATACAACGGCATCGAGTACGAGATCGATGCTCTCATTCTCGCTACCGGATTTACGGTTGATCCAGACCTGGACCCCTCTGAGAAGAGTCGTGTTATTATCAAGGGACGCCAAGGGCTCACAATGAAGGAGTATTGGCATTCTTCCGATGCTGGAACATTCTTGGGCGTCACGATGCCGGGTTTCCCCAATCTTTTCGGCTTCTTCCGTGGTGGGTCGGCTTCGTGGAACCATACGTCAAGCATGGATAACGAGGCTACGCTCGTTGCCAGCATCGTGGCTAAGGCGCAAAAGCAGGTTGGCGGTCAAGGCCAACGATTCGTTATCGAACCTTTGAAGGAGGCGGAACACGAGTATGGTCTCGAAGTTGCGAAGAGAGCAGCCTGGTTCGCCGCCATGTCTTCATGTACGCCCGGCTACTTCAATGGCGAAGGCATGGCAACCCTTAAGAGTAAAGAACCAAAGACCCAGGAGCAGCGTCTTCAGCAAGGGAAGAAGGCAAACTGGGGTGGTGGGCCGGTGGATTATAGAGAGATGGTTGAGGATTATGCTGCCAACAAGAATCCTCAAGGCTTTACTATTGAGGTAGTTTCGGCGCAGGCATAAGGATTGTAGTGTAGATTTGCTTGTGTATGAGGAGCCGTGTGCAACAAGTGCGATATTCCCCGAGTCAGTGTTGCGGGAAGAAATGCTTGCGAGAAGTAATGCCTGTGATGACTAATTCGGTAGTGAGCCCCACAGATGGATAGCGCCGGAGCATAGGACACTAGCTACTAGTCCCCTCAAGAGTAACCTACATGCACCGTCAATATATACTGCTCTTCCCCCTTGATATTGTCTACTCACAAAAATATCAATCGATCACGCATACTCTTGGACTTCGCAATGGCCAGCGCTCCCATTATAGCTTTCGACTATGGTATGTTTCTACTCAGGCATCTCTCAGCAACAAACACAAAGACTGACACTCCCAAGACATGTCACCCTATGGCTACAAGACTAGAACCTTACTGGCTTCCAGCAAGATGCCATTTCAGCGCAGCCTCCAGCCCATAGTGATCCCTCGGCCGATTTTGGAAAGTCTCTCAATTACGTATCGCCGCGTCCCGCTCCTTGCCATCGGGAAAGACATCTACTGCGACAGCTCGCTCATCATATCCACGCTCCAGGAAAAATTCGATATTCTCCCGACCTCGCCTGCAGACAAAGCATACGAAGCTTTTGGCATCGCCCTTTTCGAAAGCGTCCTCAAAGTCATACCTTCTGCGATGCTAACACCAGATGCCATCAAAGACCGCATCACCATCTTTCAGATACTCAAGCATCCGGATTATCCCTCGCTAAGACCGAGTGGGTTGGCGGAAGTTCGAGCCAAGTTCCACATCATCGAGACTGAATTCCTCGCCGGTCCGGGACAGTACATAGGTGGTGACTCGTTCGCACTTGCTGATCTACACGCTGGATTCGCGGTGGACTTTGCGCTCCAAGTGCAAAGTCTGATCAACGGACCCGGCTTCAGTCAGCGTGATTTTCCACGGATGTACGAGTGGATCTCCAAGTGGCCAAAGGCGGAGTTCACGGAGATGAGCCCAGAACAGGTGCACAAGACGATTGAGAATGCGGATTACTCGGCGCAAGAGATGGGTGTGGATTCGAGGGACCCGATTGGTATTGCCGAGGGGACTGAGATCACGGTGGAAAGCGCTGATGCGGATCCTGGTGCACATCCACAAAAGGGGAGATTGGTTGGACTTGATGGAAGAGAGGCGGTATTACAGCTGGAAAGTGGTGTGAGACTACATTTCCCAAGGGTAGGGTATGTGATGAAGGAGGCTAAGACTCAATAAGACGACTCCTAAAGCAAAGGTGGAGAGAGGTCATCTTCTTGCTCACGAACTGTATTGCGACGGAGCACCAACGTAGAACCGCTAGAAACAACCTTTTTCGATCTTTTTCTTTTGTAGCAGTCGTCTCAGCAGCGATGCTGGCAGCACATCACCAGTCCCGAAAATCTGGTAGAGTTCCTTCTCTGCCTTCATTTCGTAGAGCAGTAGATATGCAGTCAGCAACCTGTCAATGATGTTTTATCCCTTCAACTACCTCTTGGCCCTTTTTTTTGGTTTTCCTGCGGGGTTGAGGCGTAAATCCGACTCAAACGGACAATCAGGCGGTTGTCGGTGTGTCAGACACATCCAACTGCTCCTAAGCCCGAACATCGTCACCGCAAAAGTGATTCTCGATAGATTCCAGTAGTTGATCGATACTTGGGTACACATCGAAGCGTGAGCAACCGTCCTGATATGATTCGTTGTTGATTAGGTGGCTTGCATTCTTGGTCAGCTTTGCCTGCGGCGAACAACAAACGGATGAACGACAACGAAACAGGAGAATGACAGCGATGCAGATGCCCCAGGCATAGGACAACGTCAAGCGCAGACGAACTCGGAGTTTAACGTGTTTACTGCGCGGGGATTGCGCTCGATATTTATGTGAATCGGCGCAATGTTACGGCGGTGGTTGCGTGTGGTGGCGGTTCGCTAGCAGCAACGGCCGTAGCCTTATGACGTTGCAGCCATATTACTTGCATAGTCATTCGGAGCGCTGTTGACATTGTGCCGACAACCATTTGGACATCTCATGTTAGGCCAGACATCATGGAGATGGAGGCGCCAGAGATGCAGTATATGAATGGCATGCTGCGACACTCATCGCTCAGCATCCCAGATTTGCCAACAACTCCACAACTGCGTCACAAAACGCCCAGCCTGTTACTTCACATCACATTCGAAGAAATCTTCTTGTTATAATGGCTGCCGCCAATATCAAGTACAAGCCTGCATCTGATATTCCCAGTCTATCTGGCCGAGTGTTCCTGATTACTGGTGGTAAGTAGCGTTCTTGAAGTCCGATTATCTCCCGCTAACTTTGACAGGCACCAACGGTCTTGGTGCATCATCAATCTCTTTCATAGCATCTCACAACCCAGCACATATCCTCTTCAGCGGTCGCAACAAAGCTCGTGCGAATGACCTCATCTCTAAGATTGCGCAAGCCTCGCCTTCTACCAAAGTCACTTTCGTTGAGTGCGACCTGGCCAGCCTCACCTCTGTTCAATCTGCCGCCAAGCAGATCCTGTCGTCCACAGATCGTCTCGATGTTCTGATGTGCAACGCAGGTATCATGGCCGTGCCAAATAGCGTGAGCAAGGACGGTTACGAAATCCAGTTTGCGACAAACCACCTTGGCCATGCGCTGCTCATGAAGCTACTCTTACCCCTCATGCTCGAGACCGCAGCGCAGCCCGACGCCGATGTCCGCATCGTCAACCTCTCATCGGTTGCTTATAAGAACAACATACCTTCCACCGGCATCGAGTTCCAGAAACTGAAGACCAAGGGTGCAAACTACGGGTCGTTCTTCGCACTGAACAAGTGGGTCTGCTATTCGCAGTCCAAGCTAGCGAACCTGCTATACGCCACGGAGTTAGCTGCTCATCATCCTAGCATTACATCCGTCGCGGTCCACCCGGGCTTCATCAAGACAGACATCTTTGCGAGCACAAATTTCATGGATCGTCAGATCGTGAATCTCGTTTCGGGTGGGAATTGGCTGGATGCGGAGCAAGGTGCGTATAACCAGACGTGGGCTGCCACCACCGAGAAGGAAAACTTGGTAAATGGCGCTTATTACGAGCCCGTGGGTGTGAAGACGACGCCGAGTACGAAACGAGGGAGGGATCAGGCGCTTGCGAAGGAGCTGTGGGAGTGGACTGAAAAGGAATTGAAGGCGTGGGTTTGATGCCTGAGGAATTGGATTAGCGACTTGCGTTGTAAAGAGAACTCGGCGTTCTTTGTTCAAAGTGTGGTTTTCGTTCGTAGATATCCTAACGCTAATTCCGTAATACCTAGAATTCTTACCTCCAAACCCAACTGGCGTTGCCGTGTGAGCGGAGTGAGCGGAGTGAATGGCACTGAAGTTCAAACTGTCCCCACTCTCTTGGTGCGCGCGTGTCGCGTCGGCTCGTCATTTGGAGAAGATCCCGGATACTTTTCCGTAGGATGCATCGTAACGTTGTCGACATAAGTAGTGGTGCTTGCCGCCATTGCGCAACTGTTTGCGCAGGAAACAACCTGGCGTCCTCGTTTGGTTTATGCTACTACTTGTCGATGGAAGGCCGTGCCTACAGTAGCGATCGACACAGCGCGCAAGTGTTTCCAACGCGCTGGAAGACGGTTTTGCTCCACCCCCATGGGGTAGTGGACGTTGCGCGCTCTGTCGACCTACCTTCACGTTTGCACCCGCCCACCAGGTCGACACGGCCGCGAAGATCACGAGGACGACCCGATATTTTCTCTTGAGCACGTGGTCGAAACGATATCCACTGCGATTCCACTCCATAGCATTGGCGCGGAAGCTGCACCGATGCTATACCTGAGGCACCGCTTAAACGGCAGCTATACCAATAACCATCAACGCGGGGCATACAATGTTCAGCTACAACACTTCCCGAAAAACGAACCCGGTATGCCCCGTGGAGAAACCAAGAAAAGTTATGGACAGCCGCACGATATATGAAAAGCCAAGACGATGAAGGCCCGGCGGACTGACTTGGCCCCGTCTTGATTGGTCTAATTCGCAGCGGAAAGAGTTTTAGCTCATTCAACTTAGCAACGGCCTCGAGACGAAACCTTGCGCTAAACCACATGTACAAGCTTCCTACGGAGTTCTGTCATCCAGCTGCACGGGGCTCTAAGCGCGACTCATAAACCACGCACTGAATGAAAAAAAACACGTCTAACACCCCATCCGTGCCACAAGCGTGCGCACCGTCTCTTCGTTTCCCCGCAATGCGGCCCAGGTCAAGATCTTGGACCTGTCTCGGCCTACTTGGCCTAGGCCCTAAGTGCAACAATGCCCTGGCTCTAACAAGCTATGAAAGTACTTGACATGGCGCAACACCAAGATTTTGGTGGCTTGCCAACTCGCCAATACGCCTTTTCTCTGCGACAAGACCACGGAGACTCCAGGGTCGGGGCTGGGCTTTTCACCGGAACCAGTCATGAGTAAGGTTATCGGAGCATCAATACGACGTTGCTGTCGGGAAAGCGACTTGGTTTCCTGCGGGTTACCTTCCTAGGATGAGTGCCGTTTATCATATGTTCATCGCGACGTCAGCGAGGAGGGGTTGACGAAGAGGTGGAAGAGGTGATTGCATGACAGAAGCCGTTGATCGCCTTTGCGATGAATCTGTACTTCTCTTTGGAGCTGTAGATATCTGTGCGACGCTGTGAGAGTGAGTGCATTCAGCTGAACTAGAGGGTACACGATCCGGACATCACTAGACCGAACAGGAGACCACCGAACACCGGCTCCGATGTATCAGTCCAAGCCAAATCCCGGTGAAGGCGACACACTACCTGGACGCTAGGTATGCCCAGCTTCTAGGGTCGAACCTCCAAGACTATGTGCCGCATGTTTGCAATAATATGCGATATATGGTAGAACGCACACTGATAGCCAGTTTCCAAGACCAAGCAAGCGGGCACACTTGCCACCGGAGACCCCCCGACCCCATACCTCAAGCGCCATCAAGCCTCACGACTGTCCAAGGCGGCCGGAAGAAGCGCGCTTGGATGTCTTGGAGGTTATGCATGCGCGGAGGTACCTAAACAATTGTCGTGTGATTTCGGAAGATGGGGAATAGAGATGATCTGGGGGCGATGTTGATCCACAACACCATGCTACATTCTGGGGAGTGGGCAGGGAGCCTGAGGTGTATAAGAGCCCTACTCCACGTCCCCGGATTGTGGCTTCTCCAGGTCAAGCAGCTCACGCTTCGGTTGATCCAAAGGGCTTCTTCCCCACACGCACTCTTCCCATCTCAACTTGATACTTGCAACTAGTCCCTTACGCACTTCCAAATCATGTTCGACTCCAAGAAGAATGAGATCGTCCAGCTCGAGCAGACGCAAACTCGGGATGAGGAGCTCATGAAGCCTGTGCCTATTGTTGGCAAGGTGGATTACTCTGGTGCCTACGAGAAGACTGATCCCAGAGAGATTGCGCTTGTCAAGAAACTCGACCGATGGATCATGCCCATGTTGTGGAGCATGTACTGGCTCAACTATCTTGGTAAGTCACTGGTCTCGCGACAATGATATCTGCCACGATGATTGTTTATTAACGTACATTTCTATCTAGATCGCAATGCCATCGCACTAGCTCGTCTCGATGATCTTGAAGAAGATCTGAACCTTACCAGCAGCCAGTACCAGACATGCGTGAGCATTCTCTTTGTAGGATACCTCCTCGGCCAGATCCCCAGCAACATGTTCCTCAACCGAACGCGTCCATCGCGATACATGGGCATCTGCATGATGCTCTGGGCCGTCGTCTCAGCTCTCACAGCCCTCTCCAAAGATTTTACTGGCCTCCTTCTAACACGCTTCTTTCTCGGTGTCACAGAAGCGCCTTACTACCCCGGTGCTGTCTACCTTCTCTCCACCTTCTACACCCGCAAAGAAGTCGCAACCCGCATCGCCATCCTCTACACCGGAAACATCCTCGCAACCGCCTTTGCCGGCCTGATCGCAGCAGGAATCTTCCACGGCCTCGGCGACGTTGGTGGCATCACGGGATGGCGGTGGTTGTTCATCCTGCAAGGAGCCGTTACGTTTGTCATCGCCGTCGTCGGCTTCTTCCTTCTTCCCGACTTTACGCACAACACGTGGTGGTTGACGCAAGAAGAGCGCGATCTCGCCACCAACCGCATGGCGCTCGACACCGTCGGCAACAAGGGCGAGACGTCAGTGTGGGCTGGTTTCCGTCAAGCGGGCAAGGACCCCATGGTCTGGATCTTCGCTTTCATGGCACACATGCATCTCGCTGCCAACGGGTAAGTTATGACTGTACAGAATACATGTGAGACATACACTGACTTCGCATCTCCACATCTGTAGGTTCAAGAACTTCTTCCCTACCGTCGTGGCGACGCTCGGCTTCGGGAAGACCATTACTCTTGTTCTGACGTGCCCGCCTTACCTCATCGCTGGTGCGGTTACCATTGCAGTATCATGGTCTTCTGGCAAGTTCAACGAGCGTACGTGGCATATTACTATTTCCAAGGCCGTTGCAACGTTTGGCTTTGGATTGGCTTGTGCTGATATCGGTACCGCGGGCCGCTATGTCGCCATGATCATCTTCACAATCGGTACTTATGGTGTCAACTCCTTGATTCTGGGTTGGTGTGGATCGACGTGTGGTCAGACACCCGAGAAGAAGGCCGTCGCTATCGGTATTGTCACCACTGTCATGAACGCCTCGTTCATCTGGTAAGCCTCCTCTCCTCCTCCAAACCGCTCCTTTTTCGGATAATCTCAAAAGCAAGAGCTAACAGTGAAATCTTTAGGACACCATACCTATGGCCCAAGTCTGACGAGCCAAAATACATCATTGCGCTTAGCTCTTCTGCTGCGTTCTCTGTTGCGACTGCGCTGTTGGCGTGGGTTGCGAAGATTCTCTTCGTGCGCAAGAACAAGCAGCTGAAGGAGCGCGACAGCGAGAACATGACCTTCTACGTGTACTAGATACGCGCACATGGTTTTGACTAGGCGTATATCTACCATGTCTAGAAATAAGAATCGGCTGGCAAGAGCTAGCGCAGATTAGATGGGTGGGGATAACATGTATGAGCTGGATTATTTGATGATATCTCTAGTTATGAATGATGAACACATTGGTTTTAATTTGGAAAGAAACCCCCGAATGCAAATTTCAACCTCGCCACGTCATGCCTTATCCGTTTTGCTAGTGAGCTTGGTTATATCATAGCGTATCAGTCGTATCAACGTGTTACGATGCGTTCCGTAGTGCTTGTCGAAATTCGGAAAGGTTGTCGCGCGCACTAAACATGGCGTTGGCGGAACAAGCGCACCCACCGCCATCAGCAACTAGGCCTGGACACTTATAGTTTGGATAGAAGTTCTTGTCCCCAATACACCTATTTTCTTTTTGGCTTAAGGTACAGGTTACTACTGACGTTCTAGCTGAGGTCCCGGATCTCAGTCCGATTCGAAATAATCGGGGATCTACTCTTCCCTTCCATTCGAGGCAGACGCGCCCATAACCATCATATTGTACGAATCCTCTTGATAATACTCCTGCATTATTTCGTCCACAGTCTTCGGTCCTCTAATCACTGCAAGAACAACGTGCCCGATACCACCGACACCAATCATGAGTGGAATCAGTTGGCCGACGGATTTGGTATCATTCACACCTTGGATCTTATTCCACGCTATCGTCAATTCAGTGGCAAGGATCACCATTGCGATTGATACGACTCGATACACCGTGTCAATGATGCAGAGGACCTTCTCTCGTTTCTCTGGGACACGACTGTATATCAAGTCAGCACGTCTCGAAAGAATGTTAGGGATTCATACTCTTGCTCTCTCTTCTCTTGGATCTCAGACATGGTCATCGCTGCTGCATTAGTCGACAGCGGAAGTCTACCTTCACGCCAAAGTTGACGGAGATGCAAAACAAAAAAGGCGACCATGAGCACCAGTAGGACTACCATGACAACGACGTTGAAGATTCGGAAGCCATTGCTGGTCAGCTTAACTTTGAAGAAAGCGAATCCGAACCGCGCGCATTCGTTATTTGTTCTTGGAATTTTGTACAACCAGAACCAGAGTTGAAAAACGATTTGAGCAATTTGAACGGTGTTGTAGAGAAACCAATACATCGTAGACGGAATCGGAGCTCTCATGTGCCTCGTCGGATCCCAACCGGCGTTAAAATGGGTGGCTACACGCCAGAGACTTGTAATCAGCCAGGAGTATTGAGCACCAAATCCCAGCAGAAGGATGACGTATATCTCAATGACGTCAAGGTGGTTCAATGCAGTTTCGATGATAAGGCCGATGAAAGTTGCTGAGATAAAGAAGGCATTCGCTGTCCGCAGACTAGACGTCTCGCCAGGTGCGATCCAGGCGGTTGCTGGCGACGACATCCATTGGAGATAGAATCCAACTCGAATTCCGAGACCGTACATGTCGGAGGTGCCTGAAACCTCGCAGGTGGCCATGTTGAAGGTAAATTAATGAAAGCTGAGGGTTGTTGGAAGTAAGTGTGCTGAGGAAGCAACCTTGAATTGTGCAGCGGAACGCTTTATCAACGGAGATGGAGGAGCTATTCATCACAGTGACGCTCAGTTGGAAAAATAAACATGGGGACCGTCTGTCTTTGCGTGTCTTCAGCTGAGAATCAGTGTTACAGTATTTATGCACATCTTCAGCTGAGGGTTAGTGGTGCTGTATTGTATGCACATCTTCAGCTGGGTGATAGTATTGCAGCACGCGATTGAACAAAAAAAGCCAACTCTCAAACTCTAAGTCCTGACTAAAACAAGCGAGCTGCAGCAGAACATAGCGATATACACACACTCTCTAGCTTTATTACACAACAATACTAGTAGTGCTGTGGTGGAGTGGTTAGTGTAGTTACGTGTGACGGCTGTAGCGCCCATTGGCTCATTGGGCGCGCACAGAGGCAGACTTAACGACAACAACCATACTCTCACACACTACCATGCTCACAGTCTTTCCATCCTAACGTATCTCTCTCAATCCATCGTTCCAACAGGATCTCGCACACCTTTTTCTTCAAGCCCAGGTTGGGACTTCCTCTTATGGACCTCGCTAGTCCGCATCGGTAACACAAGAATCAGGCAGACGCGTTTCAACTGCGGGACGCGAGCCGTCTGCTGGCGGCTGAAGATGACGATGAGGTAAATATTGATTTGACTGTAACGAATCAGGTTCATTCGTTGGGTGCGTGAGATTGGCAAACTACTGCATCGAGAGCTGAATTGGGGGTTAGTCGGAAAGGCGAGAAGACTGGGTTGGATGAAGGAATAGTATTTAGCCCTTTTGAGCCCACATCAAGTCTCCCATTATTCTATTACGACGGGCTAACGCGCATCTACATTGTTTCCGCAAGCAACGTGCCAAAGTTCCTTTCGCCTACAAAGTCCATCTTTCAGCAAGTGATAGCGCGTCTGAAAGAAGATCCAAAACTCCCAAGCTATGCTTTTATGTCCGGGGTATACCAATCTGTGGACAAAACACTGATATCAAGTAAGAAAAACACCGAAAAGAGAAGACACCGAAAGGGAACAAGATACAGGAAAAATAGGCCATGTCCAGGAAAGGAAAGGAAACGACGCGGCAAGTTGTGGGTGTAGGATATGCCAGAACAACACTCTCAGCAACAATCAGTACCCGCGTGATTCCAGCAATCTCGGCGGAACTCTCGCATGCTGCGCCCCCGGACGATGTCTCCTGCTATTCCTATCATGTCCCCTCCGGTCATTCATCTCAACAAAGTTCCCCGGCGCATGTGTCAAGTTATGATTCCCACCTTTAAGCTCCTTGAGATCCGCATCGTCAATCAACCGCCTCTGCCACAGGTACTGGAAGAGGCCGAAATCAGGTCTCGACGTACGCAGCGTCTGCCCACGCATCGTATGTTCGTATGCCAGATGCTGCATGCGCATGCTCCACGCATGTCGACCCAAGTCACACGTCGCTGCCCAGTCGCATAGTGGACATTGCACCGTCTGGGGCGGTTCCTCGCCGCGGAAGTGCGACGAGCAATGCATTTCCCACTCTTCCTTGTGCTGCGAGACGTATCCGCAGTTTAGGAACCAGAAGGCGCATTCGTAGAGGGGTGTTCTAGAGTGCAGCGCGCGGGGTATTTCTAGTACGCCATTGTTGTCTTCGAGCAACGGGACGCCGGAGAATCGACTGGCGAGGTTGGTGCTTATGCTGCTTTCGGTGGGGGTTGCGTCGGTGACGCAGGAGCGCAATGAGGGTGGGTTGTGCGTTTCGGGGTGAGTCTGGTGGAGGAGGGCAGGAGCCATGGACGGGTCGCTCTTAATTGTGCTTGCCGCGTCCAACAGGCTCTCGATGTCGATGTCGATGTCGATCTGCTCCAGTCCCCGGAGATACTCGTCGTCGAAGCGCACTAATCGAGCCGAAAGATCGGGCTGCCGTACCCAGTCGTTGAGCGTGTGGTTGACGCGGCCGCGATTGTCGAGTTCGAGGGCGGCCAGCGACATGCCTGTGCGACTGGCGGGGTGGGCTGCTGTGGCGCACGCCTTGTCAGCCTCAGCTTGCTGGCAATCATTGGAGAGGGGCCATTCTCAGCCTTGCGAACGATGTCGATGCAAGGCGGTACAAGCGAATCGCAACTCACTGGGCGTTTGAGAGGGCGTAACTTCGCCCGGCATGGTGTCGGCAGTGACGATGCTAACAAGAAGGGTAAGGCTTAGCGTATCGTCTCTGTGGGGTTTGTCCGTCTGCTATGGAGTCACGGAGATATAGCGTCCTTATATTCCAGGCCACAGGCGTGTATTGGGGAGAGAGCCAAACTTGGTTAGAAATACTTTGCTCAGTTGCGGCTCTGCAGAGGTACCCTCCTCGACTCCACCACCTTTTACGCAGCAATCCATCGTATCATGGACACAACTACTCGCCAAACCACCTCCGTCGCGTCACTCTTGATACTCGGCGACTCGAGTCGCCGTCCAAGCGGTCGATGATTGGTGTGCCAAGTTGCGTACGATGCGGCTTCTCACAGAAGCGGGGTGGTGCGTCCCGAACAAACACCTTCTCCACACCTCACCGACCGCTTCTTTAGCATTGAGACCATGCCCTCAGTGTGGTGGTCTGTCGGTGTGAGTCTTCCAAATCATGGACAGATAGCCGCTGCCGTGTTCCAATACATGCAGGCTACTGCATGTTAATCTACACAGCGGTGTTTGTGCATCGAGCGCATGTGATGACGCCACAGGGTATCCGCACTTTATTGGATGCACTCTGAAGTCTCTAGGTTTGAAACAGACACTAAATTATGTATGCTGCTATGCGCCGCAGCTTGGCGAATTTGCTATATAGATTTACACGTCGACCAAGTCAACATAGCTACTTCATAGACACGCTTAGCATACCAATCCAACTTGAAGAAGAACCACCCATGGACCATATTGTACACTGCTCATATACCTACACGCTCAAGTCCCTCCTTGTTACTCCACCATCATCTGCCAGCTCACTTCTTCTTCCCCTTGGGCACAGCCTTAGCCTTGGCCTTGGCCTTGCCCTTCGGTTTAACATCCTCTTCATCTTCGTCATCCTCCATCTCGTCATCGTCATCCTTCTTCTGCTTCCCTCCCTTCTTCGCTGCAGCTTTCTTGGGCGCCGCCTTCTTTTTAGGCTGCTTGACATACTTGTCCTTGCTCAAGTCAACATCTTCCTCTTCGTCCTTGATCTCCTCCACAAGCTCGCCATCATCACTCTCGTCAATCGCCTCTTCAAGATCTGGTTTCTCTTTCGCTTGTTTACCTTTCGGTGCAGTAACGGATGACGCTTTCATAAAAGGGAGAGGGTGAGATTGTTGATTATACCTACAACGTTGTTAGCATAGATTCAAGGGGGCAAGTGAGCGGATGAGGGTCTATGAAAAAGGAACTTACAGTCGTGTAAAGGTAGACTTGGTCTGACTATCAATCTTAACCTTCTCCTGATCCATCGGCCCAACCCCCAATTCCATAATCGCGTCAAAGTCGTCTTTAGTCAGGTAATAGCTATCCATCAGCTCGATGACCTGGGAAACAGCATCTTTTCCTTCCTTCTGCAGCTTATTTACCAAGTCGTGCCAGAGAAGCGGGACGTACTGCTGCCGAACTTCGTGGCGGTCACCAGAAGAGCGTAACCGCATATGTGCTTGAATCTCCTTGATCATGCGACTGAGTTTGTTGGTGGTACTATTCTTGCCTAGCCACGATGTAAATCGCGTCCCGTTTCCGGCTGTGCTGCCGGAGACGAAACTGGCGGGGCGGACGAAGCTGAAGACGGCGTGGGTAGGCATCAAACTCCATTGTTGCTGGGAGCCGTGAATCATACGATCGACGAGGTCACCGTCGCTGATACTATCTGCCGCTTGCGATACCAGCTCAAGATTCTTCAGATTCTTCTCTTTGCCTCCGTACTGTCCAGACAGAATGGGATTTGTGCCGAGGTAGTTCTCCTGCAACATCAACGGACTGAACTCATGGTCGTTGAAGTAGAGTTCAATCTTCTCATTGAGCGTAGCTTTGCTACTCGAGGCAAACATACCGCCACCGAGAATCTTCTGTGTAATATCCCATGGCTTCAAGATGACATGCTTCTCCCAGTTCTTGGACATTGTCTTGCCCTTGTCGAAATCCATGGCTTCCTGGTCGAGTTTGGCGGTAGAGATCATGTTGACAACCTGCCGGATGTCGGAATGGCTGCCTTCGATGAGTGCGTTGACAACTGTCGGAGGCAGCTTCAGGCCTTCTCGGTAAGCAATAGTCATAACACGCGATCGTACCTGGTCGACAGTGGGACGTCGGAAGGGCAAATCGTAGGTAACGTAATCGAATGGCTTCATCTTCGGCAATTTCCTGTCGTTGCAAATGAGGATCATGGGAACCTCTGTCTTCTTGCAGACAGCTGCGAGCGCACCGACACCACCGCGGTCACCCGCAGACATGCCGTCGACTTCATCCATGATGAGAACGAGCTTCTTCCTTGATCCTTCAACCTGCTTTCCATCTCCAGCAAAGTACCCGTGGAGTGAGTTGGTGCTCAGAACGCCACGTAGACCATCTTCGATCAGCTTCTTACTCCGGGTATCACTGGCATTCCTTTCAACAATGTCATAGCCTTCGAGCTTTGCGACAAGATGCGCTGCAGTAGTCTTGCCGATACCAGGCGGACCATGCAGAATGATGGCACGGAATACTCCGCTACCATCTTTACCGGCCAACTTGAAACCAGTCTTGAGATTCTTCGGGAAAGCTTGCAGCCAGCGTTGTATCTTCTCGACGGTTGCTTTGTTGCCACATATTTGAGTGAGTGATGTGGGCGCATATTTGGTGGTCCACAACCGTGAGTCGACAGCAGGACCTGTACTGGAAGTAGCTGCTGAAACTGTTGAGCCCGATTTCTTACTGGCTGCTGCCTGTGCCGCTGCCTGCTCTTTTTGGCGCTTCTTCTCTTCCTGTTCGAGCTCGGCAGCTTGCTTCTCAATCTTCTCTTGTTCTTTGCGTTGTTTCTCAGCATACTCAGCTTGGGCTTTGCTGTCACCTTTGTTGCCAGCTGCCGTCAGTTTCTCAATGAGTTGTGTCAGTCCATCTTCGTCGATTGTCTTGATGTCCATATCTCGAATCTTCTGCAGTTTGCTAGGACCAGCATCTGTGCCTAGTACAACATAGCTGGTCTTCTTACTTGGAGCACCTGTGACCTTTCCGCCATGTCGCTTGACGAGCTCTTGGGCTTCTGTCCGACCCCATTTCTGTAATACGCCAGTGAAAACAAATGTCAGACCTGCAAGACATGTATCTGAGCCCTGAGGCATGTCACCAGATGAGCCTCCAGCAGGCGCAACATCGCCACGGCCCGCGTTTGCTTGCCAGTTGAACTTGGCGTTTTCGTCTTTGGGTGGAGGTGTGGGTGCTCGCACGGTAGGAATGCTGTCGTAGATGGCCTGGATATCTGCGCTGTCTTCAAGCTCCTCCTTCTTCGCCTTCTTCTTCGCTGGCGATTTTGCTGGAGCGGCTTTCTTCGGTGCCTTTTTCTTGGGCTTTTCGTCTTCCTCCTCGCCCTCTTCTTCCTCATCTGGTATGGGTGACTTCCGCTTCTTGCCTGCAGTTGACGTCTTCTTTGGCTTACTCTTAAGCGCTTGTTCATCTTCGTCAGGCTGGACAAAATCGTCTTCCGCGTCGATATCTTTCATGTCGACGTCCTCGTCTTCCGGATCGAAGTCGTCTTCGTCTTTGATCGTTTTTTGCTGTTTTGCGGGCGCTTTCGGTGTTCCACGATGTGGCAACTGTACAGGCATATCGTCGCCGCTCTCTGGCTCTTCCTTGTAATCATCCTTGCCCTTGCCCTTGATGTTGTCTTGGAAGATGTCGTCTGCGTCGTCTAGGTCATCGTCCGGGAATTCATCTTCGTCGTCCCGCTCGGCATAGGATGTGACGGGTTTCTTTGTACGACCAGATTTTTTTGTGGTAGATGCCGGAGTAGTCGTCTTTGACGCTTTTCCATTTGCCTTTGCAGGCGCCTTCTTTGGTGTTGTAGCAGGCTCGTCCACAGCTTTCTTGACTGGCCCGGTTCGCTTGGGTTTGTTTGAGCTGGCAAAGAAATCGGATGTGGTAGTCTCTTCGAGTACGGGTTCTGGTGTCGGCTCGCGCTTGACCTTCTTCGCGGCTGGCTTCTTTGGTGTGGTTTTCTTGGGCCTATGTACTGTCAGCTTTGACGTCGCCAGAACAGTAAGGGTTGCTCACTTCGCGTCTTCCTCATCGTCATCGTCAGAGTCTTCTACAACTCGACTTGCGCGTCCCTTCTTCTTGGGTGCGGCCTTTTTCGGCGCAGGCTCATCCTTCTTCTTTGCGTCCTGGCTGCCCTTCGGGGGTCCGCCGCCAAAGAAGCTGCGAATGTCGGCAGGCATCTTTTTTGATACAAAACGCGTACTATTAGTGCCGAGAAGGGTGTCGCGTTTGCAGACAGTTGTTGAGCCCAGCAATGGGTGGGGATGGGGTTTGGGTGGATTGATGAACGCCAGGCACCGTTGACGTGCACGACGCGCCTTCGCGCGGTCATTAGGCAATTAGACAATTAGGCAGGCGCATTGACGCCACATCCCCCGCATGCGCCACAGCAGCCACGGTCAGATCTTGGCATCAGAACTTCAACACCAAAGTTACCAAACAACCCAAGTCCGACATCACATCACAACACCATGCCGCCACCAAGGATATCACAAAGCCTGATGGCTCAATTCAGTCGATTGAACATCTCTGCATCGCGGCTAACACGTATGAATGTCGTAATTCTCTCATCGCCTCCGCTAACGGCCCAAAGTACTACAACAGACATGCCTTGTTAAACCCCAAACCATAGCACCTAGTGTTCTTTCCTCCGCCCGCCTCTTCTCTACAACTCTCACCCGCCTCAACTATCTCGCCCCCAAAGCCGGAGAGTCACGCAAATCACGCAAAGGCCGCTGTCGCGTCCCCACCGGCGGCTCCATGCGCGGCACAACTGTCGTCTGGGGCGACTACGGCCTGCGCATGCGTGACCACGACCGACGCATATCCGCCCATCAACTCCGCATCGCCGAGGAAACCATTCGCAAGCGTCTCCGTGGCATGAAGTTCCGCCTCTACATGCGCATCGCTGCCAACATTGGTGTGTACACGTCTGGCAACGACGTGCGAATGGGAAAGGGCAAAGGAAGTTTTGACCGCTGGACGTCGAGGGTGGCGGTGAGCAAGATTATTTTTGAGATTCAGGGAGACTTGCACGAGCAGGTGGTGAGGGATGCGTTTAGGCTTGCGGGCAACAAGTTGCCGGGACTGTATGAGTTTGTTAAAAAAGGTGATGCGCCGGTCATGGGTCTTACAAAGGTGGGCTTGAACGGTATTACGGCAGAAGATCTCAAGAGACCGAGGAGGAAGGAGCCGCTTGAGCAGACGGCCGCGAGGATTCCTGATGCTTCTTCATCTGCACCGGCGAATGGACCAAGGGTAGAGATGTGAATGGAGTAGGGAAGCGTATGTATCACACTGTACAACAGCGACATTGATAATCGAAAGACATTGACAAGATCGAACGCGAGGAACGTTGTATTCTGATGCTCTTGTAGCCACGATGACGCAAAGTAGGAGGATGTGCAAATGTGACGTATAAGCGGCATGTATTGAATTGCACAATCAGAACCGTTCGACATGGAGAAAACAACTAATCTGGAACTCCGAGTTCTTTCGCGAGCATTTGACATGTACTGCTTGATTACTGAGTCTAAGAGGAGAACGTTTAGCCTCTGCACGTCTCTTCCAGATTCGGAATTACAAGGCGTTCCCAAGCGATTTATCAACTACATGTGCTCATGCCATCGATAGTGTGCACCCAACGCAAACATCGGCATGACTGCTCCACATTCTTCGCACCGAAACGAGTCCTCCGCATCCATCATATCATCGTCGTCTTCTGCCTCCCAGACATCACTGACAGTAGCTTCCACGTCTTGTGACGCCGTGGGGAAGTCTTCAGAGCCATGTCTTTGTAGGACGGCGTTGTCTTCTGCGAGTTCGCGTTTCCATTCTGCTAGCCAGGGCTCTTGGGACAAGTGTTCTTCTTCTTCTTCTTCTCGTTCTGAAGATGGAGTCGAAGAAGGTGATTGCATCAACAAGATCTGTGGCTCGCCTTGATCCGAATCTTCTCCCTGAAGCTGCTTCTCCAACTGAATCAGGAGAAAGCGTGGTTCACGATGAGCAAGCTCGTCTTCCTCCAGCCATTCATATTCATCATCATATTCATTGTCTTCCTCTTTCTGGTTGTGAACTTCAGGCTCCTCGACGATCCCGCCTTCTTCCCTACTACTCCCATCGCAATCGTCCATCATTACATCTCCTCGCTCAAACGACACGTCCGACATTATTAGTTCTTCTTGTTCAGTTTGGGTTTGCTTGGGCTCCTCTATTTCCAGACGCTCTTCTTCAAATCGATCTGGTTCTTCCACCACTCTCCATTGTTTGAGCACCTCATCCTGGCGCTTGAACATTTTGCTAATGTCCCGTCCGATACCGCCTTTCTCGCTCGCTGCATCTGTCATGTTGGTCGCAGCAACGTTGACGAGGCTCAAGTTCCACCCTCGTTTCTCTGGGTGGAGTTTGCGGAACAAAGGCAGCAATGCCTCGGTAAGTAGCTTGTCAACGATGGCGTCGGTGGTTGTAGCCGCGTTGAGGTTGAAGACAAATGTGGGCATGGGCGCGGACTTTGATATCCGAGCAAAAGACCGATTGCGGCTTCCATCTGGATTCTGGGGTGGGCGTGGCCGAGTTGACAAGCGGAGGGTTTTAGGATGGGCTAGCCACCGCTTCATTGGTCTCGAGGTGTATGAGCCTGTATTTTGATCTTCTGCATCATCGTCTTCTTCCAGTAGATCCGTATGCATCCTCTCGAGTAATCTCCTCGCAAGCATCCTCAGCTCCTTAGTCACCTGCTCCAAAGTATCCAAACGCATATAACTATCCTCGATACTAACCTGGCGAGGTATCTCTCTCGCCTGTCCAACTTGCTTATCATCACATCCATTTAGTAGACCCCAGATGCGTGAACGGGTACCATGTGGTACACCTGGACCGCCAAGTAACCGTTCAAGCGACTCGGGACCCATACCAGGAAACGTCCTTACATCGCGGACAAGAACAGATTCTTTGGTGCCACCATACACAAGTCCAGCATCAAATTCCGCAGGTCGTTGTAAGACGTGAGCACGGAGTTTCTGTGCTAATTTGAAGCCGATGCCGGGGATTTTGCCGACTTCGTGGTCGTCGATGAAGGTGGTTACGTTATCGACACTCACACCCACATTCCCGTCCTCGGTATACGACGGGAGGAGTGTGGTTTGAGCATCAGGCTTATGTGTATTGCCTACAAGCTTAGCTAAAAGCTTGTTGGTAGAAATGCCAACAGTAGCTGTATAGCCCGTGTCTTGGTGGAGTTTGGCACGAAGATAATGTGCAAAATGACTTCCTAGCGCCAATCGAAGATGCAGCAGATTCGGTGGGGTTCCTGGAGACGCATCAGTTCTTTGGACTAATGGTCATGTAAAGCATCCTCTAGCGCACAAGATGTGATCTTGCATCGTCAAACTGCGTACTGTTGGTGGCAGTACCACAGCCGCCGTCACTGGTCTTGGGAGCCGCAGGGATTCAGCAAGGAGACTGTCAGCCTTGCATTCCGCCCAATTCAGGCCCATGAACATCTACCAACCACGGCACATCTTGTACGTCATACGGCCTTATTCCGCTTACCTAAGTCATAATTCGCCGCTTTGGGATACAAATGGCCCGTAAGCCTTGTCGCATCGTAAGGAAAGCCCCTTGTGGGATCTTCCTTTGCGAGACAGAAGAAGGCGTTTGTCAGATCGTTGTGGTTGAGGATGCTGATGTTGTAATCGATTATGTCGGTCACGTCCAGGAAGACCTAGGACAACGAGACTTAGCATGCTATGACTCGCGTCATGTATACCGTATATAGAGACGGTGAGGAAATTTGGATGGTGAATTCATGGCAGGGAATGTGGGTCTTGGGGAAAACTAAGAGGAGATGGGATGGAGGACAGTGGCGGTGTTGAGACACGACGGGAACTTTACGGACAAGCAAGGTAACCAGAAGCGACGACAAACCTACCTCATCAAAGCCTAGCCTCTCTACACGTGAGTTCCAGGAAAAGGATCGCAAAAACGTGTATAGTTGTTTGGAAGCATTCCGAAATCGAGTAAGATCCTCACCGAGGACGATGACTACATCTGGACAGACTTTCTTGGCTTGGTGGATCAGCTGCAACTTGTGCAAGCCCTGTGAGAGAATTCAGTCAACTGCGGCGGGGAATGACAAGACACGGTCAGATTCGTACTCGTCGGCGGGCCTCATAGTTGCATGTGACGATAATCTGTTTTTGCTGCACAGCCAGTGGCAAGCTTCGTAATGCCGGGTTCTCATGTTCAAATACGCTGGCGTAAAAGCAGTCCTGTCGAGATTGATATTACTCAATTGCGCAAGCGTGGGCGCACGTGGTAAAGAAAGTACGTACGTAGTCCTGTTGCGATACGAGACAAGAGTTAGGGCGACCAAGGCGTCAAGGCTGTGCGTGGTGCTTACGAACAAAGTGGACTATGACGGAGTCGGACTGCCGTTTCAGTTTCTTCATGGATTTGGTGCGAGGAAGGAGAAGCGCCGATGCACGTGTTGAGATGTGAAGCAGCAGCAGAAATGTTTCGGCGGCGTGCAGCAGATGAAGCGCGCGTGAAGCCGCGACGTGTGGTGGACAGACGGTAGCCTATCACGACACTGGGTGGGCGGGCTGCAGATCGAGTGCGCTAGTCGTCTGAACCCGGAACCCTGCACGACCACGCCTTTGCCACCCTGCATCTATCTTTGGATCGGACTAGTGTGTATTTTGGGAGCAGCGCCCCGGCCAGGCGCTTCGTGTTCAAGTGCACCTCCGCGCGTTGGGATGCGCGCCGCTGCGGATCCACAAGGACGGTTGGTGGCATGCAGCAGACGAGTTTGGTTAATAGGGACATGCCCCTCGTCGACCATGTAATAATCGGCTCCCCTCGCCCAAATCATCTGCACAGTACCTAACCTACCCGGCACACGCCTATTCCGCCCACGCGAACCCAAACACATGATGCTGTCCACTTTGCAGCCATCACACCCCTCCCTCTCGATAACGCCGTCGTACTCGCAATCATCTGCCATGTCCAGTATGACTACCCAGCTGCCTATAATACCCCCGCCGCGACAGGCCCCGCTGCGCCCCAAACTCTCCATCAACACTGAGCAACCACGTATCCTGGGCAAAGGTGCCAGTCTGCGTCTCGAGACCCTCTCTGCTGTATCGCCAACAGTCCGCAACACATTTTCCAACGCCTATGAACGCCCGGCCCCAGCACCCACCACCCCCAACTCAGCATCCACCCTCTCATCAACACTCACGTCCGCCTCCACCGACTCAGCCACCAGCTCAATACCCTACAAGCAACCTCACAACCTCACTTCTATCCTCTCCAACAGCCCCGCCCGCGCAATAATACCACGCAAAATGGGCTCCTCAACCCGCCCCATGTTTCCCGCCGAGAAGCGTGTTTCCTTCCGCACACCACTCGAGGAGGAAATCACAACCACCAAATACACTCTCGCACATTCCGATCTCGAGTCGAGTAGTTCGACGCTGTCGTCACTGACTTCGAGTGTCGAGACGACGTCAAGCGAGTCTGAAGCCGAGACGGGCAAACCGAGTCTGAGTCTGAAGCCGGCGGTCAACATCTCGAACACCAGCATATCGCCTCTTCAGCTCTCCATCAGCAGTACTGCTTCTTCAGCAGAGAGCTCACCAAGAAAGTCACCGCGTGCGGGTGACAAGAGGGATTCTTCCAGCAGCGAAGATGACAGCGATTCTGCGCCCGAAACGCCCGTTGCCGGTCGACGGAAGCGGACGAGGGATTGGAGATGGACGCTTGGTCCCTTGCCATCTGACAGCAAATCATCCGTGTCGTCAGCCAGTGAGGGTACGATCAGTGAGGATAGTTCATGAAGACATTTGGAACGCGACCAGGAACTACGACTACGAACTGTACAGAAGGGGGGATTCAGGCGTTCACACATCATGGGCATTTCTCGGTGTTTTCTTTTCTATGATACCACTTGCATACCATACCATCATCATTGTCCTGGGCGACAATACTAGCATAGCATCGCATGCCATTTACTATTACAACTATTATTACTCATACCAATACATCCTTCAACACATCCATCATATCTACGCTTCATACACTTACACACCGCTCGCACATGCAAATCCTACCTTGTGGGCGCATATGTGGACATTGCCTCGCGATCACCGTTGTGACATGACCACATGACAAGATCGTCTGCCGATCGATTCCATCTAGCAGCCGCGGGACGAACCCACAGCCACATAACTCACACATGACAAGGCACTTGGGCATGTTGATCTTGCAGTCTTTTTGCAAGTCCACGCGAGCCATGCACGTCAGGAAAAAAACAAGAATAGCTTGCAAAAGCCACATCCGTCTTTTTTTGCCTCCACTTCATGCAGCGGTTTCTTGCATCTGCATGCTGTATTCGGTAGGCGGGCGTTGAGTATGACATCATCGCCAAAGTTAACAAAACGCAGTCGACTTTAGCCGTAGACATTGCCCTCTGGGGGGATAACGGATCCAAACCGTAAAAGGACATGGGATCCGAATACGAGCTTTTTTATCCTTGACTATCCTTGAGCCAGATCCCCAGGATTTCACCATCATAATACGGAACAGAGAGCAGGGTATGACGTGGCGCGGCGGGAGGCTGGAAAAACCACCGAGAGATCGTGAAGACGCAGCGATACGAAGGGCATACAGTAAGCACCGTATCGGGCAGCGGAGACAAATGCAGTATGGGGAGATTTTGCATGTAATGAGTATTGCCGGCTTATGTACATAAGTTGTTAGTTCGGATCGATAAGTGAGTAATCCCCAAGGTGAATATTCGGAGGTTGGAAAACTGTAACAAAACCGTTTCCCTGTTCAAACACATGTTTGTCACATGTTGTTTTTCGTTTCGAGTTTCAACCCCCGCCAAACCCACCTATAGTCCGCTCCCCGGTGTTATCTCGTATCATCGATAAGTTATTTGTCGCATCTTGTCTTTTTCGTTTCGTGTTTCATGTCGTAACCCCGCTTCGCGCCTACGTTTGTGACTCGAGACTGTTGGTGGATCTTTGTGCAATTCATAGCCTTAAAAAAAGCCACAGTGGAAACATCTTTGGCAAAATGCGAGCATTTGACAGCTGTCATATTCGATGATTATAACCGTAGTGCGAGCTTTGTGACTCGAACAACTCGTGTAACAAAAGAGATGTATGGGGGAAAGAACGATAGTACATCTCCACATAAACAACCAGGCTCGTGTTCGTGTTCGTGTTTTCTTGCTATTCAACACACCGACACTTGTCCTTCTTGTTGGCCCAGCATAGAACACATTTTTCTTGACCTCACTTGCCTTCGTACCTGCAGCCCTTGTGTGCTAAGAAGAAAAAACGGCTATCGTCTTTACACGAACAAATCCGTTCGTGTTCGTGTCTCCCCAACTCTAGCGCAATCTTTCCTGCATGCCCAGTAAAACACGTTGTTCTCCAAATTCGTACCTGCAGGGCTACAGTACAGGACTTGCTCTACCCCTACCTTTTACCTTGCCGAAACCACTCTCCGGCAACACTTTGAGCGCGAACCACGACGAGAAACCAACATCAACCCGCCACCTTGTGCGTCGTCATCGTACATGAAAGCGCATTTGCGGCAGATTGCACATTGACTAGTCAAGAACGCTTTCGTGCTGGGGTGCAAGTTTCCTCGGGAGTGCTAATGAAAACGCGGCTTGCAAAGGGTATGGGCGCTTTCGTTTGAGCGTTCTGGACTTTTGCAAAAGGAATGCAAGGGGAGCTAAGAATAGGTAAAAGTCCGCTAACCATTCCCATTTTTTTTCTATCGCTCGCTACATCGTGTTCATCGCCACTGCTCTCAAACGGCATGTTCGCTGCAAGCTGGGAGATTGGCAAGCTACCATGTTCTCTTTTTTTCGCGGAGATTATGGTCGAGATGTAGTAAGTACGAGCGAGAGAGATGGTGTGCGTTGTTCGCATCCCGACGATGAACCGTCAGCTTGGTTTGTTCTCAGGGACACCCATCCGCAGGGAGGACAAACTCTTCTTCGTCCATGTTCATCGCGGATAGTCATCGCATCGCTTTCCCATCTTCCTAGTCCCGCCGTCATACCGTAGCCGTTAGCGAAATGAAGATCTTCAGGTATGCAACACCAATAGAACCACAATAACCCTTGCCCAAAACCACGCGAAAAGGGTCTGGAATGGACTGGTTCGCGTGTGCTATAATAGCGTCGAGTGCTAAGGGACGGAGCGGAGAAGGAATGCGTAGCGGAGCGGAAAGCACGGTACGCCGGAGATGAGCAATTACACGAAAGATTTATTCGGTAAGTTTAGTGCCTCGAAAGGGTTCGGAGATACAATATCACAGTCAGCCCTAGAGGAGCAGTAAGCGAACGACAAGGATACCTGGGTAGAGCTTGATGTAGGTTGTTGAGATGCGGTGCCATTGTTCGTACGTTAGTAAGGGATATTGGTGAATGCTAGTTGCACAACATCAAGGGCCGTTGACCTAGCGGTTGTCGAGCATGTCGACGTGATTGGTTTACAGGTTCGTGTTCACTAAGTAGAGTCTTGAAAGCCAAGGGACTACCACTGCCAATACTGCATGTTCCACGTGGGAAGTCTGGGCATAACATTATCATTGCCAGCCCTGCACATCAGCAACCAAGAAGACGAACCTTGGTGCCGGATGCGTCTGATACGACGGACGCCGTTCTGTCTGACAACTACTTGGGACATTGTGTCAGCAAGACCGGAGAGTTCAACATGGTCGCCTTGTAGAAATTCAAGGAGATGTAGATGAATTGAGTGTCAAACAGTTACGGAGAAGGGAAAAACTACTACGAAGTATACGTTGGGTTTTTCAGGCCCAACATCTTCCATGGAAGTTCTTTCTCGCCATCCCGTCGTTTCCCAATATTAGCGATACAATCATCACAAAGACCCAAGTCTCACCACCACCACCACCACTGTCAGTTTTCGAAATCACGATTCGTCAACCTTCCCATCTAATACCCCTCCCCCGCCCCCGGCGTCCAATCAAACTTGCGCATAGCCATAGCCCAGAGCAGCACGCCAACCAACGGCCCCAAGAAGAAGGTAATGAAGAGAACAAAGAGAACGGTATTTCTCTTCTTCCTGTTGGCCCATCCCCTGGCCATACCTCGCATCACGCCTCCCTGCTGGTCAATTCTTTCCTTCCTCTGCGTCTCGAGAGCGGCGGCCGTAGCTGCAGTGAAAGCGCGGATTGCTTTCCCGGCGCGTCGCTGTGCTTTCTCGTCGTCGTCGGAGACGAGGGATCTGGGGCGCCCGAGGGGGTGCTGGTGGTGGCGGTGGTGCTCGTGTGCAAAGCGTTTGGTGTAGAGTCCGTCTAGTAAAGGAAAAAGGACATCAGTGTAACTGTTACATGTCCCCCACTCAGAGTAGTGAAGCCGTTGAAGATATCGTACCTGTGCGAGTGTCCTTTTCCTTCCTACCAGCTGTAGTAACAGTATGCTGAGTCCCGGTAACCTTGATTTTTTTCTCCTCCGTTCCCTCAACATACTTGCACCAAACCGCATACCGTTTATCCAGATGCCCCGTCCTGCTCCACCTCGCAATCTCAGCGATCCGGCGTCGGAGCGCCTCGCCCTCGAGCACCGTCGTGAGCTCGTAGTAGAGTTTCGTATCAATTTTGCTGATATCAACGTTTTGCTTGCGCAGGCCCGTGATGATGTCTATCCAGGAGTTGATGGCGTGAGGCAGATCCCCAGACTTGTTGGACGGGTTGCGGAGGAGCAGCCATGTTTGCGCCATGTCGTGGAATTTGGCGGCTGAAACGAGGGTTTGTTCCGGACCGGTGGCCGCAGTATGCTCGTACAGGATCAGGCTGTCTTTGCGCGTGGCGAGGCCTTGGGTGTACCTGGATGGACGTGTTGCGAGGTCAGTGTATGTCTCGAATGTACTGAGAGGGAGAGAGAGATAGCACATACCAATTCCCAACAGCCTGGCGGGTGGAGGAGGCGTTGCGGAGGGAGTGGAGGATGGCCATGAGAGAGAGGTCGAGAGAGCTGTATGCGTCCGGGCTACCGCGCGATATCTTGCCCGGGTGGATGTTGGGGGTATGAGACAAATTGTCTTCAGTGATGGACGCGAGACGGGTGCGTATGTTGCGGGTACTAAGTACTGTACAATCTTGTCAGTGATTCGGAGATGCTTTATAGGGACATATGATGTCCTAGTCGCAACTCAACCCATCTATTGTAAGAAAGAAGTACTCACGATAAGGCACGGCGTCACTGATGCGAAACAACTCCAATCCGTGATACTCAGCAACAACATCAAACACCGGCTTGACCTTCGGAGCCGGCACCTGGAGGCAAACCTCTCGACCTCCATTTGGCCCGTTCGCCTTGGGGTTATCTCTGCGTGTGGAGGAGGTGGCAGCAGACAGGTACATCTTGTGCTGAGTCGGGCGCTCAGTACACACAGACGAGGTCTCGGAAGTGCAACCTCCGTTGCCCTCAAATTCGGAACGATGTCCGCGAGTCGGGACGGGAGCGGATTCGCTCTGTGAGATGGTGACGCCAGTTTCTGGAACACTGACCCGGGCGCTGGTAACTGGTGGGGATGGAAAGAACGGGATTGGTGTAGACCTAGGATGGACTGGTTTGGAGCTAGAAGGGCCTGGTGCGTACATGTCGCTTGAAATGTGGGAGAGATCAGCCTGCTCAGTAGATGCCGACTCTATAGAAGACATGGAAGACGTGGAGCATCTCTGAGACTTGAAAGCTTCGGACATGAACTCATCGGCAATAGGTGTACGTGAAGTGTAGTCAATAGCCTTGCCTTTGCCCTTGGGGTCTGCAGTGACCTCGATAGTAGGGATTCGTTGCTGTGCACATTTCGTTGGACCTGGGACTGATGGGATGAATGG